TAACAAATGGTTGTATTTGATCAGTGTCACGTGATTGAGTACCAGGGTGCGAGAGAGGTTTTAGCTTTTTGTCACGTGTGAGATTTTTAGTTTTCTTCACACATGTTGTCGAACCATGTACTCAGTAGTGTATTTGTAGGATACGCAAGTCGTGAATAGAACATTTTTGTTTAGTAACTACATAAATTAATCCGCCTGTTTGTAATCAACCATATCAAGGCATAATGAAAGTTTAGTTATAAGTTTATCAAAAAATGATTATAACGTGATGAAATTATGATGACATTTACTGCGATGATGTAATATCAAAAATTTGCCCCGACCCTTCACAGCTACCACCCCACTCCCCTACCCCCATTGAAAAAGCATTTATCTCGTAAAATTTCCAAAATACCATCTGGATAACTGGATTTTCTTTTTGTTTAGAACGGCGAGTTCCAAGTCTACACTAATGACCATAAGAATGTGTACGCAAGAGACGGCCATCTTTACCTACATCCGGTATGTTAAAAATAGAAAACGGTAAGACAAAAATAGAAAAAAAACAACTCACATAGGCGACCATTACATTGAATCTACAACCTCATATTATTAACACTCTGATTATGATTTCTACCCATGTAGACAAAAAGTAATAATAAAGTATTGACTAGATATTCTTATTCTAGAAATACTTGGAACTATAGAAGATTGAGATAATATAAAAGATTCCCAGAAAAATACGCTTTCGGAAAACTGCGCAACGGAAAACTGCACAACGGAAAACTGCACAAAGAAAAACTGCACAAACAGAAAAATGCGCAAATACAAACAAATTATGCTAATACACTTTAATTTTGTCATATTTCGAGGAAAAATGTTTTCTTCTGCCTCCACTCTTTGTTGATGTTCATAAATGCTCGATTTAATTAAGACAACAAAAATGCTTTTGCTCACTTTTTTGTGCGCATTTTTCCGTTGCGCATCTTTCCAGTCACCAATATAAAAGTAATTACATTACTAAAAAAAACGTAATTTGTTTCCCCCAGATAACTACAGTGAGCGACCCGAGATTTGATGAAAACTTTTTGCATACGGGACATATGGATATGAACAGTAGGGGGATACAGTTGTTTTTATTTCTTTCACAGTTCTAACGATGTAGCACAGTTGTGCGTCAAACACTTGAATGTCGTTCAACATTATAAGCGCTTGTTGGATGTTGTGTTTAGTTTCTATAGGAAACTCAAATTACTGTAATGAATCAAAGAATAATGAAATATAGGCAAGGATTGTAAGGTGTAGATAATTGATCATGTGATCAGTGTTTGATTGGTACGTGATCGATTATTGAATGATTATCTGGTCTGGTCAACATCTGTAGGGTTAGTACATGATTGATTGATTATCGGATCAATATATGACTGATTATCTGATCGATGCTTGAATGATTGTCTGATTGTTAAGTCAATACATGAATGATTGTCTAATTATCTGACCGACACATGAATGATTGTCTGATTGTCAAGTCAATACACTACTTGTTATCTGTTCAACAGTTGACCTATGCAAGTCTCAGCGAGAATTTCTTTCGATCTATCCTAAAAGTAAAGTTTCCCTTTCAAACCTGACGGTCTATAAAGCAAGTGAAGTAGAGTTCACTTGTTTCTTTGACCTCGGCATATGAAGAGATAGTGTGGTCTATCCTTACTCCCGTAATATTTCCTTTGTCCCCCATACGTCTTTTAAAATCAGAACCTCTATTGACTAACCAAATCCCAATTTGATACATTTACTAAACCATCTTTCCATCAATTAGAGAAATTCATGTACTATCATATAAACGCACAAGCGATCCACAAACTCGTTTACCCGTCTTGCTTTTAGCCCTGTTCGGCCGGTGTACACAGAGCGGCAACAACGGATGTACCAGGGACGGCAGGAATGGATTCCTCCCGCCCATCATGTCCGGCAAGGTCAAGAGCGTCCCCACCCTCAGGTACGGCACCATTGAGGTGCGGGCTAAGATACCCAGGGGCGACTGGCTATGGCCAGGTACGTTAAACATTTTAATTAAACTAATTACTATCTATTTCCCAAGTATCGGGTCAGTATCATTAGTCATGTTCTTATATGGTTGTGTAGCTATCAGTTGTATATGCATTTTTTTAAAAATTGTAAATATATATATATATATATATATATATATATATATATATATATATATATATATATATATATATATATATATATATATACTTTATGAATAGATGTGTATAAAATTATATGTATGCGTAAACATTTAATAAAATACTTAAAAAAAAACTTTTTAAATAACCACGTTTTTCTTGTGGACTAAAAAGTAGAAAATAACTATTTACATACATTTGATGACAAAAAACGTGGGTACGTTCACCATCAAATTTCCCGACCCATCTGCCCGACCCACGTTTTTTGTTATCAAATGTATGTAAATAGTTATTTTCTACTTTTTAGTCCACAAGAAAAACGTGGTTTTTTAAAAAGTTTTTTTTTAAGTATTTTATTTTCTCCTTTTTAGTCCGTTGCTACACATAAAAAACGTGGTTTTTTAAAAAGGTTTTTTTTAAGTATTTTATTTTCTCCTTTTTAGTCCGTTGCTACACATGAAAAACGTGGTTTTTAAAAAAGTGTTTATAAATACACGGACTAAAAATCTTGAGCGACCAGGATTCGAACCTGGGTTGTCGCGGCCACAACGCGAATTACTAACCACTATACGATCACGGCCAGCGCGCTCACATCGATTGGGGCCGAAGTAACTGTGTCAATAGGCCTCAAGTCTTGTCGGTATCTTTAGAAATCATGTCCTCAATTTTATGGTCCTTGGGGCGTAATTAAATTAAGCTAATTACGGTCACTAATTGCTAGTTTTTATGATTGCATCTGAAATTGTTAGGCGAAAGTAGCATGCATGCCAAATTTCAGGTCTCTAGAGCAATCAGAAGTGGGCTAATTTTCGATGCCAATTTTAACAACAAACAAACAAACAAACGCGAAGCTGAGTTAAGAAAAAATACTTAAAAAAAACTTTTTAAAAACCACGTTTTTCTTGTGGACTAAAAAGTAGAAAATAAATTTTTCTTTTGTGCTTCCTCGAGCTGTGCAGGTTCTTGTGATGACTGACAAAAAACGTGGGTACGTTCACCATCGAATTTCCCGACCCATCTGCCCGACCCACGTTTTTTGTCAGTCGTCACAAGAACCTGCACAGCTCGAGGAAGCACAAAAGAAAAATTTATTTTCTACTTTTTAGTCCACAAGAAAAACGTGGTTTTTAAAAAGTTTTTTTTAAGTATTTTATTTTCTCCTTTTTAGTCCGTTGCTACACATGAAAAACGTGGTTTTTAAAAAAGTTTTTTATATAGTTTATTTTCTACTTTATCTAATGACTTGATTAAGTATGACTTGACTAAGTGTTTATAAATACACGGACTAAAAATATTGAGCGACCAGGATTCGAACCTGTGTTGTCGCGGCCACAACGCGAAGTACTAACCACTATACGATCACGGCCAGCGCGCTCACATCGATTGGGGCCGAAGTAACTGTGTCAATAGTCTTGTCGGTATCTTTAGAAATCATGTCCTCAATTTTATGGTCCTTGGGGCGTAATTAAATTAAGCTAATTACGGTCTCTAATTGCTAGTTTTTATGATTGCATCTGAAATTGTTAGGCGAAAGTAGCCTACATGCCAAATTTCAGATCTATAGAGCAATCAGAAGTGGGCTAATTTTCGATGTCAATTTTAACAACAAACAAACAAACAAACGCGAAGCTGAGTTAAGAATAATAAAATACTTAAAAAAAACTTTTTAAAAAACCACGTTTTTCTTGTGGACTAAAAAGTAGAAAATAAAATTTTCTTTTGTGCTTCCTCGAGCTGTGCAGGTTCTTGTGATGACTGACAAAAAACGTGGGTACGTTCACCATCAAATTTCCCGACCCATCTGCCCGACCCACGTTTTTTGTCAGTCATCACAAGAACCTGCACAGCTCGAGGAAGCACAAAAGAAAATTTTATTTTCTACTTTTTAGTCCACAAGAAAAACGTGGTTTTTTAAAAAGTTTTTTTTAAGTATTTTATTTTCTCCTTTTTAGTCCGTTGCTACACATGAAAAACGTGGTTTTTAAAAAAGTGTTTATAAATACACGGACTAAAAACTTGAGCGACCAGGATTCGAACCTGGGTTGTCGCGGCCACAACGCGAAGTACTAACCACTATACGATCACGGCCAGCGCGCTCACATCGATTGGGGCCGAAGTAACTGGGTCAATAGGCCTCCAGTCTTGTCGGTATCTTTAGAAATCATGTCCTCAATTTTATGGTCCTTGGGGCGTAATTAAATTAAGCTAATTACGGTCACTAATTGCTAGTTTTTATGATTGCATCTGAAATTGTTAGGCGAAAGTAGCCTACATGCCAAATTTCAGATCTATAGAGCAATCAGAAGGGGGCTAATTTTCGATGTCAATTTTAACAACAAACAAACAAACAAACGCGAAGCTGAGTTAAGAATAATAAAATACTTAAAAAAAACTTTTTAAAAAACCACGTTTTTCTTGTGGACTAAAAAGTAGAAAATAAAATTTTCTTTTGTGCTTCCTCGAGCTGTGCAGGTTCTTGTGATGACTGACAAAAAACGTGGGTACGTTCACCATCAAATTTCCCGACCCATCTGCCCGACCCACGTTTTTTGTCAGTCATCACAAGAACCTGCACAGCTCGAGGAAGCACAAAAGAAAATTTTATTTTCTACTTTTTAGTCCACAAGAAAAACGTGGTTTTTTAAAAAGTTTTTTTTAAGTATTTTATTTTCTCCTTTTTAGTCCGTTGCTACACATGAAAAACGTGGTTTTTAAAAAAGTGTTTATAAATACACGGACTAAAAACTTGAGCGACCAGGATTCGAACCTGGGTTGTCGCGGCCACAACGCGAAGTACTAACCACTATACGATCACGGCCAGCGCGCTCACATCGATTGGGGCCGAAGTAACTGGGTCAATAGGCCTCCAGTCTTGTCGGTATCTTTAGAAATCATGTCCTCAATTTTATGGTCCTTGGGGCGTAATTAAATTAAGCTAATTACGGTCACTAATTGCTAGTTTTTATGATTGCATCTGAAATTGTTAGGCGAAAGTAGCATGCATGCCAAATTTCAGGTCTCTAGAGCAATCAGAAGTGGGCTAATTTTCGATGTCAATTTTAACAACAAACATCCAAACAAACAAACAAACGCGAAGCTGAGTTAAGAAAAACGTGTTAAAAATGGGAACTCATTGTCCTAATTACCACCCCCCCCCCCCCACTGTTTATATAAGAGCGTATTATTCTGTTGTCATAGCAATATGGATGATGCCGAAGGGAGACCACTATGGCGGCTGGCCTCGTTCTGGTGAGATCGATATCATGGAATCAAGAGGTCAGTAGCTGATTGGCTTTTTATGACATGCCTTTGACTATGTTAAAACTACTCCGTATTATGATCGCTTTCTGTCCTTGACCTTTGAAATTGTCAGTCCGAGGTCGCCCTGTCTGGCCTTGAATTTTGAAGCCGTCTCATGGTCGTTACGTCTGTTCTTTAACTTTAAACTTGTAAGTCTTTTGACCGCTGTTAATGTCGAACTTTGCATCTTTCAGTCTTAGAAACCCTGTCTATCCTAGAAAATGTAAGTTATGAAATTAAAAACGTTTTCAATATATATGATGTCGAAAGCTGTCTCTTAGTGCTTATTGTCTTTGAAACCAAACAGTACGTAATTTCGAGGTTACTATAAGCAGAAATCATAGGATGTCGTGGCCTAGAGGTAGAGCGCTAGAATGCTAACCTGAAAATCTCGAGTTCCAAATCGTGTTCAAGTCAGTAGCACGTCCTTGAGTCCACCCTGCTCTGATGGGTTCCTCATGTTAGGGATAGCAAAGGCAGCTGGGCATAGAGCTGATCACACTATCCCTTCATATGCCGATGACTCTGAAACAGACCAAATCTCCTTCATCTGCCCCCGTGTGTCTTGGGCATGAACGGGAAAAGATGACAAGCAGAAATCACGTTAACGAGCACGTGATGATTAAAAGAGATCGCCTCACTGAGCACGTGAAACGGAGTGAGTACACCTCACCATCAATAAAAAAACTGTGCTTATTTCAGGTAACGCTGGAGACATTGGGGTAGGGAGTGTGTCCAGCACGCTGCACTGGGGACCCTCAGCTGACCAGAATAAATACAGCCTGACCCACGGGGAGAAGTAGGTCGTGAGTCAATGACGTAGAAAACCGTATAAAGCCAAACTAATGAGCTAAAAATAAATATCGAATAAGAAAAAAAAATTCTAACAGGATTTTTAAAAAGTCATTATTTTATATTATAGAGTATAAACATAGATTTTTTAAAAGTAATTAAATATAATCTATCATTATTTTTCAACGCTAATCATCTTTAGTACATGAAAATAATTTATTTTCCTAGAAAAAATGCAAACTGGCATTCAAATTTTCATATCTGGAGGCTGGAGTGGACACATGATCATATCTTGTAAGTAAACAACGCCCCACGTGACGACGTCACGTGTTGTCTTCCTCACCAATCAGGTAATATAGTATAGGCAACTTGCAGAAAAGAGATATTTCAATTGCATTTTTTTTCAGGTAGTCATACAAATTTAATGACATAGAAAACTTCACATACTATCTCAATAATAATCATTTAAAAAGTTAAAAAAAACCCACGTTTTCTGATTGAACTAAAAAGTAGAAAATAAATGCTATACATCACAATAATGCAAGCGATCACTCTACTATAAGCGATCAAAAACGTGGGGCGCCGTGATTTTCTTACAGTTTCTAATACTGTTGACTCTCTACAAGCTCCCTAATAAAAGTCAATAGTATTATCTAATCAATAGTAATATAACTTTTACTTCGGCGCCCCACGTTTTTCATCGCTTATAGTAGAGTGATCGCTTGCATTATTGTGATGTATAGCATTTATTTTCTACTTTTTAGTTCAATCAGAAAACGTGAGTTTTTGAAAACTTTTTTAATGATTATTATTTTCTACTTTTTAGTCTTTGTCTGTTTGTTTGCATTAAAATCTTGCTATCGATTTTATCTTTTCACTTTTTTTTTTGGGTAAACGAAGACAACTCGTAAAAAGACAACTCGTAAAAAGACAACTCGTAAAAAACACGTTGTGTGAATACGTTACTGACTAGAACACATAGATTTGAACCCGTGTCGAGTGGGATAGCAATCGTGTGCCCAACCACTCGACCATATTATACTGGCCACCAGTTGTTACGGTTGTTTGTACACAAATTACAGTTACTGGGTTATGTCCCTTTTCCCCCACGTTTTTACTACAACGAGCCGACCCGCGGCGTATCATACGCCGCTATTTAGTTGATTTATTTTCTACTTTTCAGTAATTCATAATTTGTGAATTCGACAGTACCAATGCTGCCACTGAAAATATTTGCTTTAAAACACTAACCCCCCTCCTTTCCCCTAACCCCGACCCTACACCCCCCCCCCCCCCGTGAAAGCAGCCTCCTCTTAGTTACCTCCTGTAAGTTTAAAGTAGGTTCAAACTAAATTATCTGCCCCTAATAGCCGTCACTAAACCTGGCTGTACGGTTTGTAAACATTAACGTGACCACAGCTCAGCAGACCATGTGGGGGTGGGGTAGGGTGGTAGTGATAGTGATAGAGAGAAAGAGAGGGGATTGTAAGGAGGCGCTTGCAGCTTGTTTTCTAATGGCTCGCAGAGGAGAATTATATATATAGATTATATAGCGGTCTAAAATGCTCAATAAAATGTTTCCATGGATCAATTTAGTAATAATAACAATTGAATATTCTAATGTCATCCAAAACAAAGCTTCCCTGAAAATTTCAGCGCGCTAGCTAACTGGGAAGTGCCAGAAATTTCGATCGCAAGATTTGATTGGAAAGACAAACAGAGACGAAAGCAAGTTAAAGAAAACGTGGGAAAAATGGATCTGGTCGATTCTTTCTCATGACCAATTCAATCTTTCTGCGCATTTCAGAATCATAAATTCTCCGACATCTTTCATAGGTCAGGCGACTTCTTTTAAGAAATGGTTTCTCACATCTTTCTTTTCTTTTGACATCAGAGAAAAAATGTTCCTTTCTCAGAATATTATCCAAAAGTCTGTATGCTGGTTCTATGTCATTATTTTTTACAAGTACAGTTCTTGCTATAAAGCGCAAATGATTTGAGGTCATTTTAAAAATATTTGTCAGGCCTAGTTCAGATGGGGAAGATATTTTAATTGCATTTATCATTCACCTCGATTGGTCTATGCTATATATTACATGATTTGGTACATTTCCCTTGTATGGCACTAAAGGCCACTACACGGTAGCTGTGTTTGGTCGACATGAATACAGACACCTTTAGATGGTTATGTTTGTGTTAAATTAGGGTAAAGGTTAACATACTGGGGTTTGATTTCGATTAGCTCTTGGCTTCGTTTTGTGTGTGTGTGGGGGGGGGGAGGGGATTAGATCTAGATTAGCTCTTGACCTGCACCAAACTACAAGAAGATATACCATTGTATATTATACTAGCCGTCGCGCTTTGTGTTGTGTTTGTGTTGTGTTTTTGTTGTGTTTGTGTTGTGTTTGTGTTATGTTTGTGTTGTCTTTGTGTTGTGTTTGTGTTTAGTTTGTATCGTGTTTGTATTGTGTTTGTGTTGTGATTGTGTTATGTTGTGTTTGTGTTTGTGTTTAGGGTAGGCAATTCCGGGATATAAGCTAATTACTAAACACACATGTCATGGTTGTTTACAGATAGGTTTCTCACAGAGGCCAGTGCAGGGCCGGCTAGTAATATATATATATATATATATATATATATATATATATATATATATATATATATATATATATATATATATATATATATATATATATATATATATATATATATATATTTCAAACAATGTCAACGTCCCTTCGAAAATTTAAGTACGCCTCCGCCTCCCGAATTTCCCAGTCCCTCCCCTCCCCCATCCGGAGAAACATGTCTGATAGAAACACTGTTCATGTCAGCACTTAATGCCAATTGTGGTTGTTGAGAAAATATCTTGGCAGTTTATTTCTTCTATAAAGACACTAGAAAAAAGAAACCATTGACGACATTTTGAACACCATTACAGGACGTTCATTGACAACCAACTGATCATGTCTGTAGTTCCCCCTGCCGGCGGGTTCTGGCAGAAAGGGGGTTTCACGGGCTCCAACTTGTGGGCGTCTGGCAGCAAAATGGCGCCCTTTGATCAAGAGGTAAGAAAACAGTTGTACCTATCTAGAATAGGTTAACCCGGCAAAAAAAAAAAGAGAGAGAGACAAAATGTCGTTTTTACTACCTTCCCTATCTAATTTTACTTACATGGTGTTGTAACAGGCTTTTATTTCTAGGTGTTTTCAGTTTTTCAAACTGTTGTCATATTTTTCCTGATATTTTTGGCAACTTTTCAAAATGTTTTCATTGTTGTTTCTGATGTATTCAAAGCTTGTATTTGTGTTTTCACAGTGTTTCATAATATTTAAACAAGCTTATCAGAATGATGAATCAGTTTTGAGTAGATGTTTGATTTTTATGATGTTTTTTTAATACAATTTTTTATGATGTTTTTGACATTTTTGTTTTTGTTTGACAATTTTTATGAAGTTTTTGTCCGACTTTCGTGATAATTTTTGACAGTTTTCTATTATGTCATTGACAGTTTTTCGTGCTGTTTTTTAAATATTTTTATGATGATTTTGCCCTTTTTTCATGAAGTTTTTGACAATCTTTCTGATGTTTTTGACAGTTTTTCATGATGTTCAACGTGGCAGTAGGCGGCAACAACGGCTTCTTCCCAGACGGCAACCACTACGGCGGCGTCACCAAACCCTGGAGCAACAGCCAGAACCAGCACGTGGCCGCAGAAAACTTCTGGAAGGCGCACAACGCCTGGCTCCCCACCTGGCAGGGTGAAAACGCCGCCCTTATCATCGACTACATCCAGTTTTCTAGTTTGTAATGTGGGGGCATTAAACTGTCAATTATTCTCTGTTTACATTGTTATTGAGATTTGTTGGAGGGTGGGTGGGCTAGAAATAAGCCAGGGTAAACTTAAAAGTATGAAATAAACCGGATTTAAAAAGTGAAATAAACCTGATTTAAAAAGTGAAATAAACCTGTTTTAAAAAGTATGAAATAAACCTGATTTAAAAAGTATGAAATAAACCTGATTTTAAAAAAGTATAAAATAAAGCTGATTTTAAAAAAGTATAAAATAAAGCTGATTTTAAAAAAGTATAAAATAAAGCTGATTTTAAAAGTATAAAATAAAGCTGATTTAAAAAGTATAAAATAAACATGATTTTAAAAATATGCAATAAACCTGATTTAAAACTATGAAATAAACTTGATTTTAAAAAGTATAAAATAAGATGATTTAAAAAGTAGAATATCAAACGGTATTGTGAATCTTGCTATTGAAGCCGATCCACAGACGCCCTGTGTCTATTGAGGGGATAACATTTTTGTGTCATCTCTGGGTTTTGGTAGGTCATGCAGGGAGCTTAAATATGGAATTTAAATATTTTCAAAAAAATATTTTTTCAAAAATATTACATTTTTTTTTACAGAATATTGGATACTTTGGGGGCTTATACATTTATTTACAGTATTATTGGGAAAAGAAATTACTGCCTCATATAAAGTAATACCTAATAAAACTATAGCACCCCCCCCCCTCACCCCACTCCTCCCCTACCTGTAGGACAAATGAAACTGTAAACCATGCACTTAATACGATAAAACTATTAGGATCTACGACTTAACTCTTAAAAAAAAACACCAAAAAAATTAAATAAAGTTTTTATTCGGCTCTAAGGGGAAAAAAACATTTCTTTTCAACAACACAAAAAATAATAATATTTTACTCATAAATAGTTTTTGTGCAAAAATATGTACCATAATGTTTTGGCCACACGAACTAAAATATACGGGCAGATCTGCAGACGAATTCCAGAACAAATTGAAGAAGATTCATTTAAAAGGAAATAATGTGGGAATCGACAGGTGCTTGAGAAAATGTAACTATAACAGCTTTAAGAAAAATACAATTACTCTACTGCAACATTGTTTTTTGTGTAAAAGATTAGGTTGTTTTTTTCACAAGCCACATTGTTCTTTGGTTGTCTATCTTTATAAAGAATAATGGTCAAATATTGTAACTCAGTTTTCAATGCATGCAAAAGCTAGTTATTGAAATTAATTGTATGCTTATTTAATGTATTGTATAAATCACTCAAATAATGTGTGTGTGGGGGGGGGGGGGGGGTCAAATCTTGTAACTCAGTTTCAATACATGAAAATGCTAGTTATTAAAACTGATTGTATACTTATTTTAATCTACTGTATAAATCACTCAAATAAGTTGTGTATGTGTGGGGGGGGGGGCGTTTGGGTGAAATTTCATCGTGTCAGGGGTGGACTGGGCCGCAGAGACACCGGAAAAAATTACGGTGGGCCGCCAGGAAAAAAATATTGGTGGGCCGCCATGTTTTGCACTATAATGGGTCTCTTGGTATATTTTTTTAACATTACATAATCAATTAAACCTTTTTTTTTTAAATTATTGTACATTGCAATTTGTAACGTGACTCATGACCTTATAGTGATCCGCTTGGATGGGGAAAAAAATGCTCTATGGAATTTAAATTGAGAAGAAGCCGCTTTTATTTATTTCCTAGGCAAAGGCAGTCCGTCCCTGTGTGTTTGTGTGTGAGAAGGGGGAGGGGGGGGGGGGGGGAAGGGGGTGCCACTTTAGGTGTAGATCGACGCCTTTTAAGTACTTATGCCCAGGGGTATTAAATTTGTGGGCTATCGTCCGGTCACCGGTAAAGACTGAACTGACCGCAAACACACCATACGCCCGAGTTCCCACAAAAGATAGCGTCGGATGTCTAATCAGATGTGGCTCAGTTGTTGTTTGGCTTGTACGGAACACAAACATGTAGGTCAAGACTTGTTTTTTTATTGCTTTGCTTCTTCCTGGGCGAACAACTTTGTTTGGGAACAAAAAAAAAAATATGTACTGAAGGGACACGTTACACTTCTTAGGGGAATGTAGATCTGGAGTTAGATTGTTTATTGTTCTTATAGATTGTAGTTTTTTTGTCTTCAATTAGAGTATGCTATAGCATTAGCGTTACAGGGCGAGGGGGCAGGGGGCGAGATTCGTGGTGGGGTTTATCTAGATGACAGACTTGTGTTTCTGTCGTAATTTTTTAGCGCAATTTCCATACTGACAATTGCGATTATTAATTGGGTGGGTGGGTGGGTGGGTGGGTGGGTGGGTGGGTGGATGGATGGATGGATGGATGGATGGATGGATGGATGGATGGATGGATGGATGGATGGATGGATGGATGGATGGATGGATGGATGGATGGATGGATGGATGGATGGATGGTTGTTTGAAATTAATGGATGGATGGATGGATGGATGGATGGGTGGATGGATGGATGGATGGATGGATGGATGGATGGATGGATGGATGGATGGATGGATGGATGGATGGATGGATGGATGGATGGATGGATGGATGGATGGATGGATGGATGGATGGATGGATGGATGGATGGATGGATGGATGGATGGATGGATGGATGGATGGATGGATGGATGGATGGATGGATGGATGGATGGATGGATGGATGGATGGATGGATGGATGGATGGATGGATGGATGGATGGATGGATGGATGGATGGATGGATGGATGGATGGATGGATGGATGGATGGTTGTTTGAAATTAATGGATGGATGGATGGATGGATGGATGGATGGATGGATGGATGGATGGATGGATGGATGGATGGATGGATGGATGGATGGATGGATGGATGGATGGATGGATGGATGGATGGATGGATGGATGGATGGATGGATGGATGGATGGATGGATGGATGGATGGATGGATGGATGGATGGATGGATGGATGGATGGATGGATGGATGGATGGATGGATGGATGGATGGATGGATGGATGGATGGATGGATGGATGGATGGATGGATGGATGGATGGATGGATGGATGGATGGATGGATGGATGGATGGATGGATGGATGGATGGATGGATGGATGGATGGATGGATGGATGGATGGATGGATGGATGGATGGATGGATGGATGGATGGATGGATGGATGGATGGATGGATGGATGGATGGATGGATGGATGGATGGATGGATGGATGGATGGATGGATGGATGGATGGATGGATGAATGGATAGATGTGTGTCCGCAGCTTTAAGTCGTATCTCCTCCTTAACGAAGCAATATCAAAGACTATTTCCAAAAGCAAATATGTTAAGCAAGTTCCGAGGATGATTGTGGGCCAAAAAAATTCCCGGAATTCCTTCCTGGATTTCCTGGAAAAGCGAAAAAACCTCGAAATTTCTGGATGTATGGATGTGTGTCCGCAGCTTTACCGCAGCTTTAAGTGGTATCTCCTCCTCAACGAAGCAATATCGAGGACTATTTCCAAAAGCAAATATGTTAAGCAAGTTCCAAGGATGATTGTGGGCCAAAAAAATTCCCGGAATTCCTTCCTAGATTTTCCGGAAAAGCCAAAAAACCTCAAAAAAATGCAGTTTTTGGCCCATATCTCGGCAACCAGACCACTTAGCGACTTGAAATATGTACCAATCGATTCCTGCCATAATTTAGAACAATATTGCCGAAGAAAGTTTTCAAAAATATCCTTTCGTTCGGTCACAAATTTTTTTTTAATTACATTATACATAATACACTACAGTACTATATAGCAATATATAGATATAGATCTATGGGGAAAGGGATGTGTCAAAATAATCTATTTTTCGCTGTCTTTTAGATCTTGCTATAAGTTTATTTTTTACTATTTAATTCAAACGTTATTTTTGTACCCTATTAATTTATTTATAATTTATATGAGAGTGATAGGGAGTTACAATTACAAGGTTTTGTTTCGCTAGGCCTAATCATTTTTTCACATTTTTTAAAAACAAACTTGTTTTTCAATCTCGTTAATAAATATTTGTTCTATTTTGTTTTGCATTATTAAAACCACTTGTGTTGCATTATTTATTTGCTGAATATATGATTTATCTCGATTTAAAATTGTTATGGATAACATAAGGAAATTGCGCTTAAATTGTCACTAGACTTTTTATTAACTTGTTTTTCTTTTGTTTTTGTTTTGTTTGTTGCGTTGTGTTTTCCACTCGGTTTTAATGGTCAATGTGACAAAAGTTATATTCACGCGTTACGGTTTAAAGCTTGTAAATGGATTTCATTGTTGGGTAAATGGCTAAAAGAGTTGCATCGAAATCATGAACCAAAAAAATATTACTATTTACACACACACACTCACGCACACTCACGCACACACACGCACACACACACGCACACACACACGCGCGCACACACACACACAAACAAAAATATGTCACGTCACATTTCTTAGCCCCCGTAACGAATCGTCACGAATGTCTTGTTTTTCCTTTCCCCACACCTGGTTGACGTCATCTATTGACGACCCCCATAGTCCCCAATTAATGTTAGGTTCGGGGTCGGTAAAGCTCATGATGGCTTAACTGAAGCGGGCTGAAATCGGTATCAACGACCTATATGGCGCATAACAAGTTGACGCTTAACACTTAATTGTGTTGGAGGGAATCCCAATGCCAAGTTGTTCAAGACGATCAAATGGACGAGCATCTTCATCACTGATGCAACCTAAAGAGGGGGTGACCAAACCATAGGGTAACGCTCAGACCCAATTAAAAAAAAAAACTATCCGACATCTGCCGAGGTCAAGAAACATGTGAACTTTACTTCATCTGCCCTACGGATCGCTAGGTCTTAAAAAGGGGGACTTAACTTTCCTTAACTAACCATAAGTTAAAATGTAGACCTTAGTTAAAATAATATACGCTGACATCGCCACCAATTGATAACGTGCTTATCGATTATAAATAATTGCAGGTATCGATTAGTTTGACAATGCGATATGGTTACTCAACCATGCCAATTGGGGAAAATTAAAACATATTTCTCAATCTCATGATGAAAAGCATATTTTAATTTTAAAATGTCGGTAAAGTTCACGAAAACCGTTATCTTATGTAACGATTCCTACAGTCAGTCAGTTAAAAAACCCAGAAAGACGGTTAAAACTTTGTCCGAAATGAAGTTTAAAGCGTTCCTCTCGAGGCACGCTTCTTGTTTATCAAATTAGTTTTTAGTATATGTTTGGAAAGGTAAAAATTAAAAGGAAAAAAAAACAGTAGATGTAATGTCATTCTTTGTAGAAAAAAATTATAGTCGGATCATGACTGTACTTGGAAGAAAATCGAGTCGAGTTTTCATAGGCTTCTAAACGAAAGGTATCGGTAGTTTGAAACGCCATTTAGGCTACTCTAAATGCCGAAATATCCAAACACAGTTTTCATTCTGCGACATCTGTAAACTAAAATAACAAAAAGTTAATAAATCCACTTGAAAAAACAAAAACAAAAACAACACAGAATAACATTGATTTAAGAAAATATTTAATTTCTCCATTAAGTCCAATTTTATTCATACGGTTGTAAGCCTGATTTTATTTTAAATTAAGGAATTCCATTTTAAATGTACTTATTTATTTATTTATACTACTTTTCTGAACTGATGTTTATTATAAAAGTTTTCAATTGTCTTTTAGACTTTTTTTCTCTCTGGGTAACAACAATGTATTGGTGATCCTGATAGTATTTTTCTTTATTTCCAAAGTGAAACGTCGCTGGTCAAGCCAGATCTACAGTTATGTTTGCATTGTTTTATGCATGGGGGGGGGGGTGTTGTTTCTTTTAGACTTTTTCTCCTGGGGTGGGGAGGGGCACTTGAACATTTCGGGGAGGAAGGGTGGACTTAATTTTCCGGGGGGAAGGGTTGCGGACACTGGTAAAAGTATATATTTTCAATATATATTATATTTTGTTCGGGTGGTAGAGGGAGGGGGGGGGGGGGCGTTCGAATTAAAATTACCCGAAACTCTGTGGAGAAGGGGGGGGGGGGGTAATTTTAATTCTTAGCATACCAGTACTTCTACGCACTCAAGATTTTAAAAATCTTTTCTAGATAATGTATCATATGCGGTGTTTTTTTTTCGAACAGATTATCTCTACATTAAAAACATGTTTTATTAAAACATAATATGGCACCACTTGTAAGCCTGTCATATGTGTATGTCAAACAAGAAACCCCAGTCTAAAGACGCTATTTAAATAACACTTCCTGTATAAACAAAGTTAAATTATCTTTTTTTAATGATTACTTTAGTAAAGTGATTTAGTGAACACCCTCTTAATTAGTGTAGGGTTAGGTAAGTATAGCTAATTAACATCTAATTAAAATCCACGCTGGGAGATTAGAGCAGTAAAACTTTGGTCTATAAACTATCATTAACATCAGCACAAAGTGATCGGTATAAAAGGTGGGTTACTACAAGATAAGTACATTGTGGAGACAGCAATTCACGTGAGTTCCTTTCACTCAAGGTTTTGTTTTTAAACTAAATTATATGCATTTATTTTTATAGGTTGTTTTCTATGGTAATGTTTTTGTTTAAGTTCTGTTTTTAAACTAAATTATATACATTTATTTTCATAGATGTTTTTTTTGGTAATGTTTTTGATTTTTTTTTTTAAGTAATCTATATGCCTTTATTTTAAAAAAAATCTTTTTATGATAATACTTCTGTTTTTGATTTAAAAGTTTTTATGGTAATATTTATTGGGTTTGATTTTACTGGTTTTAAACGATTTTTTAAAATTCAAACACAATTAGTTATTTTTAGTTTAGGTCTGTTGATTGTAGCAAGTCGCATCGGTTAGCGTTAGGCTCATGTCACTGTGTTACAGTTCCAGTATAAGATTTGTTTAGGGTTGTATCAGGCTACGTTAGTGTAGGTACAGGCTGAGTAAGGATAATATTGAGATACAATAGTAAAAAGGCTTATAATGACCGATGCCAATAATCCACATTGAATGACAAGGAAATAAGGTACAAGTAGGTGTATTCACCTTGCAGCTGAGCGCACAATACCGTTTTACATACATTGAAGCTAATAGAGTTGTTCTTAGTACTAACCTCAGAATAATGCTTGAATAGTGTTTTTGCTACTAATTTGTAAGAAATAAAATAATCTAGGTTTGTAGTTTGAGTGCATAAAAAATAATATAGGCTACGATTTTTTTTTTCAGTTAGGCTATTTAAATACAAAAAAAAAAGGATTTAGTCCAACACGTTAGGATTACATAGTACACAAATTTACATATAGGCTTACATTTAATAACCAGGTTGTCGGAGTATTAAAATTGTGATCTCGTTAACATTTTACTGTGGATAACTTTGAACAATATATAATTTTTGGGGATATAAAATTTGAATATTTGGGTTTAAAATTCAAAGCTTTTTTTTTTCAGATAATGTTCAAGTTTGTCCTATATTTTTTTCCACGAGAAAACGTTCCAATTTGTACTGTAATTTTTCCCCACATAAAATGTTCAAGTTTCTCCCATCATTTTTCCCTCAGAAAAATGTTCAAATTTATTCTATATTTTTTTCCGACATAAAATGTTTAAGTTTGTACTGTAATTTTTCCCCACAGAAAATGTTCAAGTTTGTCCTACAATTTTTCCCCACATAAAATGTTCAAATTTGTCCTATGTTTCCCCACAGAAAATGTTCAAATTTGTCCTATGTTTCCCCACAGAAAATGTTCAAATTTGTCCTATTTTCCCCCACAGAAAATGTTCAAGTTTTGTCCCATAATTTTTCCCCACAGAAAATGTTCAAATTTGTCCTACAATTTTCCCCCACAGAAAATGTTCAAATTTGTCCTATAATTTTTCCCCACAGAAAATGTTCAAATTTGTCCTATAATTTTTCCCCACAGAAAATGTTCAAATTTGTCCCATAATTTTTCCCAACAGAAAATGTTCAAATTTGTCCCATAATTTTTCCCAACAGAAAATGTTCAAATTTGTCCTGCTCGCGCTGGCGGTGGTTCCGGCCATCATGGCCATTCAAGTGGCCATCAGGTACCAGGAGCCGTTGTTGTCGCTTACCTTGCATGGTAAGTTTTGGTGGTAATGTAGTCGGGGTAGTGTTATGGTATAAATATAAATAGTAAATTTTGGTGGTAATGTAGTCAGGATAGGGTTGTGATATATATATATATATATATATATATATATATATATATATATATATATATATATATATATATATATATATATATATATATATATATATTAAGAATTTGTTCTCCCCAGATAACAGCCGCGACATCGCCAGTGTTGCCTTCCATTACATCACCAACAACGTCAACCACCAAGCCAGAGGAGTCCGCCTGAGTAAGTCTTCTATTTATGACGTCACCACCACGTCAGTAACAGTTTCAGGTCTTGCGTCATACTGACGCCGTTTCTGTCTTTCCCCAGGTGACGGCTGGCAGTACCAGACCCGTGACGCCAGACTCGACGGCGCTGACGGCATCACATCATACGCCGTGGCCTACAACGCCGAGGGTCGCGTGCTCTACACCAGTGAACGTTCCCATCTCGCTCTCAGTGAGTTTTGTTTCGTTAGAAAAAAAATTACTACTTTTACAAACTTTTAAATAATTTATTTTTGGCAACAATGTCCGTCTGTTTATCAGTCCATGGTCACATATTAAAATTTAAATTTGGACTTAATTTTTACACAGATATTTCTTTCTAACTTTCAAGACGAATTCATTTCCGATGACAACGCAATAATGTATCATTTTCAATCTAATTAAATTTTGAAAGCGTCTGCTCTCTAGTATATTATCCTCTTCTCCTTTTGTCGGAGTTTTTTCTTAGGTGAAAATGAAATGTCCGAAATTATTTTGAGTCCTACGTATTCCATATTTTTACGAACAAAGACGGACAAGAGAAACGCCTCTGTGTTCAGTTTAGTTAAATTATTGTTTCTTTGTCAAACGATTTTTTTGTTTTGTTGAGCAGATGGAAACAGGGGCGTGGCTGTCTTGCCCGGTAGAAAGATGAGGGGTGCCGTCATCTTCAGGGACGACTTCAACAGTTTGAACACCGGAAACTGGAAGTATGAGGTGTCCATGTTTGGCGGCATGGTGAGTAGATGGTGTTGAGGTGGTGGTTATATTGCGTGGTGGTGAGGTGGTGGTTATACTGCGTGGTGGTGGTGAGGTGGTTATACTGCGTGTTCGTGGTGAGGTGGTTATACTGCGTAGTGGTGGTGAGCGTATGGTAGTTAGGTGTTGAGTATACAATGGTGTGGAGATGAGTATATTGTAATGAGGTGATGAGTTTTTTTATAGCGAGGTGGTGATATTATGGTGGTGAAGTGGTTAGTAGCTTGGGGTGATGTAATGAGAATATGGTGGTGAGGTGGTGGGTAAACTAGTGATGTGGTGAGATTGTAAGATAATGGTGATGTCATAAGTGATGAGCCTTCGATAAGGGCAATACATTTTGGCATGGTTATTGAATATGGTTGGAGGAATTAGGAGATGAGAGATGAGGAATGAAGTGATATTATGGCGAGGTCATAAAGTGGTGAGTTTTTTTGTGTGAGGTCACTATGTTTTGGTGACGTCATTAAATTTCCACAAAATTGCAGTTAAGCCTGGAGGTGGCGGTATTTCCGCGAGCTTATAAGATTTAACTTAAACAGAGACACACACATTTGCCTACATTTTATACATCATTACGTCAGCCAAATAAACTAAGAATGTCATCCTTGCTTTCAGAACTGGGAGTTCCAAGTGTACACACCAGAGGCCAAGAACGTCTTCGTCAGAAACGGAAACTTGTTTTTAATGCCAGTAAGTTAGCCGTCAAATTTTTGGTGCCCTTAAGTTAACCATGTGTTTTTGATGCCTGTAAGTTAACCGACAATTTTTTGGCTATTTTTTTTTTTTTTTTTTTTTTTTTTTTTGCCTTTTTGTTGATTTTCTTTTGACTGATATTTTTCGTGGTTTTATTAATAATTTTTTTGCTCTTTGTTTTGGTAGTTATTTTTTAAATTTTGTTTTTAACTTTAAAAAAAAGCATTGTTTTAATATATATAATGAAAAAAAATTATTTTGTAGTTTTATTTGTATTTTAGTCGATATTTTAGCAACTTTTTATAGGTCATTTCGGCTCGATTTATTTGGACGTGATTTCCAAGCGGCAAAATTCCGTGTCTAATTCAGAACCCCAATCTCTTATCGACCGTTTTAATTATTCCAAATAACACTAAGTCTGCTGCTGCCACTAATCCTCACCTTAAGCAGTTTACTCCAGATAATCTTAAACTACGATAATCTATAACTCGTATAACTGAGAAGTTTTTTTAATTCCAGACTCTGACCGTTGATGATCCCAGATGGGATGAAAACTTCTTGCACACTGGAAAAATGGATGTTGCCCGTATGTCTAGTTTATTATTATTATTATTATTATCATCATCATCAGTTGTCAGAGGCGTAGGTAGGGTGGTAGAGTATGGGGGACTGTCCGCCCCAGGCGGCTTTTCTTCAATAAATCAAATTTCTACCCCTGGGTTAAACCGTATAATTACTGCCCTTTCTTTGTTTTTGTTTATTAAACATGAATCACTGACAAGCGGGGATCTTAGAACGTAATTTATACCCATAAACCTGCATCCTTTAACTTAAAGCGTATGGCTGTTGAAGAATAGCGTGTTGGTTTAGCAATAAATTAATTCTAGACATTTAAAGTTCTAACGAACATTGACAGAAAAAATTAATGAATGTTAAAGAATGTTGCCTTATTAGTATTTTCCTATTAGAATGCAAAACCATGCAAAAATTTCAATTAAATTCTATGCAAGTTATCCTAATTTATAAAAGGCCATGTGCGCTCTTCTCTCTCTCTCTCTCTTTCTCTGTCCGCAAAAAATTTTCGCCGGACATCACGTCAGAATCGGCAGCGGTATATGGAGAACTTTTTACGGACTTTTGTTGAAAATAATATGTTAGATGTTTTAAATGTATAACCACAATTTTACTTAAAGAAGAAAAATAAAAATTAAAGGCGTATTCGAATGTAGAGAAACAGTATTATTTATGCAACCGGAAAAGCATTAATATATGTGAAAAAGAACGCATAAAACTGTGACGTCACTATTGCTTATACATTAACTAATGACGTCATCTGCCGTGTTAAGAATGAAAAGAAATGAACTATTTCATTCAAATTTGATTTAGATCTACGTACACTATGAAATGTATACAATACAATTTTTCCGGCCTAAACTCATAAAATTTATTTTATGTATTTGGATTCTAGATCTAGAGATTCTAGATCTAGACTAAATCTAAATCTAAATCTACGCAATAACTAGATCTAGACGTAGACGCTAAGATCTAGATTTAGACTCTAACTTCTCTAAAATCAATTCCAAAAATAAATTTCTATATTAGGACTAAACTATTTCAAGACTTATTTATTTTATACAAAATCTTTGTTTGGAACTGGCTAATTTGGGATAAAAAATTAATTTGAAAGAATAGGCATATTCGCGTAAGTTAAGATTTTAAAATACGTGTTTCATTCTCCGTATTTTATAAGGTGCCTAAATAGCGGAGATGTTAGTGTACATTAAACCACGCAGGTGGTGCGGGTTCGAGACACAGCAAGTCAACTTGGTTAATGTATTCTTTTGTATTAGGCTCGGGCTAAACTTAAAAAAAAAATTCTTTTAGGAATCTAGATCTAGATCTAGATTGTCGGGTGTCCGATAGGGCACTTCCCGGCGCCGCAGGCGCTTCAAATTTGGCATGATCTTGCCTTGGTGCGACAGAACACGGGGGCCGGTTGGCCGAAAAGTCTACGATGTGGGGGTCAAAACTGACCTCGACTGACCGGTACCTTATATGAGCTATAAATCGAAAAAAAATGTCCACGGAGGAACCTCTTCATAACTCTTGAGGTCGTAGACCGACCTTCGGGCGAATTAATTAAGCATTCAAATTCTCAATGTTTTCGAAAGCCTAAGCGAAGCTGGGCAGCATGCCTAGTTTACTTATAAAATGCAATGATGTCAATTTAAAAAAATTGTTTCGGTTTCTTTCCTTTAGAAATTTGGGGCTACTGTACCAACAGTGGCAACTACGGCTGCGTCAGAGAAGGCCAATATGGCATGCTGCCACCCATCATGTCTGGCAAGATCACGAGTATCCCCACTCTCAGATACGGCATTGTTGAGGTCAGAGCTAAAATCCCCAAGGGAGACTGGATTTGGCCAGGTAAATTTTTTACGAACTTAGCCAAAGTTGCTGTACTGTTAGAATTGTACTGTCAGATGATTTGAAGAACATATCCAACATTATTTCTCCTAAAACAAAGTTTATAGCTGAAATTAGATCAGTTCATTGAATAACCCATGGAGCCGAAGTTTAGAGCTTAGACATATAGGCCCACATAGGAGCCGGCAGTTATGACTTAAAATTCATATGTTCATGAAATGCCCCAAAGAAGCAGACAGTAGCAGTAGACAGCTCAGACATATATATGTTCATGAAACGGTGTAGGTCTAAGATAATATCCACACCTGGTAAATGATCCTGCCCCCCCCTTGTCTTAAGTCTTAAGAATAACTATCAAACATGATACCAGCAAAGTGAGAAATACTGCATTGTATGAATTGCCGAGAGAGTGCAAAACAAATCGAATATGAAGCTTTTCCTGGGCTTCCTATAAAATACTATGCAGTAAAACTGGAAAAGTCCAGAATATTTACTAACATAACCCTAGCCATTACCTTAACTCGGTTCCGTATCCCTAACTGTATTAGGTTTTGGGTCAATTAGTAATCGACTGAGGGGGGGGGGGGTGTCCAACGGGTTTTTTGGGCGAAATATAATGTCGATTTCGGGGATCATGGCGAGCGTTAGTTTAGTCCGCCGCCCCGAAACTTTCAAGTGCCTCCCCTCCCAAAGAAAAAAAGTCTAAAAGAAACACTGCGGGGCGTGATTCGCGGATGGCTGTTAATGATCGTGGGGGGGGGGTAAATAAGAGTGGCTAATGTCCTTCTCCCAGATGACCCCCACCCTCCCCTCCCCCTGCCACATCTGAAGACGCGGTGATCTGTTCTCTGTTTCAGCTATCTGGATGATGCCAAGAGACAGCGCTTATGGCGGCTGGCCCAGGTCTGGCGAGATCGATATCATGGAGTCCAGAGGTTCGATTGTTTACTATTTATTGTATATTTAGAATGGTCGGTACTTGACACCCTAAACTGTTAGCAACTGTTGGCTTCCCGGGTTCATTTAGCCAGTAGATGCGAAGACTACCTGGCACAGAGCCGAGCACGCAATAGGGCTGGTAAGTAGGTCACCAACCAGTTCTATGGCTCATGCAGGTTTTATTGAGCCGTAGAACTGTTTGGTGACCTACTTACTAGCCCTATTCGCTGAACTAAATAGTTTGGTTTCATTATTAACTTTGAAAGGGTAGGCCTATATAATCCTTGTATCAGAGATCCTGATATTGTGTTACAGATGGGGTGGCATAGCCAAGAGAAAATTACTTGTGTTTAGCTCTTATAGGCACATGTCTACAGCCTAACTGTGGTCGAGCAGGAAACGCCCTCAGCTGCAGTTGTTATACTTGTGTTCGAGTCGATGGCGTAACTGCAATGTAACTAAGGTTGACAAAGTCCACGGGCCACCGAGGTCCCAGGTCCCCCGAGCTTTTTTAAGTAATAAATTCAGCCCTTGAAGCAATGACGCTCTTTGAAAATTCAGAATTAAGGCTTAGTTCTGACCACACTATTATTCTATGTGTCAAGTGTAGCTAACTAAAAAACTCAATTTCACCTTTTTCTTGGAGAGTGAACGTCCTTGATTGACCCCTAGCCTGTACTGCAGTCTATTGTAAATCTATGTATTGTTTGAATTATGTAGGTAACAACGGCGACATTGGTGTCGGTACAGTCAGCAGCACCTTACATTGGGGACCCGCCTGGGACAACAACAAATGGGACCTGACCCACGGGGAGAGGTACATTTTCAAGTTGTCTTACGTTGACAAGTTGCCCTCATCGGGTCATCCATAAATGACGTCACGTTTTTTGGGACGATTTTTACTCCCCCCCCCCCCCCCCGTCACACATCGTCACAAAAAGCCAGACCCCCCCCCTTAAATGACGTCATACCTCAGCCTACAACCCCCCTCAAAATTGCAGTTGAATTTTTCTTAAAACATCGATATTTTCCCAACTTTCTCAACAGTATTTTAATCAATTCCTATTACAATTTATTAAAACAGTTTTCTAAAACGCGAAATAACGGTCAAAATTCGTTTTGTAACATTGCTCTTTTATAATGCTAAAGTTTGTCGTCCCACCATCTGATCCCCTCTCTCATCACACACCGTCACAAAATTACGGACCCCTCTCCCCCCCCCCCCCCTTACGAGTGTGACGTCATTTATGGACGACCCCCATGTTTATTTCTGGGATCAATAACCCAAACAGTAGCCATTTATTTCTAAGCATTGGCATTTTGCGCTGGTGTTGTTTTTAAGCATACTAAAAACATTGAGCCTTTTTATACTATGTCGTATTTACAAAACCATGAAAACACTTTTTGTCCAAGTTAGAAAAAAAAGTGTTTGTGTGTGTGTGTGACTTTGCCTGACGTTATTTTAGAAAATAAGGAAGAAGTTAGATGGGGAAGGAGATAGACAGGGTGAACTTCAGTGACAAAAGTGTTAAATTGGCTCAAATTTCGTGACGTCAATTGGATCTATGGGCGATGCATTAAAGTGGGGTTAATTATTTGTCAGCCGCCGTACGAGTATTATATAACGTAGTGGCTATAACCAGAGCTTCTACCAAGCATCTCTTCGTTTACCTTCTCCCCCCCCCCCCCCGAACGAAACAAACTATATAGAAAATATATACTTTTACCGGTGCCCCCCCCCCCCCCTTCGAACGAAGTAGAACTATGTTGAAAATATATACTTTTACCAGTGTTCTCCCCTCCATTTCCCCCTTCACGGATAAAAATGTCTGAAAGAAACACCGATTATAAATTGCTACTCTTTTATTCGATGTAACAACAACCTTTCCTCCATCGAACAGACACACCGGATCATGGCACGACAACTTCCACACCTGGAAGCTTGAGTGGACACCTGACCACCTCATGTGAGTATCATCAGCCCCACCACCACATTCAATCACAACACTAGTAGTTAGTAGCTCAGGTGTAAGTTAAAGGTTAGGCCTAGTGGCTGCCCTTCCTCAATGGTTGTAACTAAGTAAGTTATATGCATTGTCAGCCTTTAAAATATACATGTTTAGAAAAAAAAATTGTTATATTATATGAAAATATTTTCCCCCACGGAACATGTATACTTGTTGCGAAGGTTTTTTTTCTGGACTTGTATAGTATACATGTTACAAACGCGGTGTAACCAGTGGCGTAGCCAGGAATTGGTCATGGGAGGGATTCAAATATTTTTCCATATGTATAAAATCATATATATATATATATATATATATATATATATATATATATATATATATATATGAGTCCATGGGAGGGGTGTAACTGTCTGTAAGGAAGAGATTTTTACTAAGCAGTGAGTAGCTTCGTCTAGATCTGAATATACTGAGATTGTTTTGTTAACAATTGTTCCGTGTTTTTTACTATGTCTAGCACCTTTGTGGACAACCAGAAAATCATGGAGGTGACCCCAGGGGCCAACTTCTGGCAGAAGGGAGGCTTCAGTGGCCCCAACATCTGGGCCAGCGGGGAGAAGATGGCTCCATTCGACAAGGACGTAAGTGTTGGGACACTCCCCAAATTGGCAGCTGGTTATAGGGAACTGTTGGCTTAACCGTACCAGACCGTCATGATGTAGTTGGGGTTTTTTTTTTGTTTATTTGTTTACTGTAAAGAGGTAATCGCTGAAGAAATTTTCTTTTTTACAACTGACTCAAATAGTTGAGGTAAATATCAACAGCTGTTTATTATGCAAAACAGTCATCGCCAACACGATAATTTTATTCAGTAGCGTGTCAAACGGTGCGGTAACTAAGCTTTGTAACAGCTTTGCATCTTCGGTTTGGTGTCACCCCTCTCCCCTTAGTATTTATTATTTTATCTGAATATAACTTTATGACAGTAAACCTTTCGAATTTTTTTATTTGGTGTCACCCATATAGTATTTTATTATTTTGGCAGTAATTTTTCAATTTGGTGTCACCCTCTAAATGGTGCCATGATTCCGATTTCAATCCTCTCTAACATTTATCAATCCCCAGTTCTACATGATCTTCAACGTCGCTGTCGGTGGCACCAACGGCTTCTTCCCTGATAACGCCAACTGGGGCGTCAGGAAACCATGGGCCAACAACTCGCCACAGGCCGCACAAGACTTCTGGAACGGTCGCCACGACTGGCAGCCAACTTGGCAGGGAGATCAGGCTGCCATGCAGATCGACTGGGTCGAGTTCAGGAACTTGTAAAACACCTGGCCAGTTTGATATGCCAGTTGGGAGTTTGAAATGTTTATGTACAGAGCATTTTTCTAGGAATAAATATTTTGTTTGATAGTGTTTGCAATGTGTATGGAATTTTGGGTGATTGGGTTAAATAAAAGGCAAAATTTAAACTGTCGAAATCAAATTTATGACTGAATCCACTGACTCTTCAGTAGTGGTAAATCAAAATGTAAGTCTCAAGACAAAAAACATAACTAAAATAAAGCTCAAAAATAAAGATTTAACTACATCAGTTGGTGTAAAGATCAACATTATAAATAAAGTTAATGAAATTGACATAAATCCACTAAAAATTGAACACAAATCCATAACAAACACGGCCCAACATCTTTCAGCATTCACGAGGCTCTTGCAGTACAATACAACTACAAAGTTTGCATTACAAACAGCACATTAAAAAGTCAGTATACCTATCTTTACATTTGAAGCAATGAATAAAAAAATAGCGCTCTGTTAAATTTATTTACTGATACAGCAATTTTAATAGTTACAGTAGCATGTTTCATAAATCTGGTCAGTTCACATAAAATAAAACAAAATATTTCTTCAAGGAATTTTTTTCAAAACCTGAGGGACAAGGTAGGTGTAATTAGTCCAAAGAAATGTATTTAGACAAACATTTGTGTTGGTAAAAAAATGTTTCAATTGTTTTTGTTACACTGCTATTACATTGACCAGCAACAATGTATCAAAACTTTTATACAAAGTAATCAACATTTATAACATGTAGCTATATAATTATACTTCATAAAAGGAAGAGAAATTATAATTAGACATTTTTCAATTTGATATCCATAATTACGTCATGAAGAAAAAATCAGAAAATTACTGTTGAATTGCTACTGTGTGGCAGGGACTATTTCTTTTACATTAACTCAGAACTCAATATAACAAATAGTTGATTATCAATAAATATACAAGTGTCAAATTTGGAAGTCTCCCCAGGTATAAGTAAGTAAAGTAAAGATTCCTCTTTAGACCTAACAATCCATTGGTCAGATGAAGTGGAGTTCATGTTTCTTGACCTCGGCATATAAAGGGATAATGTGCCCAGCCGCCTGTACTTTTCCTAACGTGAGTTAGGTACCCATCAGAGTTGGGATGACTCAGGGATGTTCCACTTTAACTATCAGGTTAGCAGTCTAGCGCTCCACCGCTAGGCCACGCCATCCCAGGCGTAAGTGCTGATAGGTTAATTTTTCTACATAATCAACGCCCAATATTCAAATCTTAAGACAGAGGGGTTAGTTTTTTGAATCATGTAAACAGAGTTCAATGTTTTAACTAGTTTAGTACAACACAAATAACCTGGTTAATCCTGAGAAGTATCCTTATAGTTTAGGTCCACATAATGTGCTGTGTTAGACAGGCGGCTCACCAGACTGCTTCACTTGCTGCTGCTTCTCCGCCTGCTCTTTATGTTTTGTCTGGACATGACGACCCAGTTTGTTCTTCTCTCTCGCTGTGTATCCACAAAATGGACATTTGTGAGGCTTGTACTCGGAATGTATCCACATATGTTTCTTTAAGTTGCCAGAAGTTTTGGCGCGATAAGGACACACATTGCAAGCATACGGCTTGATGCTGGAGTGTACGATACGTACATGACTGTCCAACATGCCCTTTAACTTGCATGTGTACGGGCACAACGAGCAAGAAAAGGGTTTCTCATCACTGTGGACCACCATGTGTTTTTTTAAATTCATGCTCTCCCTACACTGGAAAGAACAGACTGTACATTTGAAAGGCCGGTCATCAGTGTGCCTGTTTCTATGCCGGTCAAGGTGGGCCCTAAAGGGAGTCGTGAAATCACAATACTCACACAAATACCTGTGGCTGCCTGTGTGAGACTGAATGTGAGTTTTTAACTCCGCCCTTCTTTGACATGAGAAATCACAGTAGGTGCAAAAGTAACCGTCGCTGGTGCGGTGCTCCGACATGGAATGCAGTTTCAGGTCGCACATTTGTACAAAAGACAAGTCACAAAACTTGCAGCTGTAGAACGACCTCTTTATATGCACCCGTTCCACATGGCGCTTAAACTCGTAGCTTTCATTGGTGCTGAAGGAACACTGAGTACACTTAAACTTCCTTTCAGGGTTATGATTCCTAATATGTCGTTTTAGAACTATCTTTGACTTGCATGCATGACCGCACTGCGGGCACTTAAACCTTTTGCCTTCTATATGAGTCTCTTTATGATACTTTAACCCAGAAGAGGATTTACTCTGGAAGCCACACTCATCACAGACGTACGGACGGTACTCCGGGTGTTGTTTTATCAGGTGTGAGGTCAGCTTGAGAGTGACCACCTGGCACACGGGGCATATGGCCACTTTACTGGAGGCTTTCATGTGCTGTATTGTGCTGTTGTGAGCCTGTAGCTCGTCCATGTTCAGGCACACAAACCTGCAGCTACTGCAGTGAAAGACAGGGAGGTCGTGGGCGTTGACAACATGAGCCGTCACCTTCTTGATGGTTGTGAATGACAGAGAACACACCGGACAGGGCAGCATCTTCTTTTTTTTCTTCCTCCATTTGACAGGTGGGGGTTTGATCTCTGCGTGGCACAGCGCGTGCACCTGTAAACTCGTTTCAACTTGAAAAGCCGAATTGCACACAGAGCACTTGAAGGGCGCTTTTTCTTTGTGGACATTCTTTAAGTGCCTGCCAAGTTCAAGGTCGCCGTGGCAAGTGAACTCGCACTGGGTGCATTTTTTCTCCTCGGTGACATCCGCAGCCTCTTGTGGGGTCTCAGGCTGCTCTGCCGTCTCGTGTGGGACAGAAGGCTGTTCCGCAACCTCTTGTGGGACAGAAGGCTGTTCTGCTCCTGCTTCATCCAACCAAGGTGGTTCAGTCTTACAAAGTGCCTGATTGTCAAGAACTACAACTAGGTTTTGTTCAGGCTTGTCTGATGTCTTGCCCTGAGCAACAGTTGTCACACTTGCGCCAATTGTCGGCGGTCGCTCTTTACGTTTAAGTTCACTTGATGTATCTTGTTCAATCTTGGCACGCTCCAACTCAGCCAAATTGTGGACCAAGAACCTGGTCTTCATCTCATTAGTTGAGTTATCCATGACACTGACCCTTTCAAGATCCGTCGCATCCAGCACTAAAGGTTTCCCCGGGGGCTCCTCTGTATAGAATCTGGGTCTTGAAGACTGGAAGATCTCAACATCCTCCAGCTTGACCGGCTCAATGTCCACAGACAGCACAGACATGCCTAGAATTTTGTCAGCCTCCTCCTGGTTGACTGCGTAAACCAGGTTCTGGGACACAGCGTAGGCCAGGGCACGCTTTTGGGCAAGCTCACGATCAGTCTGGCATGATTCAGAAACCATCCCATCTTTGTCGCGAGGTTCATCCTCCACAGTAAAAGAATTATCCTTTGCCTTTTTGCCGCCCTTCTTTTTCTCCTTAACGGACTTTTTATTTTTAAGAGTAGACCCCCGAGCGGGTCTGCCTCTCCTGGCACACTGTCTTTTAGAAGGGGGAACTTCCTGTTTGACTTCACATTTTACACTAGGGGCAGAACGTTTTCTACTCGGTGTTGCAGTTTCCTCACCTTTAGATTCACGTTTGCCGCGCCGGGGAACACGTTTACCACGTACCTTTACGACTGATGCCGGATCTTGCGTGCCACTTTGGGCAAGTTTCATAAACGACTTGGCAACTTTGTGGGGTTTCTCTTGTCCATCGAGATCCAAAACAACTGTGACTTCATCTTTCACGGAGTCAATGCCCTGAGCTTTTTGTATTTCTATACGATATTTTAGCTGTGCTTGTGCCATTTTATGGCAGAAATTTCACTGTTACTGCTGTATTTCAACACACATCAACTTTTTATCAGTCATCTCAAGGTTCTCGAATTCTAACAGAATTAAAGAAAAATGAATTATTTAAATGGCAACAATAAAAAATGTCTATTTTTTAAAAAGAAAAAAAGCAAAAAAAATGACAATGCAATTTAATTTTTTTTTGTCTCTAACTTTTACTCTAATAGAAAAAAGCCAATCTGATGTTAAATCGTATAACTCATAAGGAATTTCAGAAAAATGTGCAATTAAGTATTGATTTTTAATTGCATTTGTCCTACAAAAACGAAAAGGTTTAAATTTAATTTTAAGTTAAAAACAAATTCTTTAAAATGCAATAAATCATAAAGTTTGCAAATTAGCATGTCTATAGTTCATAGCACAAAAAATAATTATTTCTTGACATAGGGACCTATATTTTTGTACGAAGCAAAATATTAGTTTCTATAATTATTTTATCATGCATATTTCACATTGAAAATGCTTTAAATTTTAAATTTAATTAATAACATTATATAATAAATAATGTTTTTAAAAATAATATAAACAAAAGAAGTCATTAAAAACATTCAAGCGCAAGTTAAATTTCATTGGTCAGATGTGTATAAATTTATTTTTCAAATGACCTGATGCTGTATAGCTCCAGCAAACTGAATCAGGGCAGTTAACCAAGGCTCACTATCCAAACCCAGAATTTTATGCATTCTGTTTGTTCTGATAGTTAAGACAATTTAGGAATAGACATTGTCCATGTGGTCTGATTAGTAAGGGCAGACTATTCAGACCTAGGTATCCCTGATTTACCCTTACAAATTTTAAGTCCAACCCAAGCTGCCCCCCCCCCCTCCAATGTAGTAATTGATGTCCCTTATTTGGCTACAGGACATTAACCCCCCTCCCCCAAGATTGAATCCTGATTCTAACTCCAACTCTATACCAATACATTACCTTAATCTTAAGGTAAAGACAAAAAAACCTAAGAATTCACCTCACCCTAAAATAAACCCAAAACCAACTCTAGACATAGAGTTAAGCCTATCCCTGATCTTAGCTAAACCTTAAGCCATGACGGGGGGGGGGAGGAGAGAATGTCCTACTGGGGGGGTGTAATTGACAGGGGGTAATTACTCCAGGGGCAATGATGGGGGAGATGTCAGGGGAGTGATTGACGGGGGGGGGGGGGGGGGGGTAATGCCCTGTTCCTGTCATATTTAACCACCCTAAGGATACATTATTTATGTACAAAAAATTTTTACTTTGTCATAATAAACAGTATATTACATATATTGTATTTGTGATGACAAATTTTAAGCAATGTAAGTGCATCTTGTCTCATTTTTTGCAATGGCTTTATTTGCTGTATTTGATTTTAAAAAAGGCCATGCCTAAATTCTGCTTCACCACATGACATGTCTCTCTAGTACTATATGTAGTATCTACAAATATGTGGTTGTAGCAGATAAAGCTAAGGTAGTCAAACTGCATGTAGAGGAATATTAATTTAAAAAATTGTTTTTAAATATGCCATAAAAATTCAATGAATTAGGCCTATTTCGTTTATTAGGCCTATTTAATTTTGTATTGCATGACTTCAGCTTAAATTTTAATATTTCATAGAAATATTTAGGCCCTAATTAATTCGGCCTAAATAAAAACAAAATAGGCCTACTAGCAAGAGAAAGTCGCAAAACAAAGAGAATGATTTAATTTAATAAGAGCAAAGTAGGCTTAATTAGCCTAAAATTTAGGCCTATTGCCTATATTATTTTATTAGCCTTAGGCCTATTTTTATTAATTTGTTCAATCAATATTAAATTATTAATTTGATATCATTTTTGGGTAAAACTCCATTTTAGCGTATTTTATTCCCCGCTTCACGTTCACCTCCAGTTGAGCGTATTTTATTATAAACACAACCGAAACACACAAAAACGTTAGGAAAACACTAGATCTACTTATTTTTATATGAATGTGATTTTTAATTAGAAAATGTAAAAAAAACGTAAAAAAGCATTAGAACTTTTCCAATTAAATATCGTGTGATAATCAGTGGTAGAAAAAAATCCTTACACGGTCGTACATAGCCGCGGGCGATTTTACGTACCCAAAACGATAGATTACCCAAAAATACAATATATAGGGCCTACAAATAAATAATATAAATTATAAATCGTGTTTTCCTAATGTTTAGGTGTGTTTCGGTTATTATAATAAAATATGCTCAACTGGAGGTAAACAAGAAGCGGGGAATAAAATACGCTAATGGAGTTTTACCTCATTTTTTATTGACATCAATCACATGAATTATCTGACATGATGATTGAGTCAATTGACAGATGGAGGTGTGATCAGCAGACTCAGAGGATCTGATGAGATCAAATTAAACAATTACAAATAACGATGTTAGACTATTTTTTTTATTAACATCGTAACATTTAGATTTTAGATCTAGATCTAACCTAGATCTACAATAAAAAAAAAAAAAAACATTAACTTGCAGGCCGGTGTCGGTGACTGGTGACACTCACTGACACTGTCATGTGTTTGTAGGATGATTAATGCGCAAAACTTATTATCTAGAACGAGATAGGTAGTCTATAGACTAGATCTAGATCTACACCTTATAGTATGCCGTGTATAAAATTTAAAGGATAATATAATAAACAAAAACATTATGTTGCCTCCACCTTATTTATTTTTAAATCGGCCGTCCTGACTAAAAAAAAATCGACGGAAGTGAAGTATTGAAAGCAAAAATGTAACCAGGATATGGAATCTATGATAAAACAGCGGACGAAAAGAAAATTATGTATTGCCAGTTTGAATATTAGCAGCTGGTTAGAATATTGTAAATTAGGCCAAGTATAACAAACATTTGGTGCAATTTATATTACACTGAGCATACATTTTAATTTAGCATTAATCGGCAATTATATTTTACAAATTTTTATAATATTAAATATTCATTTAATATCTTGGCTAACCATAGTAATTTAAATTATTAAAATAATCCATTTATTTAGCTTTTATTATTTTGTCTCAATCGTAAGCCAATTGGGGATGCTAAACTACTCTGCTCTACTCAACTAATTTATATTCTACCCTACCCTACCCTACCCTACCCACCCACCCTCATCCCATCCACCACGCGCTAAGAATGAAACCCGGATAACAAGAAAAACGCAAGTATTAGGCAGTGACGTATTATATATTAATTAAAAAGCCCCCCATATCTCAAATAGCTTTGGACTATATGCCTTATCAAATCTAAATCCGGCACTGGTTAACCAAATTGTCTATAATAATATTTTTTAAACAGACCCTTCTCCACATTTCTATTAAATCGGGCATTTCCGTTGTCAATAATATCAGCTGCTTCTAGCCACCCCCCCCCCCCCCCCCCAACTTTCCCTGGACACAACTCCTGGGGTCAAATAACAGTCTGTGAGCTATTTCCAGATCGATTGCGTAAGACGGGTGTTAAGGAAGTGCTAACTCCTACATTAGGCCCAGGGGACGAGGAGATGACGAGTGCAGAAAAGTTGTACACTGTACAGTAACGCTGGTTTACTGCACAAGTTTGTGGTAAAGTAAGGGTTACTGCACAATATATGTGGTAAAGTAAGGTTTACTGCACAATGTATGTGGTAAAGTAAGGGTTACTGCACAATGTATATGGTAAAGTAACGATGGTTTACTGCACAATGTATGTGGTAAAGTAAGGTTTACTGCACAATGTATGTGGTAAAGTAAGGTTTACTGCACAATGTATGTGGTAAAGTAAGGTTTACTGCACAATGTTTGTGGTAAAGTAAGTAACGCTGGTTTACTGCACAATGTATGTGGTAAAGTAAGGTTTACTGCACAATGTATGTGGTAAAGTAAGGTTTACTGCACAATGTATGTGGTAAAGTAAGGTTTACTGCACAATGTATGTGGTAAAGTAAGGTTTACTGCACAATGTATGTGGTAAAGTAAGGTTTACTGCACAATGTATGTGGTAAAGTAACGCTGGTTTACTGCACAATGTATGTGATAAAGTAACGCTGGTTTACTGCACAATGTATGTGGTAAAGTAAGGGTTACTGCACAATGTATGTGGTCAAGTAAGGTTGGTTTACTGCACAATGTATGTGGTAAAGTAACGCTGGTTTACTGCACAATGTATGTGATAAAGTAACGACGGTTTACTGCACAATGTATGTGGTAAAGTAAGGTTTACTGCACCATGTATGTGGTAAAGTAAGGTTTACTGCACAATGTATGTGATAAAGTAATGCTGGTTTACTGCACCATGTATGTGGTAAAGTAAGGTTTACTGCACAATGTATGTGGTAAAGTAAGGTTTACTGCACAATGTATGTGGTAAAGTAAGGTTTACTGCACAATGTATGTGGTAAAGTAACGCTGGTTTACTGCACAATGTATGTGGTAAAGTAAGGTTTACTGCACAATGTATGTGGTAAAGTAACGCTGGTTTACTGCACAATGTATGTGGTAAAGTAAGGTTTACTGCACAATGTATGTGGTAAAGTAAGGTTTACTGCATGTATGTGGTAAAGTAACGCTGGTTTACTGCACAATGTATGTGGTAAAGTAACGCTGGTTTACTGCACAATGTATGTGGTAAAGTAACGCTTCCTTTGAGGCTATGTTTCGGTGACGTCATCACACAAGTGGCTACATCACTGCACGTCGTTCACATCAGGTGTTTCTACCAGGTGGGGTGTCATCAGTCGAGTCACCTTTAGGGTGTCACCTCCACCACACCCTCACCAATGGTGAATTTAACTCTAATCGGGAAAAACTTTTCTGTCTTACAACCATTTATGTTGTTGTCACGCCCCCCCCCCACTCCCATACACACATACCCTTTTGAGTCGAATAAAGCCATTATAAATATGCATTACAGTATTAACCACTACCCCCTACCCCTAGTCTTCTACCCCCAGCAATTCACATGTTAAAAAACAGTTTTAAACACAATAGCAAACACCCATTGTTTTTACTCAACCCAATATCTTGCAATAAATAAACTAAAAAACAAAACTCAAATAAATTTTAAAAAGTCGACCATGAATCAAACTCTGTCTTAGAACGAGAGAGATTTCAAAAAGCATTCATCGACTTTTTAATGAGGTTTGTGTTTTAAAAAAATCAACTGTTCAGATATTCAATTATGAAGCTAATGGAAGTTGGCGTTGTGACGGAATTAGCTAACCACGTCTGGCCAGATTTTTGTCTATTCAATAACTAGATTTCTCCGCTTTTATTTATTCAGTGTGCTTATATAATGATGTCGGCCTAATTGTTTGTACATAAATAATGTTGTAAATCTTTAAATGAGTATGGGAAAATTGAAAAATTGGTTTCGAATATCGGACTTTTAATATAAATATAACTGTACTATTTAGGCTCACATGACACAGGAGATTAAATTACCATCACCCTCAATTACTCCCCCTCCCTCTTGATCAACGACCCCCACATGTCAACCACCCCCTTGATCAACTACCCCCTTGATTGATCAACTACCACCCATGTCACTTGAATTTACATAGACAATATATACTTTTAGCCGTGTCCGTCGCCCCCGTAAATTTTAGCCCCCCCCCCCCCCCCCCCCCCCCGGATAAAAAGTCTGGAAGAAACACTGGTTGATTGGTAGAGCTTGCGACTGATAACCCGAAAGTCGCAGGTTCCGATCCCGGGCTCAAATCATTAGGACGTTCCTGAGTCCACACAGCTCTGATGGGTACCTGACTCACACTAGGAAAACAAAGATGGCTGACCACACTATCCCTCACATGCCGAAACAGATGAACTCTGCTTTATCTGCCCCACGTGTCTTAATGATGATTAATAATAAAAAAAACCCCACATGTTTCTATGTTTACCGGTGTATGACAGTGCTGGGCTATTGATAAGCCTCGGAGTCTCCTGATGAACTCTACTTCACCCGCACCAAGAAGGACCACTAAATCTGGAACAAGTGCTTTACTTTGGCACGGGTAAGCTTGGTGTATAAGCGAAGTACGCTGTGCGGAGGTATGAGATTGGTGACAAGAATCAACTGCAGAGGCGTAGCAACCCCTCCCGGCGCCCGGGGACAAACTTTTAATTTGGCGCCCCCCCCCCCTCCCCAAATATTTTGTTGTATTTGTAATTCAAAACTGCAGCTAAAATGAGCTTTTACTTTTTTTCCAAACCATTTAGGCGCCCTGAAGGTCGGCGCCCGGGGACATATGTACACCCCTCTCGTCGCTACGCCTCTGATCAACTGACGCCACAGCATATTTTATTACTGGTTGCCCGGTATTGAAGCCAAAGTATAATATGTAAACATACAAACTCACTTTCATCAGTAGCGTAGCGAGGGGGGGGCGGGGGGGGGACATCTGTCCCCGGGCGCCGACCTTAGGGGGGCGCCAAATTGAAAGTTTGACGGGGGGTGCAAATGAAAAGTTCGAGGGGGGGGGGGTGCAAATCGAAAATTTGCTCCCAAGGGGGCGCCAAATTGAAAGTATGTCCCCGGGCGCCGGGAAGGGTCGCTACGCCTCTGACTTTCATATACACTACAACAACAGAAAACAAAAGAATTTAGAAATTTAAAAAAAAAGATTAGATTTCATAGCAAACATGTATTTTTTTTTATTATTGATTTGTATTATTGAAAATTATAGCCACATTTAATTTACAATTTTAAAAAATCATTAACGAATGTCAACACATAATTTGATTATATATTAATTATATTAAGCATAATTAGTCAAATTTAATTGATCACCAAAAGAACAAATAAAATCAGAGTTTCTTTCAGGCATCTCTTACAAGAGAGTCCAACCCCCCCTCCCCCCCCCCCCCCACCCCAATTGCGGAGAAAAATGTCCAAAAGAAACGATGATTAAAATACCATCCATATCATGAGTTTCTGTAAGTTTTAATAAAAACAGTAAAACATCCACATTAGATTAATTAATCTTGGAAACATTTTTCTGCTTTTAGTAAATGGAGAGAATTACCTCTTCCCCCTCTTTTTACCCCTCATTTAGTTGATAAAATAAATTCATATAAAGTATTTTTTTTTACTTCACTATTCATTTTGTCCAGTATTTATCCGTTTTTCCTGGCTACTGGTCTCGTCTTGTTTGAAGATGTCCACCGATAAAGACAGATCCTCCATACTGATCATTGTCTCTCGCGACTGACACAGTGAGCTGTGACTGTCTACTGTCATTTCCGGCGAATCGTTCCTCGAACAGACCGGGTCGCTGACGTCACGGCACGACGTCACGAAACTGCTCTCCCCGGTCCCGTGAGGCGTCCCCTGGTCACGTGGTAGCTTATACAGTAAAAAATACTTCGCCATTTCTTTATTTTTTAACAGGTTGAGTTTTTCTTTCTCCTTCACGGGGAGGGGGCTGCACAAATTCCGATTATCGCAGACCCGGGTGAATCCGTAGCTGAAACACTGGTTGGTGACAAGTCTGTTTTCTTTGAAGTTCGTTCCGTTAGAATTTTCATTGATAGAAAAAGTATTGCACTCGGAAGTCGGTGGCTTGTACCGACAGGTGTTCACCACACGCTGAATGCTTTGGTGAAGCAACAGACAGCTGTAGAGAAAAGCGTATACGAAGTGGAGAAGGAAAACGGTCAAAGGGACGCTATCCATGAAAAACGGAGTTTCTTGAAGCATGGCAAGAGTTACCAGTGTTATAGGCAGAAACGCCCGGGAAACGAAACAAATGGCGCAGGAGAACATGATCATTTTCTTGCACGTGCTGTAGCTTTTTTGGCCGAGTTTCAGAACGAGGCAGGTGTCTTTTGCCGATGAGCTGATTTCCGGTATGATGATCGTGACGGCCAAAAGTAAATTTTCATTGTAGGCCATACTGATCAGGCAATTCGCCGCGCTGAGTAGGTTGTAAACAAAGTCAACGCCTGGCTTGCCAGATTGGCCTGCGACGGACCGAGTCTCCGGTTTTCCGTCTACTGTTTCACGGACGAGGAGCATTTGCAGGGCCATGACAAGAAATCTGGCCACGTTTGCACTTAGAATAACCCGGATGAGACAGTTTGGGTAAGGGGAGGGCTGGTGACTGAATGGAAGAGACGATATTGACGTGTACGTTAGGGCTAGAATGGTGAGAACCATCAATGTCCAGAGACTCAGCTGTTCTGTTAGGCTGAAAGTAAACACAGAAAGCAAGCACTCATTAAATACGAAAACAAAACTCCAAGAGTTTAGCTATTTTCATGAACTCTACTTTCTCTCTTATATAAAAGCAAAACAAAACCCAAAAATGTGCTTAAAATTTAACAAGCTAAACCTTTGATGCCAAGTTAACTCTAAGCGTCTGTCACGCTGTTTGAGAGCTGCCCATTACTTTAACATAAACATTTTTTTTACATATCTTCTAAGTAGCAAAGCAATATTTCCTCAAAGACGTTTTTTTTTTCTCGGGTGGGGGGGGGGGGGGGGGGGGAGGGTGAAAACCGGTAAAGTATATATTTTCGAGAACAGGGCATTACCCGCCCCCCCCCCCGTCATTTACCCCCCGGACACCCCCCCCCCCGTCATTACCCTCACCGGAGTAATTACCCTTTGTCAATTACCCCCCGCCCAGTAGGACATTACCCCCCCCGGTCATAGCTTAAGTTTCAGCTAGGGTTAGAGCTAGGGTTTGAGTTTCGGCAAGGGGTAAATACGGGGGGGGGGAATGTCCGGGGGGAGGGAAATGTCGGGGGTGGGGGGTAATGTCCTGTAGCCATATTTTCTTTATAAATTCTATTTCACTTGTTGGATGGGGGGGGGGGGGTAGACTTGCCCACAAAGAGACGACTAAAAAAAGAAACACGGATTCATGGTTGGATCTACCCGTTAATATAAGGATATGCTATAAGTGTTTCAATTAGAGACTCAGGCATTGTGGCTAATGGAACATCGGTTGCCGTACTTACATCCTGGGCAGCAGGCTTGGCCTTGACCTGTGGATCTCGACCAGCGTCCGAAGGTTCAGAAAGGTCGAGCACCAGTGGAGCAGGCGGATCAGCACGAGCTGGAGCAGGACGAGCAGGTGAGACGTGAGCAGCATGGTCAGCACATCTTCCAGGTGTATCACAAAGTTGGCCATGTTAGGGGTCTTCACGTGGTGACTAGGGTGGGATCTTTAGAGGTAAGGTCTTTACTTGGTGACCTTTATGGTTAAGGTCTTTACTTGGTGACCTTTAGGGTAAGTTCTTTACTTGGTGACCTTTAGGTTCAGGTCTTCACTTGGTGACCTTTAGGTTAAGGTCTTCACTTGCTGACCAGTGGTAGATTTAGTTGCTGACTAGTTTAAGCAGTCTTGTATCTAGCGCTGTACCCTCCATCTGTGGCTCACACAACGGAAACCTCTACAGCCACAGACACCAATCTAGTCTCCTGTAGTAAAAAAAATGTTCACATATATATAAGATCAAATACATTTTTTAAAAAAATGTAAACAGACTTCATGAAGAAATCACAACAACAGATTTTTAAAAATAGAAATGGAAATTTTCAATTAAATTGTGTTTTAATTCTGATAAACACTAATGGTTTAAAAAAAACATTTTACTTTTTTGTGTAAAAATCTGTTGATGTTGTGTTTTTCTAAGAGAATATAATCGAACTGTACTCAAGTTGATGATCACAACACTCTAACATTAACAGAAATAAAATACTTAAAAAAACTTTTTTAAAAACCACGTTTTTCTTGTGGACTAAAAAGTAGAAAATAAATTTTTCTTTTGTGCTTCCTCGAGCTGTGCAGGTTCTTGTGATGACTGACAAAAAACGTGGGTACGTTCACCATCAAATTTCCCGACCCATCTGCCCGACCCACGTTTTTTGTCAGTCATCACAAGAACCTGCACAGCTCGAGGAAGCACAAAAGAAAAATTTATTTTCTACTTTTTAGTCCACAAGAAAAACGTGTTTTTTTTAAAAAATTTTTAAGTATTTTATTTTCTCCTTTTTAGTCCGTTGCTACACATGAAAAACGTGTTTTTTTAAAAAGTTTTTTATATAGTTTATTTTCTACTTTATCTAATGACTTGATTAAGTATGAATTGACTAAGTGTTTATAAATACACGGACTAAAAATATTGAGCGACCAGGATTCGAACCTGGGTTGTCGCGGCCACAACGCGAAGTACTAACCACTATACGATCACGGCCAGCGCGCTCACATCGATTGGGGCCGAAGTAACTGTGTCAACAGGCCTCCAGTCTTGTCGGTATCTTTAGAAATCATGTCCTCAATTTTATGGTCCTTGGGGCGTAATTAAATTAAGCTAATTACGGTCTCTAATTGCTAGTTTTTATGATTGCATCTGAAATTGTTAGGCGAAAGTAGCCTGTATGCCAAATTTCAGATCTCTAGAGCAATCAGAAGTGGGCTAATTTTCGATGTCAATTTTAACAACAAACACATCCACAAACGCGAAGCTGAGTTAAGAAAAAACGTGTTAAAATTGTTCAAACACCAACGCTATAAAAAAAAAAACTCAGTACGTTAAAGATCTAGCCAGAGAGGTTTTCATCAAGTTCTATAATGGACAATAAAAAAATTAGTCCGTGTTTGTGGCCAGCAGACATCGCGTGATGCCAGCAACATCCCGCGTGAAATGACGAGACAAACTGCTTTGTCAAAAGCTATGTGAAGGAGTCTGGGAGTTTGTATCTAACCTTATATTAGTATTGATTAAAATCGATCCATTCAACACGCAGGATCTCCAAAATGATATATCGTTGCAAATTAGATATAAAAGTTAACCAAAAAAACAAACAACAACACCACCCTTACATCATACTAAAATGTAAGGTACGTTTGGGGTAGGTGAAGTAGAGTTCAAATGTTTTACTTTCATTAACGTGAGTCAGGTACCCAGCAGAGCTGAGTAGAAATATGGGCGTCTTAAGGACTTGGTCCCGGGATCCGAACTCAAAACTTTCGGATCAGCAGTCGTACTTCCCACCATCAGACCAGGCCATCCCAACACAATAGTAAACGAAGTCCTAAAATGACACACAACACGCTATGCACCTTCCCGCCGAGGTGAATAATATATGGGCATTCCCTAATTAGGATAAATTAGCTACTACAAGCATATTATGAAAACATTGACCGACTAAAACCTGACACAGACGACATAATTGAGCAGACAAACCCACCCCTCCCCCGGGCAATTTTTTAAAATCTTAGGTTGGTCAACACTGCAGGATCACATAATTGGTTTGTGCTTGACCTCATTAAGTATGGCAGATGTAGTAGAGTTCATCAGTTTCTGTGACCTCAGCCTATAAATGGGAAAATGTGGTCAGTTCTATTCCCAGTCGCATTTACTTAAAATGAGTCAGGTATTCATTAGAGCTGAGTGTACTCATGGACGTCGTACAAATTCAAAAGAGGGATCCGAACACAAAACTTTCTGGCTAGCAGTCGTGCGCATTATCTGCCTATCACGCATAGGGTGTATGCCATTAATATGAAAAATTGCTCTCCCTTATGTGATGTGCTACTGTAAGAATGTCCTCCCTTATGTGATGTGCAACTGTAAGATTGCCCTCCCTTATGTGCTACTGTAAGATTGTCCTCCCTTATGTGATGTGCTACTGTAAGATTGCCCTCCCTTATGTGCTACTGTAAGATAATTCTCCCTTATGTGCTACTGTAAGATTGCCCTCCCTTATGTGCTACTGTAAGATTGCCCTCCCTTATGTGCTACTGTAAGATTGCCCTCCCTTATGTGATGTGCTACTGTAAGATTGCCCTCCCTTATGTGCTACTGTAAGATTGTCCTCCCTTATGTGATGTGCTACTGTAGGATTGCCCTCCCTTATGTGCTACTGTAAGATTGCCCTCCCTTATGTGATGTGCTACTGTAAGATTGCCCTCCCTTATGTGATGTGCTACTGTAAGATTGCTCTTCCTTATGTGCTACTGTAAGATTGCCCTCCCTTATGTGCTACTGTAAGATAATTCTCCCTTATGTGCTACTGTAAGATTGCTCTTCCTTATATGCTACAGTAAGATTGCTCTTCCTTATATGCTACTATAAGATTGCTCTTTCTTATATGCTACTGTAAGATTGCTCTTCCTTATATGCTACTATAAGATTGCTCTTCCTTATGTGCTACTGTAAGATTGCTCTTCCTTATGTGCTACTGTAAGATTGCCCTCCCTTATGTGCTACTGTAAGATTGCTCTTCCTTATGTGCTACTGTAAGATTGCTCTTCCTTATATGCTACTATAAGATTGCTCTTCCTTATATGCTACAGTAAGATTGCTCTTCCTTATGTGTTACTGTAAGATTGCCCTCCCTTATGTGCTACTGTAAGATTGCCCTCCCTTATGTGCTACTGTAAGATTGCCCTCCCTTATGTGCTACTGTAAGATTGCCCTCCCTTATGTGCTACTGTAAGATTGCTCTTCCTTATATGCTACAGTAAGATTGCTCTTCCTTATATGCTACAGTAAGATTGCTCTTCCTTATGTGTTACTGTAAGATTGCCCTCCCTTATGTGTTACTGTAAGATTGCTCTTCCTTATATGCTACAGTAAGATTGCTCTTCCTTATATGCTACAGTAAGATTGCTCTTCCTTATATGCTACAGTAAGATTGCTTTTCTTTATATGCTACAGTAAGATTGCTCTTCCTTATATGCTACTGTAAGATTGCCCTCCCTTATGTGCTACTGTAAGATTGCCCTCCCTTATGTGCTACTGTAAGATTGCCCTCCCTTATGTGCTACTGTAAGATTGCTCTTCCTTATATGCTACAGTAAGATTGCTCTTCCTTATATGCTACAGTAAGATTGCTTTTCCTTATATGCTACAGTAAGATTGCTCTTCCTTATATGCTACAGTAAGATTGCTCTACCTTATATGCTACTGTAAGATTGCCCTCCCTTATGTGCTACTGTAAGATTGCTCTTCCTTATATGCTACTGCCAGTTTTCCCTTTTGTGTGTTACTGCGTTGTGCCCTTACTAAGAACAGTTCTTTTTCTGTCAGCTAAATGCCCTTTTACACCCCCCCCCCCTCAGTGTTTCTTCCAGACTTTTTTCTCCGGGGGGGGGGCACTTGAAATTTTCGGGGGGGGGGGGGCAGACACTGTTAAAAGTATATATTTTCTATATAAATTATATAAATTTCATTTCGTTCGGGGGGTGGGGCGGTAGAAGAGATGCCTGGAAGAAACTCTGCCCCCCCCCCCCCTTTACCTCAGGCACTTGTGGGGGGAAAATCACAATTCGGGAGAAAGGGGGGGAATACAATAAAATGAACAGGACCAATAATTTCACATTTGATCTCCATCAGAATACTCCTCCCCCCCCCCCCCCCCCACACACACCGCTACCCGCAGGTTTTATATTAAGATGTCCATTGATCGACTTATCTGGGTACTTGCCCGTGAGTTCAAAAGACCACAGGTAAAAAAATAAAACCGATACAAAAGACAGAGCGTGTCATGGTGACATTGTGATGTCATTATTGGATGAACTATCACAACCACCTGCATGTAGGACACGTGCTTGTGGCGATTGATTGGGGGGGGGGGGAGTGGGGAGGGGGGGAAGTGGTAGGTGGGCTGGAGGGGTGTCAGCGTGACATTGTGATGTCATTATTGGATAAACCATCACAACCTGAATGGTAAAGTGTAGGACACGTGCTCGTGGCCATTGATGGGGGTGGGGGGAGAGAGGTTGGAGGGGGGATGGTATGGGTTAGAGAGAGGGTATGAAATGATGTGGTTATATTACTTCAGATACCTTTTTAAAAAATTGTTTTTTTAAAAAAAACAAAAAGCTATTTGGTTTTTGTTTTAAGTCTGTATATTGTTTGCAATACCAGACACAAACATGGGGGGATGTGGGCTATTGCATAACACCAACGACATGGGATATGAGAGGCTACGTGTCACATATGATTTTACATATGGGATAAGCGATACGACTAGTAACCTATACCATACCATAACTGCTGAGATTGACAGTATGCCACATTTATGATATGGAATACTAGGTCGCATATTACATATATATATATATATATATATATATATATATATATATATATATATATATATATATATATATATATATATATATAGTCTATATATATATATATATATAGTATATATATATATATATATATATATATATATATATATATATAGTATATATATATATATATATATATATATATATATATATATATATATATATATATATATATATATATATATATATAGTCTTGCTTAATAGTTGAAAAAGTACTATCTTCCCACAACAGCAGGTGCTTAGTGCTTACCATTGTTGAAATATTATGTAATGATAACTAATCTATGCATGACCGGCCTTAGATAAGAAGATAGTATGTATAACTTACATGCAACGTAAAGCGATTTCCATCATATTTCCGTCACTGAAATCTAGAAACTTGTAACTGTAACTCAAAGCTGTGCATAGAGAGGATACAGCCCGTCACTTCTCGTGTTAAACAGCACACAACACACCACCGTGAACCAGGAGAACTTATATACACAACAAACACAGCGATCAACAACACACTTGTGTTGTGGCGTTGGTTTGCCTCCCTTGAATGATCGTTGAATTGATCGAGAACACGCAGGAGAATAAACTTTTTTTTAAAAAAATGTTCTGATCTAGATTTTAACATTCAATACACAAGAGGAATGACACTGCGCGAACTCTCCAATAAATTCAACTTGGTTTTTTTGTTTTGTTTTGTTCTTTTATCATCAGCTTTTTTTATTTTTCATTTCCCTCCTCCTCTTCCGCTCCCCGCCTCTGTGCGCAATTTTTTCCTCTCTCATCTGTTTTCAAGGTATCGCGGTGACCCGAGCCCCAACCAGGAAGTACAAAATATCCAAAGATTTATGTTGATTGGTAGTTATTTTTGGCTTGTATTTTTCCCGGTGCGAGAAAAATAAAAATAGATTATCGACAGCTGTGCTGAAGCTGCAACGTCGTTTCTTTTTTTCAGTGTGTTCATTTTTCTCTCTTGATTTTAAAGACTTGTTATTGTGTTAATTTCGAATACATTGTAGATCTACTATCCTAATTTATAAAAGGCCATGTGCGCTCTTCTCTCTCTCTCTCTCTCTCTGTCTGTCCGCAAAATATTTTCGCCGGACATCACGTCAGAAACGGCAGCGATATATGCAGAACTTTATACGGACTTTTGTTGAAAATAATATGTTAGATGTTTTAAATGTATAACCACAATTTTAGTTAAAGAAGAAAAATAAAAATTAAAGGCGTATTCGAATGTAGAGAAACAGTATTATTTATGCAACCGGAAAAGCATTAATATATGTGAAAAAGAACGCATAAAACTGTGACGTCACTATTGCTTATACATTAACTAATGACGTCATCTGCCGTGTTTAGAATGAAAAGAAATGAACTATTTCATTCAAATTTGTTTTAGATCTACGTACACTATGAAATGTATACAATACAATTTTTCCGGCCTAAACTCATAAAATTTATTTTATGTATTTGGATTCTAGATCTAGAGATTCTAGATCTAGACTAAATCTAAATCTAAATCTACGCAATAACTAGATCTAGGCGTAGACGCTAAGATCTAGATTTAGACTCTAACTTCTCTAAAATCAATTCCAAAAATAAATTTCTATATTAGGACTAAACTATTTCAAGACTTATTTATTTTATACAACATCTTTGTTATGAACTGGCTAATTTGGGATAAAAAATTAATTTGAAAGAATAGGCATATTCGCGTAAGTTAAGATTTTAAAATACGTCTTTCATTCTCCGTATTTTATAAGGTGCCTAAATAGAGGAGATGTTAGTGTACATTAAACCACGCAGGTGGTGCGGGTTCGAGACACAGCAAGTCAGCTTGGTTAATGTATTCTTTTTTATTATGCTCGGGCTAAACTTAAAAAAAAAATTCTTTTAGGAATCTAGCTCTAGATCTAGATTGTCGGGTGTCCGATAGGGCACTTCCCGGCGCCGCAGGCGCTTCAAATTTGGCATGATCTTGCCTTGGTGCGACAGAACACGGGGGCCGGTTGGCCGAAAAGTCTACGATGTGGGGGTCAAAACTGACCTCGACTGACCGGTACCTTATATGAGCTATAAATCGAAAAAAAATGTCCACGGAGGAACCTCTTCATAACTCTTGAGGTCGTAGACCGACCTTCGGGCGAATTAATTAAGCATTCAAATTCTCAATGTTTTCGAAAGCCTAAGCGAAGCTGGGCAGCATGCCTAGTGTAAAAGTAAAGGGCCCTTTAGAAACTAACTGGCAATGGGAGAGGTGAAATAGAGCACCTATTTCAATTACCTCATTATAGGAATAGATAGTGTGGTCAGGTACCCATCGTAGCAGGTTGGACTCAGGGATGTTCTACGGACAGACACGAACTCGGGATTCGAACTCGAGGCTTTCGTGTTAACAGTCAAATGCTCTATTACCCGACCACATCCTCCCTTCTATTTAGAATACATAGTGGGCTAAAAAAAACGCTTTTAAAAAAAAATATAATCTTTAACTCGTACAAAGCACATTTGACATTTACATACTTTTTATGCCTAATTATTGTTTGATTAATCGGGCACAATTCGGTGCTGCAAAATATGTGTGCTTTTCAAATACATAGTAGCTAGTAATGTTTCTGCATTTGAACACACCGAAAGCCTTATTTAAATAAATACAGAAGGCTTAAGACAATTATGTCAACATTCATCTATAAATCAACCAGAATGCAGAAAATGTGACTAAACATAAAAGAAGAATTAAAAAGTACCGTATAGCATTATACAATGCCAATCACTATCCCATAGAACAAAATTGGTATATTTTCACTGTGTGTTAAATAGTATGTTCATGTTTCCTAACAGTTGTAGGCAACAGGCATTTATAAAAACTCTGTACAATATTGCCCAACAAGGGACAGTGTGGTCGAGCGATAGAACGTTCGGTTGCTAGCCCCAAGTTCTCGAGTTCGGATCTCGGTTCGGACACGTGATTGCAGGACGGCCTGCTCAGGGTACCTGACTCAACTTTGGGAAACAAAGACGACGGTGCATAGAGTTGACCACATTATCCCTTAATGTGCCTAGGTAATTGAAACATGAACTGTACTTCATCTGCCCAATGTGTCTAGGACACGAAAGGGGATAAAAGTAATTAAAATTAATTAATTACTTAATTGAAACGCTACACAACCACATCAAAAAATTGAATAAGCGTAACCTTCACACTCTACAAAACCAATGCTACGATATAAAAGTTGTAGCCGCATCTTCCTCCTTCAGCGTGAACGAGAAACGAGGCAGTTGCAGTGACTGCACACGGATGTGGGTTACTGGCCACAATCACAATATCGTCGTCTGGCACAGCGCTGTTTGCACTTCCTGGATCTCTCATCCTTTTTCCTCATCTTTCACTCTGACCTCTTTCTTTCTATCACGACTTATATAAGTATATATATATATATATATATATATATATATATATATATATATATATATATATATATATATATATGTGTGTGTGTGTGTGTATGTATAAAGTTATACATGTATACGTGTATATATAACATATATTTTATATAATCATTATTTTTGTTGTATAATACAAGGCCTATACAACAAAGGGCCCCAGCATAATCAAATCGATGCTTATAAGAGATTAGTTCGTTGTTGTTGGATTTTATCAATAAACCTAAATATAAATGAACTCAAGCGAAAAATCTCATTTTGAAGTAACAAACTAACACATAAAGAGTGAGTGGCCATCTACTTGACTGCCCCCCTCCTCCCCCCCCCCCCACGTTGTACATACAACCCCACCCCACCCACTCAACTCTCCATACATGCGCGACCTTCGACATTTGTTCGAGTACATTAAGGTCAGCCCATGAACTTCGTGCACTGCGATGTTACAAGCTGTTACATGCGTCACACCAATGTTGATTTACTAGTTTTATTTGTCTGTGTCTTAAAGCTAAAATCTTGTAACTCTAATTTTACCCATTTCTTGTGTAGCGATTTAAAAAAAAAATTAAAATTCCAAATAAGTTTATTTCCAATGACAAAACAATAACATTCCATTTTAAAGTCAATTATATTTTTAATTAGTTATGAAAAATTAATTTAAGGACTACTATAATCAATTGAAAAAAATGGGATATAAATTAGCGATCACTCAATCTATCAGTTGTCATTAATTTGGTCGATCATAAAGCTAGCTCGTGAGTCATAACCTGAAAAACGATCGGCATTGGAGGAATACATTATAAAAAAGAAATAAAAAAATTTAAAATGACATAATTGACAAGCTTTAAATGCACAGGTAAGAACAAAAACAGTGTTTTTTTTTTTTTTTTTTTTTTAGCTCTGAAGGTAAGAATAAAGCGATGGGCAGGATATGCTTAGAAAAAAAAATTCTAAAGCTGCCTCTATTTTACTATTGAATTAGGCGGTGTTAGGGACACATTGGCGTAGCTAGGGAGGGCGAGTTAGGCGTCTCGAAGGGTGCGAAAAGGTTAGGAAAAAAAAAACTCATTTTAAGCAGGGGTATTGAATTATACACAATTACGCATCAATTGTGAGACACCACAAAAGAAACCTTCAAGGATAGTACTGGTTAAAAGCGGTTTCTCGCCAACTTGAAAGTCTATATATATATATATATATATATATATATATATATATATATATATATATATATATATATATATATATATATATATATATATATATATATATATATATATATATATATATATAGGTTATATATATATATATATATATATATATATATATATATATATATATATATATATATATAGATATATATATATATATATGACCCTGTGGGTGGCGCTAAATAGATAGCTGACCCCGGGTGCCGGAATGGGTCGCTACGCCTCTGTAAGGACATCTATCTATATATAATTCTCTTCTTGGAGACGTTAGAAATAACCAAGCTGTAAGCGTGCCTAGCAGTCCCCTTTCTTCCTTTCTAGGCATATCGCAACCACCCCCACCCCCACATGGTCTGGTGAGCTGTGGTTCACGCTAAATGTTTACAATCGTAGAGCCGGGTTTAGTGACGCCTATTAGGGGCAGATAATTTAGTTTGAAACTATTTTAAAATTAGGGGAGGTAACTAAGAGGAGGCTGCTTTCACGGGGGGGGGGGAGGGGTTTAATGTTTTAAAGCAAATATTTTCAGTGACAACATTGGTACTGTCGAATTCACAAATTATGAATTACTGAAAAGTAGAAAATAAAACTAAATAGCGGCGTGTGATACGCCGCGGGTCGACTCGTTGTTAAAATTTCACTAGGCTGTGTACGTGCCCTTGGTCAAATTACGCTAGACTGTGTACAGAAATATTGTTGAAATAACGCAGGCCGTTGACCTGTCGTAGTGTCGGCTGCAGCTGTACATATCGATCTATGAAGGTTGAAAATGAAGTGGGCCAGAGTTTTGTTATTCCGTTTATGTAAACGAATGTTATGAAAGTAATTTCAGTTTTAAGCTAGCGTCGTAGTTTTTCCTTTTGACTGACATTCGTTTGCCGCGAGAGTCACAGCGGCGTAGCGTAGCTCCACGTTTTCGTGCAGGTTTCAACTCGCGATGTTGCCTGCCATAACGACGAGCAACATAGTAGGCGGTTGTCAGGGTTTTTTTTTTTTTTTTTTTAAATTTTGAGCCATTTTATTAACTCTTTTGCAGATTCTTAATTGAATTTATTAAGGTTTGTCCATAAAATGACGCCACGCTTTATTTAAGAAATTTTTCAGGGGGAAAATAAGCGAAATAACTCGTAACATTCATTAAGAACAATTACTTTCCAAAACATTAATATGTCGTCAGACATTTAAACACCCACTTCCCCCTCATCACACACTATCTCAAACGTCCCAACCCCTACCACCTCTGGGGGTCGTCCATGAATGACGTCATACTCCTAAGTGGAGGGGAATCGTAATTTTTGTGACGATCTTTTGCATTTTTAAAAGAAATGCTAGAAACTGATAAATTTAGCTGTTATTTTGCGTTTTAGAGATATTTTTATAGTAAATTGCAATAGAAATTTGATGAATATACTCCGTGTTGACAAAGCGCACTTAATATTTTAAAAAGAAATCGATATTTTTTAAATTTACTATTTTGAGGGGCCGGGGGCGTAGGCCGAGGTGTGACGTCATTTATGTATCCCCTCCCCCCCCCCCCCCCCCCCCATCTCTAGGACGACGCATCAATGAAACACTAGAACTATTCTAGATTTAGTAAAACGACATTATTTTTTTTGTGTGCCTTTAAAAACTTGTTACTATAAATTTTGTATAGCTTTATTTTACATTTTATTCCTAATTTAAAAAAAAACAAAACAAAAAAAACGTTATTTATTGATTGATTCCAGTGTCTCATCAAGCCAATTCCTGGCATAAAACAATTAAATGGGTGGATTCTCGATATTCGAAGCAACTCCCCACCCACTTCATTAATTAGAAGAAGTGTCGCTTATGGCGGGCTGGCAATCCACTCTAGTGACGTCTGTTATTTCCGTAACCATATCCACCCAGCAGTTAAAAAATTGCATTACATTCTGATTAGCCAGAAAGTCGTGCGCCGCGTTGTTTTACAGTACAAAACAAAAATACTCGGGGGAAATCGTAGGCTTAAATATAGATTCTAGACTTCTAGATCTAAATCTAGAATCTAGGGCTTAACCAATAAACTGAGTAACATAGAAGATGTGAATGGAGAGCTTAAGACGCAGTAAATTATCATTCACCATTAGAATAATGTATCGCCAGTGAAAGTTTCTAATGTAATTGAATGAGAAATTCTAATTACTAATTGAAGATAAGCCTCTAATAATAGATTCTTGAACTAGACAGAGTTTCTTCCAGGCATCTCTTGGGGGAGGGGGGGGGGGGGGAAGAAAGTCTACCCCCCCTCCCCCGAACGAGATGGAATTTATATAGAAAACATACTTTTACCAACCAGTGTCCGTCTCACCCCCCCCCCCCCCCCCCGGAGAAAAAAGTCTGGAAGAAACACTGGAACTAGATCTACTCTATCGATTGTTTATATCAGTAGCGTAGCGAGGGGGGCGGAGGGGGGGGGGTGCAAATCGAAAATTTTGTCCCCGGGCGCCGGGAAGGGTCGCTACGCCTCTGGTTTATATGCATATAATGACTATGCTTTAGTTAAAAAAATCAGACAACTTAATGGAAATAAACTACGTCGTTGCTGAATAATGCTCGAAGACTGGGGCTAACAGATAAACATCATCGCATGCCATTAGCTATCAATCGATCATTCGTGTGCTCCGTCGCAATTAACTCTCGTCAGTGCCTCGCCATCTTGCTTAATGAGTACGTCATTAATTAAGCTAAATAATTCTAACATAGCATTGTGATTAGACACGACTACTTTATAAAAATGTAATGTAATGCATATCGACAGACCTACCAAAATGACAAAATGTAGCGATTAGATTATCATTAAGTGTAATAAAAGAGGTCGATGCAAACGTTTTACTTAACCGATGACCTATACACAGAGGCGTAGCGAGAGGGGCGGGGGGTGCGGACCGCACCGGGTGACACCATTTAGGGGGATGACACCAAGGCAAAAATAGCAAAATATATAGAGAAAAACTTGAGGGGGGTGCAAATCGAAAGTTTGAGGGGGGGGGGGGTGTGCAAATCGAAAGTTTGGGGGGGGGGGGGGGGTTGCAAATCGAAAATTTGAAAGTTTGTCGCTATGCCTCTGGGGGGGGGGGTGACATCATTAAATGCCTCACCGGGTGACACCCGACCTCGCTACGCCACTGCCTATACACATAAACTTGGCCTATATTGACCCACAGTAACTTGTCTTCAGTGAAATTTTACATTTGGATCCATCATACTGCATGAGATTGTCAGAAAATACATCAATTTTTCCATCCTACCCACAATTAGTTTTATAAATATTAGTTTGCTGTTAATATTTCAGGCTGGCTGTCATGTTTAGCGTCCGTCCCATCTATCATATATAATATATAGACTTGGAAAACACTTCTTTATAGGGCCTAACTTAGCAGGTTAAATGTTTTTATAGTAATATTCATTGAACATGCCAAGCACACTAACCTTTTTTTTTTTTGACTTAAGCTGAAGCTTGTATTTAAGCATTTTTAAGTAAAAAACAAGTAATTAAAAAAAAGTCTAGTGACAATTTTAGCGCAATTTCCTTACGTTATCTAAAAATAGCTCTGTCGTAGCGTAAATCAACAGCAAGGTTAGTAAAACCATTGGTTAGTTATTAAAACGTTTTTTATTAATTTTTTTTCAGTATTTTACATGTTTTATTTACAATAGAGTAACATGACTAAAAACCATTGCGCGCCCAGCTACCGAACGTGACGTCGCAGCCATTGAACGTGATGGCGCAGCTATTGAACGTGATGACGCGTGTGGTGTGGTTGCATAAAATGCCTACTAATTCGGTCCAAATTTTAATTAATTCAAAAAATTTTTTGTGACCAAACGAAATGATATTTTTGAAAACTTTCTTCGGCAATATTGTTCTAAATTATGGCAGGAATCGATTGGTACATGTTTCAAGTCGCTAAGTGGTCTGGTTGCCGAGTTATGGGCAAAAAACTACATTTTTTTCGAGGTTTTTTGGCTTTTCCGGGAAATCCATGAAAGAAACCCGGAATTTTTATGGCCTATGTTCATCCTCGTAACTTGCTTAACATAATTGCTTTTGGAACTAGTCCTCGATATTGCTTCGTTGAGGAGGAGATACGACTTAAAGCTGCGGACACACATCCATCCATCCATTCATTCCCAGAAAAGACGAGTTAATAAACGCAATTCTCCAGAATGGAAATTGCGCTAAAAATAAAATAAACCAAATGACAGATGGAAAGAAATATAATTTATTGCATTCTGCTTGACAAAGACATGGATCCAAAATTCCTTTACTCTATTGCAGAATCGACAGCATAATCTAAATTATTGCTTTTTACCATCAACAGACTCATTTTGTTTTTTGTGAGTAGCCAATCAGCTCTTTGTATCTTAATACATTTAAGTCACACCAAGTTCATGAAATGAGGTGATGACACATGGACTCTGGCTAGACAGTAGGACTATGAATAGCCAGTCATTTGTAACATAAACCTGTCCCTAATAAAAACTGTCATGACTTTCTGGTGCTTCAAATAGACTGCTGATAGTCTCTAGTAGTCCAAACAGACTGCTAATAAACTCTAGAACATTCTATTTGGGCTGCTAATATTTTCTACCAGTGCAAATAGACTATTATTCTCTGGCAGTCCAAACAGACTGCTAATAGTCTCTAGCAATCTAAACAGACTGCTACAAGTCGTTAACAATGCAAATAGACTGCTATAAATCTCTAGCAGTCCAAGTAGACTGCTAATAGTCTCTAGCAGTCCAAATAGACTGCTAATAGTCTCTAACAGTTTAAACAGACTGCTAATAGTCTCTAACAATCCAAATAGACTGCTAATAGTCTCTAGCAGTCTAAACAGACTGCTGCAGGCCTAATGCATTTCAACTAGTCTCTCAAAGCCTATAGCAGTTTAAATAGCCGGCCACTGGTCCAAAAAGCTCTCTATTCATTCCCACAATCCTAACAGAACCAGAGTCTACTAAATTCATTCAGATACAATAACCAGCAATAGCCAGACCAGATGACAACCAACTTCTCAATCAAAACCAGCAACAAATGACATGTGTACATGTCATTAACCTGTCGTCAGTCCATGATCATCACCAATGACATACATACTGAACTGTCATCTACAAATGACACCCAGCGCATCGCCCCCCAACTTTGCCAAACAAACCTAAGGAAAGTGAGCATTACTAATGATAAATTATCCATTCAATTATGCTTTATATGAAGAAGATAAACAAAATAATAACACGATCATTAAATATTTACAACACACGTATCGCATACACACTCATATCTCACTCTTGCCCAGATTGCACGCCATACATTCGTATATTAAATTACATCAAGACACTAAGTGTTTTAGATTCATAAAAATCCAACACACTCACCAATCAGTTTTATGTTACAGTAAGTAAAAGATTTGCTTAAATTAAATAAATCATAAACATCACATGTAGAAAGAAAAGTGGGGGGAGGGGGGGAAAGCGGAGCTCATTGTGTAAAAAAAAAACATTGTAAATTTCTAGAAAGTGTATTTTTAAAAGTTATGTTAAAAGTATTCTCAATCAACATGCAAGATTTAATGGGTAAAATTAACATTCTGGCCAAATCAACACAGGGTACTATATCTCTGTCTCAACTGTAATGTCATGACAATGTGGCAACATAAACTATCACTAACTGTTAGAAACAGGGCAGCAAAGGGCACATCTGCCAAACGACGTGTGCTAAATAATCAAAACACTTGGGCTAAGTTTAACAAAAGATTCTTTTCCAAAAACATGTCTGTTTCCCAAACTTGTCTGAGGAAAAATATTTCAAAAGACCAAATTTGTTAACGTCTACAATTGTATAATAAATAATCATTCCTAAGAACAGCCCCCCAGATGTAATTTCAACCTGCAAAGCTTTGCTCTTAATCTCTTTATACATAGGCTAACACCAGCACTTAGATGCATGGCGTAACAAGGGAGTGAGCAAAGGGGTGGGGGTGGGGGGTGCTCAAACTCTACGTCTGCTAAGACTAGAAAATATCTACAAAACACACATTAGAGGGTAAAGTTCAATTTGGTAAAGTTCAATTTGGTAAAGTTCAATTTGGTAAAGTTCAATTTGGTAAAGCATTTAATTTAAAAAGTTTACCAAGTGGCTGTTTAGGATACAAGTTAGATTCTAAAGTTTACTAATTTTAAAAGAAAGTTTGGAAAACCATTTAGATTCTAAAGTTTACTAAGTTTAGGATACAATTTGAATTCAAAAGCTTACTCATTTGAAAAGGAAGTTAGGGAAACAATTTAAATCCTAGATACTTAAGTTTACCAATTTAAAACAGAAGTATGTCTAACCACCAGAGTAAGGAAACTATCAAATTAAAATTTGTACAATTCAAAATGTGTTAGTTCATGACAAAACGCAGTGATAAAAATCTTTATATAATATCTCCCTAGCTTAGAACTTCTAAGCTAATATAAGAAACATTGGAATATAAAAAACTTGGAATTTAAAAAAAAAAAAACCTATGCAACATTATGTCACATGGTATTAAGACAAGTGATCAATAAATGCAAATCAATGCAAAAAAAAAAAAAGTCGAGTGCAGTCATCCCAGGACCAAAACTGTAGCATCATTTAAAAAAAAAAAAAGAAAAAAAAAAAGATACTTATTAAAATGTCAGCAAGTCAATCAAGGCCATTTTTTGTCTGTTTTTTACCGCTACCCTAAACACTATCCCAAATAATATCCCTGACCCTACCACTAACCCTGACCCTAAAGCACCACCAGCAAATTATAAAACCAGATACGATATTGTCCTGCTGGCATTGTAATAAGCACAAAACAAAAGTCGCCAAGCACATTTAGGCATCAGTCTCAACATGAGACCAACTCCGCTGCAGACACTCTCGCTAGGACCTCTCCATCCCGTGTTTGTGTTCACTCATCTCGGCGCCGTGCTGCTCGTTGGTGCTGTCGTCCTCCTGTAATGTTTTGTGAAATGTCCCGGAGAACTCAAAGCCTCTCATCCAAATGGTGGTGTAACACAGGAAGTAGACCAACAGCACCACAACAAACACCACAAGGATGGACCGGTTCTTACAAATTCTGGACCGGTGAAGCCGGGAAGAGTTGCGTGTCAGGGCGAACGCGGCTATAATTAATGCCAAAATTAAAACACCGATGACTAAGGTATTGATTCCTCCTTTGGTGAAAATCTAGAAAATAAAAGATAAATATTTAGTTATGATTTTTTAATTATGTTTTTTAGTGGTTAAAATAAGTTTACAACTTAAGAAGAATTCTATATAATAGTTTCGCTGTCTGTGTATCTATCTGTATATGTGTATGTATCTGACAAGAATGCTCTAGAGAAAACACAAGCAAATTAAAAACATGCATAGTAATTCGAAAAACGAAATATGACGTCGTCACATTTAGCATAGAGTAGAAAATAATCTCAAGCCGGAGAGTGCACACAGTAATATGACGTCATTGATTCTCGAGTAAACATTAAATAAAAAGGCAATTTTGTCTAATCTAAATGGTTTGCGTGAAGAGTTTCTGGCATACAATTCTTCGGGTAAGAACGTCTGAGCCCCCCCTCCCCAACTCAAAAGAAATTTCTTCATTGATACTCTATAATAAAATTACCGCCTAATTAATGTGTCTAATCTAAAAAGTGGTTTTCTTGCAATTTCTTTAATGCAATTCTTCGGGTAGTGGCTAAGCGCGACACCAGTGTTTCTTTCAGACTTTTTCCTCCCCGGAGGGGAGAACTTTTTCTAATCTAAAAAGTGTTTAGCGTACAGTTTTTTTTTCAAGCATCTCTTCCGGTAGGGGCTGACTGCATACAACTAAATATTTACATTAGTGAACAAATTAAATTATTTACACAAGCACATTCAGGATCTTCGACTAACCGCTCAAAAAAAATAAAATTACACTAGTGAAATCAAGGCCTCTGACTGACCAATTACCAAAGTACTTACACTAGCACTGTATGACCTCTGACTGACCAATTACCAAAGTACTTACACTGGCACTATAGGACCTCTGACTGACAGATTACCAAAGTACTTACACTAGCACACTCAGGACCCCCTCGCTGACTGACATGCAGCTGGATGTCCTCAATGTGGACAAAGTTGTGTGTCCTGCTGCAGTTGCCTCCCTGGCAGCCCACTGTATCGTTGTATAATCTTCTTTTTGGTGGGGAGTGTAAACAATAACCAGGGCCACTGATTTCACCTGCACTGATACCTCGTCTGAAAAAACAATTGGACAATAGGTAGAGGCTTTGCAGGGCGGGGGGTGACACCATGGCAAAAAATTGCAAAATATATGGAAGAAAAATGCTTTTTGCCAGTTCAATTAATAATTAATAAGAGTTAGTCCACCTGTATTAATAACTGACTATAGATAACCATCTTTATTATTAGCTGTACACACTTTAAAGCTATAACGAGGGGGGGGGGGGGGGTGGGGGGGGGGGGGACGGACAACGACGACTACACACCAAATGCAAAATTTAGAGAGGAATAAAGGCTTGTTGAGTATTTTGAATAACAGATAAGTCAACCAACGACTGTAGAGGAGTGACACTAAAATCTACTTAATGACTTACGATGAAAATGGCATTTTTTTCCACATGAATTAATAGGTGGCTTGTACACATAAATTAACGCCATTAGGCAAAATGGAAAGGGGATGTCACCAATTGCAACTATATATATATATATATATATATATATATATATATATATATATATATATATATATATATATATATGTATTTATATATGTAACACAGGTTTTTTTCTGGGGGGTGGGGTGACACCATGAGGTCCCGCACCGGGTGACACCCAACCTCGCAAAGCCACTGGGTAGAGGACAGTAGGACTAGGGCCTAAGTTGGGTCTGCTATAATTTTGGTCCCAATGTGGCCACATGTAAATAATGTATTTAATCTATTCCCTGGCCACACGGTAGCCACATATTGTTAACCTAATCCCTGTCCAGAACATGACAAGATGAAATTAATCTGTCTCCCTTACTTAATCATGCGGCACCTATGTTCAGCTAATCTCTCAGCTGCTTTGTCTAAATTCTTCACTTCCTTATTGCTCCAAAGTCTTTCTGCTGCAGCTGATGCTCTAGGCCTAAGAAGATAAGTGTAGTATGTATTGATTAAAGACATGTGTAATAATATGTATTGATTAACTTGCCACTAGTCAGACACAGGAAAAATAAAGTGATAAAAAAATCAATAGAAAACTTAATATTTTACAATGTCGTTTCATGATAGGGAATGATATAATGGTGGGCATTACAGGACAACAAAGAAGATATGGCATTACTGCCCATGTACAATAAAAAAACTGCATAACTCACCACATCATTGGAATGAGGTTCTCATTGGTGAAGTATTCAGACCAAAAAGCTGCTTCTCCACCTAAAACTTTTTTCTCATCAATATGGTAGCCTGCACAAGTCACAAGAAATGAACATATTGGTTTTAAATCTGAACACTGCTTTAGGACTATAGGATTAGAATAACCATTAAACTTAACAGGACTAGGTGCTCAACTGTAACATTTTAAACAATTAGATGACTGACATACATGAACTCAGGTAAAGGATTACGTTTGGAGGATACAAGAAAGGTTAGGTTTTCAGCCACTGGGAGCAGTTAAACTACCTGGCCAGGTAAGTGGTTGTCAGTAGCCTAAGTCCAAGCTAACTACTTCTAAGGATAAGTAAACATCATCTTTTCCCGTTTGCGCCCAAGACCTATGGGGCAGATGAAGTAGAGTTCATCTGTTTCAATGACATACAAAGGGAAAATGTGGTCAGCAAAATGCCCAGCCGCTTTTGTTGCCCTAACATGAGTAAGGTACTCATCAGAGCTGGGTGGACTTAAGGACATTCTATTGATTTGAACCCAGATTCTAACTCGAAAAGTTCAGGTTAGTAGTCAAGCTTTCTACAGCTAGGTCACGCCAGTTAAGTAACAGTGCACTAAAAATGGTTTTAATGTAAATGTTGAGATTGCACATTTTTAAACCCACAACTTGTCTATTCTGTTTGCTCTGTAGTTGATGATAGAAAGGGAAGGAAGTGAAATGACTTACCATAGCTAGAATCAACTGGATCACAGTTGTAATATTTGGGCCACTTTGTGCCATATTCAATGTGGTCCATGTACCAGCAGGTGGAGTAGAGTACCTGGTAGCCAAGAGTCGTGGCCCTCATCACATCCCCCATATCTCCCATCCACACTTGGATAATGGTGTCATTGGGCAGCTGTAAATACAACAAATAACATAACTAATGGCCCCATCACCCCCCCTCCCCCATCAAAACTTGGATAATGGTGTCATTGGGCAGCTGTAAACACAACAAATAACATAACTAATGGCCCCATCACACACCCATCCACACTTGGATAATGGTGTCATTGGGCAGCTGTAGACACAACAAATAACATAACTAATGGCCCCATCACCCCCCCCCCCCATCCACACTTGGATAATGGTGTCATTGGGCAGCTGTAGACACAACAAATAACATAACTAATGGCCCCATCACACACCCATCCACACTTGGATAATGGTGTCATTGGGCAGCTGTAAACACAACAAATAACATAACTAATGGCCCCATCACACACCCATCCACACTTGGATAATGGTGTCATTGGGCAGCTGTAGACACAACAAATAACATAACTAATGGCCCCATCACACACCCATCCACACTTGGATAATGGTGTCATTAGACACATACTACACTAGAGAAGTTCATATCAATTCTATAAATACTAAGATCTTAATTTAGAATGATTAAAAATAGATTAAAAACCAAGAGCTTCTATCACTTATTACCACTCTTATACAATCCTGATAATTTTTTGAAATAACTGTATAATACACTCATAATAGAATTTAATTTACAGAATCTACAGCATCAATTATATCAACTTAAATGGATGCCACCCAATAAAAAATGATAACATTCGAGGTAGTTCAATTAACTTCTATACAATTATTATTTTCTTATGTACCTGTAAATTATTGTTCATCACTTCTTGCCACATGATGTATTTAATGCCCTTCTTTCTTTTCTGACCAATGTCATTCAGTATTTGAATCAGTCTACAAAACAAACAATAACACTGGGTTTATATTTTCATAACAGCTGATTAGATCATCCAGTGACATAAGTAAGTTATGAAAGCAAAAACTGGAACATGTCTAGAAAATGGCTATCATGTTAACACTAGCTGTACAAAAGAAAATAGGCCTATATACCAGTAAAAAAAAAGTGACTAAAAAAATGAATGAAAATAATTGAGGAACTGCTCCTTTCTTGAAACATGTATCAGATTCAACCCTTCCTCCCCGACGTAATATTTATTGAAGGAAGCTCAGTAACCTGACAAGTACACTGTCCTGCTGTCTGACCTTTCTTTGACTTGTACATCAGGGTGAACTTGAGAGAATCTAATATTATTCAATCACCAGCTGACAAGATGGCATGGTAACCCGAAAGTCTCAAATTTTGATCTCAAGTCATAGGTCACCCCTTAATCAACCCACCTCTTATGCATACCTGGCTCAGGACATGTAAAAGCAGTTGGATAAAGTGCTAACCACACCATCCCTTCATATGCTATGATCAAGAAACAGATGTTCTACTTCATCTGCCCTATGGATTGTCAGGTCCGTGAGGGTCCATAGGTAAGGAAACCAACCGACCTATGTCCATAGGTAAGGAAACCAACCGACCTATGTTCATAGGTGAGGAAACCAACCCTCTATAGCCAATAAGCCACAATCACCTGTTCTCATAATATTCGTAAACTCTCTTCACATCTTCTGACCACATACTCCAGCCCATATTTTGTTGTTGTTGTTGCAATGTCTGAAGCGGTCGCGGCTGCTTTGCTAATTCTTGTGCAAACGCCATCACTTCAGGATTTGACTGCCTAATGGATTGAAAATATACATACACATTACTTAAGTACACAAGTTATATCCTTTAGAAATAGAGAAAAACTATTTTAGCATTCTAATTATTTTTCCAAAAACAAAAACCGGGAAATCAAGATAAAAATGGACAATCCAGACAGTGGAGGATAAATAAGAATGGAGGCAACTCATAAACATGACACTGAAAGCAAGTTTGAAACCTTTCATAAAAAATATCTATATTAAAAGAAGAAAGATTTTAAGGTTTGGTTTGACTTTTATAGACAGAGTTAAGAAAATTGGCTTAGTCAAAAAAGTGCTGTTTTTTTTTAAATTTTTAACAAAAGTAAGTTTTGACTTGCAAGAGATTCACACCATGTTGAAGATGCCATTTTTAAAAACAACGTTACAACTTAAAAATTTTTTTTTAATATAAACAACAAAAAATCATAACAACTTTAACAACCGACTCCAATTCATCATTTTTAAAAAATAAACATAGGCCTAAATTAGATAAAAATCAAAAAGACTTACCAGCAACCCAAAGGTACCTCATCCCCACCCAAATGTATGTATTGATCTTTGAAAACATCTACAATCTCTTGAAACAAACTTTGAAGAAATCTGTAGGTTGCGTTCTTGCTAGGGTCAATGGGGCCAAGGTAACCTTTGACAGGACTGCTGCCAGAGTAGCACTGTGTCAGTAGTTCAGGTCGGCTGAGACCCCACGAGTATGTGTGACCTTAGATTAGAAAAACACATGCAAGCTTGACGGAAATCATCAGGTAATGTCTGAGATACAATGTAAACAATCAATGCCTGTACAATGCAAACAAGAGCTTGTTCATTAGATTAGAAAACTGGTGCAAAAACAGTACATTGATCTGATGTGTATTCTGTAGAAGATTACATCTCATTACTACACAATCCAAACCAAAAACACAAGCAAAAGGAGAAAATACTAAAAGATTACCAAAAAAAACACTCCTTTTTTATATGAATAGAACTTTTAAGCATTTACTAAGCTTAAAGAAGAGAAAAAGAAAACATCGCAAAACATGCTATGGACTGGAATCCCCAGGGGAAAAGGAGGGTGGGCCGGCCAAGGAAGACATGGAGAAGAACGGTTGAAGAAGAGATGAAAACAGCTGGGCTCATATGGACACAGATACAGGGAGCAGCCCAAAACCAAGTCCGATGGAGATGTGTGGTTGCAGCCCTTTGCTCTCCAGGGGCCACAAAGGAATGATGATGATAAAGCTTTAAGACCAGAGGTTAATTCTCAATTTGCAACACTAAACACAACTCTATGCAATCTAGGCTTCAATGGTTAACTCTCAATTAAAAACATTAAACAACTCTATGCAGGCTAACTAACTAGGCTTAAAGACCAGCGGTTAACTCTCAATTAGAAAAATTAACTCTATGCAGGTTAACTATTTAGGCTTAACGACCACTGGTTGGCTCGCATTAGAAACACACTCACCTTCTAGACCTATACCCATACTACAAAAATTGAGTAAGAAAATACCTGGTGTATCAAACTCTGGCATGACACGAATACCCCGCATCCTGGCGTACTCAATGATCTCTGCTATGTCCTCTAGTGAGTAGACGTAGGTGGGGTGGAAGGCACCTTTTCGACTCAGCTCTGGGTACACTTTGCTCTCATAGGGGAACGACTGGTCATCTACTATGTGCCAGTGGAAAACATTCAGTTTGTTCATCTCCATACTGTCCTATACGCAGCAAATAAATTACAAAAGGTTAAAATAACAAAGGGGACTAAGCAAACAGTAGTTATAATTATGGTGTGTTTACACAAATACTGTAAAAATATATTTTAAAGTATGACTTGAATTGTGAATCCTAACAAAAAGCTAGAACAAAAATATTAAATTTAAAAAAATAATAAATTCCCAAAAATTTCTTAAGCATGAATGTGAACTAATAAGGGGGATGGGGGAATCTATTTTTTTTTAAATAATGTACATAATATTCAATGAGAAAAGAATGAATAGCAGAGTAGTGACTTTACCAGAATGTCCAGGAGAACTTCTTTAAACAGATAATGCCTGGATGTGTCAATGTGTAGGCCACGGTGTGGGAACCTTGGATAGTCACTGATGGTTGTTTCCTTGATATACAGCTGTGGAGACCATCAAACAATCAGAGGTGTAACAAAATGATTAGAGATAGGGTCAGAGTTGAGCTGTTGTCATGATTAGAGTTAGGATCATGGGTAGGATTAGAGCCTGGGTAAGGGTAACAAAACAAACACACTTGTAATAATTATGTAACTTATAAAAAATTATCTTTAAAAAAAATATGTACATTCTTTTCAAGTACACTATCAACATCATTGTGAAACTTGTATGAGTATCTACCAGGTCAACCTACCTGTCCATCTAATCCTCTCCACACCAGGTGACCAAATGTTTCCAAGCCTCTTAAAACACCCCAGATTTCATTGGCCCAGATGTAGGTTTTCTTCTTTTTAACAACCAAATCATCTACAGGATAAAAACAGTCACAAATGTGTTGGAATTAGAGTGTTCAATAGACAATAAAAGCATGGTAATAAAAGAGCATTATTGGGGAGGGGGGGGGGGGAGAGGAAAGAAAGATGGAAACAAAACTACATTTTAAACAAAGCTAAGCCATACATGATACATGACAAAAAGCTAAGCCTTACATGACTCATCAGACTCTAGGGTGGGGTACTTGTCGCAGGTCTTACGAATTCTCACTTCCACTCTGGCAATAACCGGAGCTTTCACAAATTCTTCTTTTTCATACCGCAGGGCTGGGTCTTCAATATTTATACCCTCTGCATGTTGTAAATTGTCATACATGTCTTCAACAGAGCCCCTCAGTGTGCGCTGCAAGTGTCGGACCAGGGCCTCGTCAAGAACATCACAGGTGATGGGTCCAATGGGAACAAAGCGGAAATCCTTACTCAGCCTGTAGACCTGGATACAAAATTTCAAAATGTTAACTCCTCTAAGAGAATTGAGTTTAAATGAAACATGACATTGGTATATGGAGAAGAAAAAAAATTAAAATAAAAGATGTCATGGTAAAAGAGGCTCAAAGATATGACAAATCATCTTTGTTGTTTTTGCCCAGCTCTGAAAGTTTCCAGCTTGCTTTAATTGAATGTTTCGTTTATTATTAAATCTTATCCTAAATTTTTATTCACTAGAGACAAGTCCATAGACGCTTTAGATTCCTTGGTTGTAAACATGATGAAAGTTCCAATACATTTTACTCTTTCTGATAAGAGAAATACTTGCAGAAAAATCGGACAAATGATATTTGAAAAATTGTTGCAATTGTTGCTGTCTTTCAACATATCTGTTATTACAAATACAGTAAATAACAAGAACTTGAGATTTTTAAAAATCTTAGATGGCTCATGCTTTTAAACTATTCACAGTTAAGAGCCCTTTCGACAACATGTAACGGACTAGAAACAAACAAGATTTTTCTGGTCATTCGCTATGCTATAACCACCCAATCATAGTCAAACATTTAAAACACACATTGATAGATAGCTTTAATGATGTTACCGTAACAACATTTATTACTCATTCTCCACAGCAGACTTACATTACCGGTGCTCACTAGAGAATGCAATCATAGCAAGGTTTAAAGGAATCTTACCTTGTTGTCTTTCTTGGAGTAGTACTGTGGCATGGGCCAGGGCTCGCCCGTGGAAGGGTGGGGGGACCTGCGCACCTTCATCTCGGCCGCCCCGTAGTTGTTAAACATGATGGAGAAATCCTCCCAATCCCAGCTGAGGTTGATGCCCCCAATTTGTGTCTGCTGCGACTCTTTGTTCCACTGGTTCCCCCGGTTCCTGTCATAGACGTCACCATTTTGGTTGTTGATGTTGTTGTTGATGAAGTTCTGGTTGTTGTTATTGTTGGCGTAGTTTTGGTTGTTCCCTGCATTTTGGTTAATGTCTGAATTCTGATTAGTGTTGGCCACGTTTTGTATGTTCCCATTATTATCATTATTATTATTCTGGTAGTTACCATTATTTTGGTCGTTATTGTTATTGTTTATCCCCAAAATAGCGTTATAATTTTTAATAACATGTGTAACTCGGCTGGCAGTGGTTTCAGGTAGCTTCTGCTCAACTTGGTTGTTCTGGACAGCATGATATTCGTTAGCTGGAATATTCGGAGTGTTTCCAGCTTGATTGCTAACAACTGGAATGTTTTGGCTGTCCTCTAGTTGTCTTTTCTCTTTGGTTCTGTCTTCAACTTGTACCTGATCCGATCTCTTAAAATAGGATTGTGATTCTACATCTTGTCTATTGGATTGTCGAACATCTTTCAGCGACTCACCCTCTTTTGTTTTCTGAAATATTATTAAGGTAATAAATATTCTTTCTACTCTCTAATACACATTTTTTAATGGTAAAATATTATTACACATAGTCAAACAGGGACAGTATGCCCTAGCATAGAACGCTAGACTGCTAACCCGAAAGTCTTGAGTTCAAATCTGGGTTCAAGTCAGTAGAGAGTTCCTGAGTCCACCCAGTTCTAATAGGTATCTAACTAACATAAGGGAAAGTAAAGGAGGCTGGGGCATATAGCTGATAACAGTATCCCTTCATATACCCAGGTCACAGAAACAGGTGAACTCTACTTCACTTGCCCCATGGTTCGCAAAGGAAAAATGACTTACTTTTTTTTACACATAGTCATATCAAACTGTTTACCTGAACAATATTTTTTTCTGTGTCAACAACAGCGATGGGCTTACGCTGATTATCTTCCCCTTGAAAAGCCTGGTTCAGATTAACCTGGTTTGGATTAGCCCGGTTAGCCTGTCTTGCAGCATTGAGGTTCAGCTGGTTAGCTTGGTTGGGTTGCATTGTCTCCCTGACAATGCCTGGATTAGGCAGCAGAGTTTGCTTTAGAGCCCCGGCTTTCTGCTGGTTGCCATTCCTCCCGGCTGACAAAAAGCCTTCGTTTCCGACCACCTCAACCTTAGCAGTGTTGCGATTGTTCAAGTCTTTGATAAAATCGTTCTGCACTCCAACATTATCCGAACCAAAGGTATATTCCAACGCCACAGCAAGAAGTAACACAGTAAACAAACACTGCATATTGCACTGTGGATGAAATAAAAATATTATTACGTTTTCTTTCAATTGAGTCTAAACACAACTATTGAGTTAACACTACTCAATTTCTAAATAGAACTATTGACTTGACAATACTCAATTTCTTAATACAACGATTCAATTAGCGATACCGAGTTTAAAAAAACAAGTTGAATTAGCAGTATTCAGTTTTAAATACAATCACAAAATAATATAAAACTAAAACACTGTTCAAGTTTAATCAAATTTTAATAATAGCATAGTCTCTTAATAAATAATATCTAAACTAACCTTAGCAGTGGTTTAGATCAATAAAGCTTAACAAAAAATCATTACTTCACAATAAAAGCAGACACTTATTTCCTAATGATTGCTAGAGAGAACAGACTTTAACAGCTATGTATACAATGAATAGGCTGTGTGGTGTTATGTAAATACGGCACAATAACAATGTAAAGCATCAGGTATTTACAAATGTACACCTGTTGTGTGGCAATGCATACACCTGTAGGTGTGGCTGTGGAGTACTGGCCACACTGTGTGTGCTCATGCCATTGATCTGGCTTTAGATGTAGCTGGTGAGGTGTATTTACCTACACACACCTTATTCGGTAAACACAATGTGTCACAGTGTTTGTCATTGAAAATGTCAGCACTGGTGATGACAGGTGTCAAGTACATAGTTGAAACAAACATTTCATGGGGTAGAAATGCCAAATGTTTGGCTACATTTTTTCTATTTATACATACAGTTACATTTGCAAAGCCACTTTCCATGCTTAACATATCTGGAAGTTGAGTAAACCTGTTTCTGTTAAGGGATTGTCTGGTCGGCACTATATCCTAAACAGTGGCGTAGCCAGGATCGTCTCAAGGGGGGGGTCCAATTTTTACCCGGGGTCAAACTTTTGATTTGCACCCCCTCTCAAACTTTCGATTTGCACCCTCCTCCTCATACTTTTTACATATACCGAGGGGTCTGGGGGGGGGGGGGGTTATGACCCCCCCCTGCCTACGCCACTGATCCTAAAGCTGGTATAGTTGTATGTGGGTGGTGTAGCCCCACTGCTAATCCACAAGTCTCAAGTTCAGAACTTAGTCCACACTTGGACCTGAGTCTACCAATCTCTTATGTGTACCTGACTCTTGTTAGGGTCAGAAATGCTGACCACACCATCCCTCATATATAAAGGTCAAGAAACATGAACTCTGCTTTATCTGCCATATGGATCATTAAGTCTTGAAGTGGAACTTTTATATAGTTGTATATTATATAACCATATGATTATGTTAATGCCAATATGTATACTCACATTTAAAATCAAGCTGGGGTAGAAGAGAAAACATAAACAAAACTGGCCTGGAGGAGTGCTAGATGTTAAACCCTGCGGTGTTTCTCCATTGAAAGGTTAGAGTGCTCCCTGCTGAGTTTTCACCTGCGGCCAAAGTAAATTTGACATTATTTGCAGACAGGTAACTGGAGAGGTAAGTTACACTTGAAAAATGACATTAAAACAAACTAGTTCTACCAGTCTGTCTGAGATCAATTGCATGGAGACTCCCAGTATCAACCAGAAGAAGTAACACCTTTCAAAGCTAGTACAAGGTATGCTTTTGTAGAAGATTAAAATCTAGCTCATCTAATTAAAAATATTTTTAAAGATGAATAATAAACTATTGTTAACATGGGAATGAAGTTTTTGTTGTGGCTTGATGGTATAAATTTTTCCGCAATGCAGAACAACTACCTTTGCTTTGGACAAGGGTCTGAACGGACAAATGATTTTTTCTCCCTTTATTTTAGTTGTGTCTTATATATAAATTATATCAAAATGAGCTAGAACTGAATTACCATGGTTTCACCAAAAATATGGACTGAAGTTTTAAGATTAAGGGGTTATAAAAAAAACAACAGATAAACAAAAAATGACTTACTGGCCAAAAATAACATGTGAAACAAGACATCACTGATTGGACAAAGTGCAAGTGTGTATAAATTGCTTTCAGTCACAAGTAGACAGACGTATAGGAAATGTTTTACAGAAAGATATTAAGAAAATATTGAACACACAGACAAATGAAAACACCTTGCAGACAACAAATGAAAAAAGTGTAACCGGCGGACAAGTGGAAAATGTCTCACAGACAGAAGTAGAAAATGTCTTACAGGTAGATATGCAGAAATGTCTTACAGGTAGACAGGTGACAGAGAACCCACCTATTTATGCACCAAGTATAAAATCTATTTCAAAAAGTGCTTCAGCTATTTTTTTTAATCAACCAAGCTTTATAGCACAAAGAAATACATTTTCTTATGCCTATAGCCCCAAGAAATAAATTTTCTAATCTTTGTAGCCCAAAGAAATACATTTTCTAATCCATTTGTTACAGGATTTCTTAAGGATTTCTTTTTCAAACATTGTATTCAGACAGTTTTGACACTGATAGACACATTCAATAGAGCAACATGACAAAAACTATTGTACAGGATTATTCACAGCTACATAATCACACAAAAAGACATTTTATACACATACAGCCATATAACATTTTAATACAACCTGGTCTCAACCACCCTCCCCTTCATATTATATAACAATGCAAGCAATGTTTTCTCTCTCTCTCTCTCTCTCTCTCTCTCACACCAACCATTCTATATAGCAAAAAATAACAATTGAAAATAGTTTAATACATCCTAATCCTTGCTCTGGACTACCCTCTACCCCACATAACAAAACAACTACATTGCAATTAAAAATGTAATTAGTGAACAACCTCTAATATCATAGAAGAGAGATTTAGAAAAAAATCAATTAATAAGCACACTTTAATTCAGCTAAACAAAGGAGCAGCAGGTAATTTATTTTTACAACAATAAAAATGAATATTAATTATGCACACACATACAATACATTGTATGTTATATACACACGCACACAAACATACATACACACACACACATAAGAAAATACTTTTTGTTAACAGTACAGTATATTTAATTAATTTTGAGAGCTTTGCTGTATTATAATTACTATACCTAGTACAACAATATTTTAATTATTGCAGGATCCAGAATCTCTGGATGAATACAAAATGCATATTTAGGTTTAGATGGTGTGACATCACACTTTTGCATGATAAAAATGCAATGCTAGAAAACAAATTTTAGTCATTATTTTGCGCTTTAGAAAACTGTTTTAAAAAATGTAATAGAAATTGATTAAAACACTCTATGTTGACAAAGTTCAGACAAGATTTTGGAAAAATATCGCTGAAAAATTCAACTGCAATTTTGAGGGGGGTGGGGGGGGGGGGGGGGGGGGTTGTAGGCTGAGGTGTGACATCCTTTTAGGGGGGTGTCTGGCTTTTTGTGACGATGTGTGATGGAGGAGGGGGGGGGGGGGTGGTAAAATCTTCACCAAAAGCGTGACGTTATTTATGGATGACCCTTAAGCTAGCAATACGATAGGCCTACTCGAACACCAGTTGTATTTAACTCAGTAACTGAGAAATACTGTTTATAATAAGATAATAGCACAAAAAATTTACAATCTAGATTAGATTCTAGAGTTAGATTAAATTGACAGGGATCCATAAATGACTTCACGCTACTGAGGGGGATGGGAGGTTTGTTATTTTGTGACTATGTGTGATGCGGGGTTTAGATAGCTGTTATTTTGTGTTTTAGTAAACTGTAATAAATTGTAAAAGAAATTGATTAATATATTCTATATAACTCAATTTTGAAGGGGATTGTAGGCTAATGTGACATCATTTTAGGGGGGGGAGGGGGGGGGGGGAGGGGATTTTGTGACAATGTGGGGTGGGGGTGAAAATCATCCAAAAAAAGCGTGATATTATTAACGGGTGACGTTTTAGTAAAAGTAATACTTTCAGTGAATAGGCCTATAGATCTAGTCTAGCTAGTCAATGTCTTACACATGATAGATCTAAGTCTAGATAGTAGATAGGGCATAGGCCATAGATTATGATTAAGATCTATGGTACAGGACTCAGGCTGGCCTACTTATACTTTATAAAGAGGCTAAGTCACTACATTAGACTAGCTAGATAGATTTACTGATCATATCTAGATAAGCCCCGCCACTAATGCAAAAAGTGCATGGTCAGAAAGTTAACTTAAGACTCGCCACTATTTGCCAGCTTCAATTTAATTTAATGCATGCACACAACCATGACCTATTTCTGTGTCTAAACATTTTCATATATTTAAACGCACACCATAAAAACAACTCCTTATCCGTCTCTAGTGTTGTTCTTGGATTGGATTTAGGTTCGGGTTAAAAGTTTCATATCCTCTTTTTTTATAATCTTTTTTGGGTGGCGGTGGTTAACTTTTTGACTGGAAGAGATCCAGATTTAGTTTCTACAAGAATACTAGATTAGATCAACTACCCAGTACTGGGTTACTAGCTAGAATCTAGATCTATTCATTGATCATGGAGACTTGAGGACTGTTAGAACATTAGGCTTATATTCAAGTATATCATTATCACTAATTAATTATCAGATATCTAGATTTTAAATCGAGATCTAGATCCTGCAGGCTTACTGACTTACTCAACTGTACACACAGTAGTGAGTAGTACTAGTAGTCTGTTTCAAACTGTTTGTAGATCTAGTCACTTGAATCTAGATCTAGATGTGTACGACCTATCATCTGATTCTGATCTGTTCAAGTCTAGTCTAGAAAGAAGATATAAATCTAGATCTAGATTCTAGACTAGATTGAGAATCTAGAATTCTAGAGTCTGAGATCTCTAGATCTAGATTCCAGATCAAGGAAAAATAAACAGAGCAAGTCTAGATCTAGACTAGAATTAGAATCTTAATCTAGACCTAATCCTATTATTGATTATTATAGGCCTTAACTTTTGTAAGTTATTAGGCTAAATCTAGAATTACAATGTACCAAAATAAACCAAATTGTAATAATCCAACCAATGCCTCTCTCATAAAAAAAATAAAAAATGTCTATCACAGTCGTCACCATCGTAGAAAATAGAAATGAAATCGTAGACTAGAATCTAGATTAGAGACAAAATTAGATTTAGAATCTAGTAAAGAAGCTGGCACAAGATTGCATTATGAGACTCAAAATACTGGACTTACAGTTAATAATGTATATAAACAACTGCAAAAATTGTAAAACGGATCCGTCGCATATGTTTTAATGACACTGCATCACACTGAAAAAGGAACTGCACATTATGCCAAAGTAAAAAAATTTCTTTAATACCAAACCGTTCTAAAAATATTTTCTTCCGGTTCAGCGCAGGGGACATAACTAGCCAAAATCGTCCATAGCAACCCGTCCATTATATTAAACAACATTTTCGGCCGAAATGTTTTAATTTTCCCACACTTGTAAAATTTGGAAAACTACTTTAGCTCCAATTTTTAAAGACAAATTATATGTATTAATGTATATGACTAGCTGCGTAAAAGGCTCAGCTGCATTCAAGTAATGACTAGGCCTACTCTTCGTCCTCACATGTTAAAATTACATTATTACTAATTTATTAGGCCTACTGTTTTATTCTAAATAGTTAAGAAACATCGCGTAAATTATAGCAGATTATCGATAACGGTAGAAAACTCCATCGGTGTTTTAATAATAGCTAGGTTATCGTGGTGAATTGTGATTTAAGAGAATATTTAGAAAATAATGGCAGCGTATGTTTGATTTAATTGTGAATAATTCTTTGTAAACTTAATAGATCTACTTCTCTTTCTAGATCTACTTGTAGTTTACGTGATACCGGTTTTTAAAAGCCTATAACCTCTGCCAATTGTAGTCTTAGACAAAGAGCCTTATTCAAACATCTGTTCGTGAGGGAGGGGCATTGCGCCACAGAAAACGTGCATTTTTTTTTCTACAGGAAGAGGTGGGGGCACTTAAAATTTAAGGGAGGGGGGGCGGACACTGGTAAAAGTATATATTTTGTACATAATTTTTTTTTCTACTTTCGGTGACCCGGAGCACTCCAGGCTCCCCTGTGAGCACTATGGCGCCTACATTCGTTATAACGAGCACCCTACAACAGGGATACAGTGGGCCATTACATTCAGGGACAGTGCACCACCAAAGATATGCCTGAAAGAAAATCTGGGTCTTTCCAAAGCATATAGCGACTGAGGACAATACCATCAAAATGGGTCACATACGAAACCAGCAAGATAGAACGACCCAAGTCCAAGAAATCTGGACAGCTGTGATTAGCGACCCTGAGTAAAATCAGTGATGAAGAGTCTACCCCCCCCCCCCAACGAGATGGAATTTATATAGTAAACATATACATTTACTAGTGTCCGCCCCACTCCCCCCCCCCCCGAAAATGTCAAGTGCTCCCCCCCCCCCCCCCCCGAGAAAAAAAAGTATAGAAAAAACACTGATTGCAAGGTGGAGACGGATGGGGGGGGGGGGGGGGGGGAGAAGAGGAAGGCAAAGACGTCACTAGATAGAGGACATCAAAGATTGGACTGAGCTGTTTCAGAACTATTCACAGCAGCATAGGATCGAGGCAAATGGTGGAAAATTATGAGAAGATCATCGGTGGTGCCTGTTACGTCCCTGGTTTGAATAGCGTCCCCTGATTGTGTGTGAGATAAAACAACTTGTGCCCTTTTTTGCATAGAGTTGTAGCCCTTGGTTGAGTGAGTTTACAATAGAACGAGGGGTGTTCTCGTGAGGATTGACAGTAGGCGGGTGACAGAGAATGTGCTAAGGTGTGTGGCAGTTGGTTGGCGTGTGGTTTTGAGAGAGGGCGTGGACGAGTCTGTTAAGTATTGTTGTATCATATTTCTGTATGATGTATGTTACTAAATTCTTTTTCTTTTTGTATATTGTTAAGTTCGTTTGTATTGCACGCTATACGTAACAGGTTATGTGGTCCTGTGTATTACAATAACACAATAGTGCCCCCAAGACCCAAATAAGGCTTAAGGTATTGATTGATAAGTAAGGGTTAGTGTTTCGGGGGGGGGGGGGGGCACTGTTAAAGTATATATTTTCTATATAAATTCAATTTCGTGGGGGGGGGGGGGCGGTAGACTTACTTCGGGGGGGGGGGGGGGCGAAGAAACGCCTGGAAGAAACTCTGGTAAGGGTGGTGATAAAGAGCGTGAAAATTAAGGTCTATTTAGCCACGTACCTGTGACTCATTATAAATCAATCAAATTTTCTAGGAATAGTTACGGGGGTCTCGCAAAAGTGATGATAAGCGAATCCACACACCCCTCCTAATCTTCTTCCGTTACACAATGTCTTGAAAAAATGTCAACCCTTTGCTTTTAATTAAACAATAATTCAAAGGGAAGGAACTCGTTTCTCATAATTCTAAAGAAATGCCAAATTTATCTACCTCAGACGCCGACCTCCTTGCACAAAAAGCACGTACGTTTAAACCCCACTTCACTTTTGTATTTGACGTCATGTATGCCCCCCCCCCTTTTCACCACGACAGTAAATATAATTTAATCGACTTGCGTCTCAATCTCATATCGACGATTATCGATGTATTTTGATCATGTGTATGTACATTCAAAGAAAGCTAGTATAAAAATGTCATGCCTAATCAGTTTTTTTCAATGACAGATTTTTAATTACGTCACCGTTTTTTTTTACTGCTACCAGTAGGCAATGGACTGATTTCCTGTTTAACGATTGAAATAAAATAAAAGTAACTTAGTTTGCTTTGGCTACCAGTTTCACTGTATCAGCCCTTGTCCTACAGCACATAGGATTATAACAAGTTTTAAAAAAATAATGGAAAAAAAAACACCCCAACCCGTGACGTAAGAAGCCAGAGGCGTAACTAGGGGAGGAGGGGGGGGGGGGGGCGACCGCCACACGGGGTAGGATAATAATAAAAGCTTCTGAGCTGTATTACTGAATTCTACAGTCAAAATAAAAAAAAATATAGACTTACTTGGCTTTACGGACTTATTTCTATATCAGTTGTGTGATACCAAAATAAAATCAGCTAAGGGAGAGGGATTTGCAAACAGCGTCCCTGACCTTTCCAAATGGGAAATGCTGACGTGCATGACTGTATAAATGGGAGTATTGGGAGGGTGCATAACTGAAACTTTGGTGGTTTCTTGAAGTTTACTGTTTCTCATAAGCAGATCTAGTCCTTCTTAAATATATCAAATATATGTAGGCCTATGTATATATATATTTTTTTTTCTTTCTTCAATTTTTTAAGAAAATTATCCACTTTATAAACAATACTTTTTCAAACACTCACACTTGACTTTCCCTTATACTTGTTACCTCATCATTTTTTTTGCTTATCCTTTTGTAGCTCATTTATTAATCCATACATTAATAATCTATAGCCCATTTATTCATCCATACATTAATAATCTGTAGCACATTTATTAATCCACACATTAATAATCTGTATCCCATTTATTAATCAACACATTAATAATTTGTAGCCAATTTATTAATCCATACATTAATAATCTGTAGCACATTTATTAATCCATACATTATTAATCTGTAGCCCATTTTTAAATCCACACATTAATAATTTGTAGCCAATTTATTAACCCATAAATTCATTATTTGATATTATTATACAGTTAATTTAAATAACAAAAAGACTCGAACAGTCACAGGCAACAATTAAATAAGTTCATATATTTTATTTCACAGCCACTTTTTAAGTATATTTTTTTACAGACAAAAGTACACGCTAAAACTACAATACAGTAATTGCACTTCGTCAAGACTTTTTTCCTTCCTGTTGGGAAAGATAAAAGTTAAAATTACTCAATCAGTAAAAGATAATACAAGATTAGTTAGTTTGATCACTAAGTTCTTTAAATTACTTCCTGTAAAGCCCTGAACATGAACTGCAGGTACTTATACTAAGAATAGGTTTAAGGTTAGTACAAGGATTAGGTGCATACAGCATATTCCACAGAAAAATACTATATGCATTAAAAATATGATATCAATAACAGCATGGGAATAATGGAGCCCAGAAAAATGAAACAAAACAGAACTAACTAAATTCTTAACATTATAATAGAATACAGAAAAAATATATCCACAATCTATTAGGAGTACAGAAAAACTATTCACAGAAAATACAACATCCATATAAAATCTATTTCCATAACAAATTAGGCTAATAATGAGGCATGTAAAAATAAAACCACAGAAAAAATTATCCACAATGAATTTTAATAAAATTTACACAGGTAAACATTTTGCACTACAAAATGTAAGAGAATGAGAAAAGAACAACACTGTACAAAAGCGTAAATGCATTTTAAAATCTTTACAGAAATCCAATCAAAACTTTTTTGAACTTTTTCAAACTGAATGTGAATGAGATAAAAAAGAAATATGTAAAAGTAAGTATAACATGGTCAACTGATAAGTTTATATCCACCACAACTCACTTTCTTGTTGAGAAATCCATTCTGTTCCAGCACTTGCCTACAGCAGTTGTTGATGTGCTTAAATCTGTCAGGTCCTAGGTGGATTCCACCGTACCATCTTGATACCATTACAAATACATTCTCTGCTTTGACAATCTGTTGAATAAATTTGTTTCAAAACTGTTAAACTTTGTAGTTGTGATTGTTTACTTATGAGGTTATCTATTGGCTTATAAAATGGTAAGTGAAAATTAATACAAAACATTATTTGTAACATCAGTAAAATATTTCTTAATATAATACATAATTATATTTTGCAATATAAAAATAAAGGGAAACTATAGTTCAGTTTTGTAGTCATCTCCCTTTATTCACTTGGGCAAAATTACAAGAGAAATAGTCTAGATGTTTGTTAACTTTTATCTTTTGTTAAACTAGTGAAATGTATTGATCCTTTTAAACAGTGCTCATATTACACAGTAAATAATCAGGGCCATTGTTATAGTAAAATATGACCATTGTTACTGTGAAATAATCAGTACCAATTCTGTAGATAAAACAAAACCATCTCACTCTTGCAGATCTGACACTTTCCTACCTGTACTCAGCAAGTGTATTACCTGCAACAGATGCAGCATTCTTGAGCCAGCCTGTGTTTCCCCATCATCGTCACACCCCTGGTAAACCAGCCCAGAGCCGTCGGCTATCCTGTAGGCGAACATGTTGTGGGTAGCATTGGCGATTTTTCTGTTCTGCAACAGTCTGTTTATTACTAAAGATACCTGAGGAAAGAGAATAAATCACTGAGTGCTATAAAATAATTTGCCATTAAAATTCAAACTACTTATTTAGAGTGAATAATAGAGTAACCTCCCCTCATTGAAAAAAAAAGATAAAATAAACTGTTTACAGTAAGAAAGTTAATTTCTCCTGAAACTCTCTATGTAATGATCAAAATGGAAATCCTAGAGTTGCTCTAACCTTTAGAATATCCACCCCACCGCCCCCAACCAATATGCCCTCTGAGGTGAAAAACATAGTGTGCACAGTGTTCTAAACATCTTACACAAAATGATTGTGCAGCAGTTTCAAAATGACTGCACTGTCGCAAAACTGCGAGGGAACACTGGTATTCAGCAAAAGAATTCATAAGCACAGATTTTAATCATGCTTAGATTGTGTGAATGATAACATATTAGACCAGTGGGGTAATTGTGATAATAATTAATTTTAAACTTGGAGAGACTAGTTGGATAGACGAGCATGTTAAGTTACATAGCTCAGACTAACTTCAGAACTAGTACTGATAGCTGTTAGCTAATTGGATAAGTTAGGCACTAGCTTAGAAGGCCAAGTTAGACAACTGTGAGCAGCTTAAACAGAGATGACAAAACCAAACCTGAGCTTTACTTGTCACCTTGGCCAGATGTCCTTGAAATGTACTTTTTCTGTCCGTCAGTGTTGTGCCGTGTATAATATCAGGGCAATGATCTGTCAAGTTGCAAAAAAAGTTACTTATCTAACACATGAGCACATTTTAAAAAAAAAAAGAGCATAAAACACAACAACTTTAACACCTTCAGCTCCAACCTATTTTTGCATATTAAATTCCTCGGGTTATTATTTTACGGTAAGTATCTCCAGCAATATATGGGAATGCATGGTTGAATGGTGGAATATAAGACTGCTAACACAAAAGTGTTGAGTTCAAATCCATGTTTAAGTCCGTAGAATGTCACAAGTCTCCCCAACTCTGATGGGTAACAGATTCACTCTAGGGAAAGTAAATGCGGCTGGGCAAGGCGCTGACCACACTATCTCTTCATATGCCAAGTTCAGAGAAAACAGGTGACCTCAACTTCACTTGCCCCAAGGACTGTTAGGTTGGATAGGGAACTTTCCTTACCTTCAGTAATATCTATTCCTGATGCGCTGGAATCTAAAAAATCCAGATCCCCAACTATTCTGGGATCAAAATCTGGATCCTCCTCTTCTGTGGTCTGGATGGTGGGCCTGCCTGCAGGTGAGCTGTCTGGAAAAGTTACAATTGAAATTTATATCTCGGACTCGTACACTATTTGGCTTTAACATTTCAGCATTCTAAACAAAGGCGTGATAGAATAGTACAGAGTTTGGCTGCTCGACTCAATGGTCTAAAGTTCAGATCTTGGTTTCGGAGTTGTGACTTTAGGACGTCCCTGAGTCCACCCAGATCTGATGGGTGCTGAATAGGCTGGGAAAAGTAAAGACGACTGTGCATGGTGCTGACCACACTATCCCATCATATGAAAATGTCACAGAAACAGGGGGAACTCTACTTCACCTGCCCCACCAAAAAGGGAACTCCACTTCACTGTGTGTTATAGCAAATTTTCTTTTAAAAAATGGTCCAAATCTGAAATTTGAACATTTTTTTTTTTCTTGACTAAAGGTAGTGCAAGCCAACTTCATGTGGCTGAAAACTGCAGTTAAAATTTTAAACAGACCACTAGAATACTTGTATACAAAAACTAGTATCAAACCATTTACCTAAATCAGATTTTTCCTGCAGAAACTCTCGGACCCCTTCCACCCAAAGGAAGATGACAGACTCTCCAATGTTCTCACTGAAACAGAGATAGGTAGATAAATGTAGGTTCCATAGCAAAATTTTAGTTCATGGAAGACGTTACAAAACAGTTAAAAACTTAAAGAAAAATACAACTGTAAAAAAAACAATAAATAAATATTACTCACCAGTAAATCTGTGACAGTCTGTTTTCTAAATTTTTTCTTTCAGCTCCTCGCAACCAAAAAGCACTGAATAAAAATATAAAAATTTTTGTTTGCAGGCATTTATGGTGGGTAGGAACAGTGCTCAAAAACTATTTTTAAAAAACTATTTTAAAAAAAATATTTTTAATTAAAAAAAAAACCAGCTGAAATTCAAATACATAAAAAATAAAGAGAAAAATCTTGAACTAATTTTTTGTGTATGATTTTCATTTTTTCAAGCATATTATTATTAATACAGTGAGACGTATTTATTTATATAGAGAACTTTATATGAATCACAGATCTGCAGGTCGTTGACCCCCCCCCATGTCAGAATACCCTACACGTAATCAAAAGTTATGTTACATGTATTGTAAAAGAAAATAAATATATACATTGTAAACATAATCTTGCAAAGCAATTGAAGTACCCTTTCTATCTAAGAAAACAAAAAAAAAAAAACAACAAAGAAGCAATTACTGAACAAAACCATGCTTTGACTTGAAATTTCAGCACCTAATGCTGAATGAACATTTTTCCATCCCTACACAAAAGTCTATTTAATGGGGCTGCATCTTGATATGCCACTAAAGTGTTTATATTAGAGCAAGAAATTAAATACTGCCTGTAGCAAGACAACCACCCAGAGGCGTAGCGAGGGGGGGGGGGCGGGGGGGGGGGGGGGGAACGACATATGTCCCCGGGCGCCGACCTTAGGGGGGCGCCGAATTGAAAGTTTGAGGGGGGGTGCAAATGAAAAGTTCGAGGGGGGTGCAAATCGAAAGTTTGAGGGGGGGGGGGTGCAAATCAAAAATTTGCTCCCGAGGGGGGCGCCAAATTGAATGTATGTCCCCGGGCGCCGGGAAGGGTCGCTACGCCTCTGCAACCACCCTACCTATAGGACTAAGACTTACTTTATTTGGTATTCTGGTGCCACCTAAATCCTGTAAGTGTTTATATTAGAGCAAGACATTAAATACTGCCTGTAGCAAGACAACCACCCTACCTATAGGACTAAGACTTACTTTATTTGGTATTCTGGTGCCACCTAAATCCTGTAAGTGTTTATATTAGAGCAAGAATTTAAACACTGCCTGTAGCAAGACAACCACCCTACCTATAGGACTAAGACTTACTTAATTTGGTATTCTGGTGCCACCTAAATCCTGTAAGTGTTTATATTAGAGCAAGACATTAAATACTGCTTGTAGCAAGACAACCACCCTACCTATAGGACTAAGACTTACTTTATTTGGTATTCTGGTGCCACCTAAATCCTGAAACTGTTTATATTAGAGCAAGACATTAAACACTGCCTGTAGCAAGACAACCACCCTACCTATAGGACTAAGACTTACTTAATTTGGTATTCTGGTGCCACCTAAATCCTGTAAGTGTTTATATTAGAGCAAGATATTAAACACTGCCTGTAGCAAGACAACCACCCTACCTATAGGACTAAGACTTACTTAATTTGGTATTCTGGTGCCACCTAAATCCTGTAAGTGTTTATATTAGAGCAAGATATTAAACACTGCCTGTAGCAAGACAACCACCCTACCTATAGGACTAAGACTTACTTTATTTGGTATTCTGGAGGTGATTCCAGGGGGTAGTTTTCTGGCAGATGAACCTGATGAATGAAAGACACATAGTTTTGTCATTTACAGAACACAGCAGTAATACATTGGGTAAGGTTAATTCAGTGTGCCATACCAAATTTATTATTTCAGTTTATTCAGTGTGACAGAACAGTGTGGTCAAGTGGTAGAGCATTAGAGTGCTAACACAAAAGTATCGAGTTCGGTTCCTTGTCTAGAGTTATAGCACATCCCTGAGTCCATCAAACGCTGATGGGTACCTAATGTATGTTGGAGAAAGTAAAGATGGCAGGACATAGTGTTAACCACAAACCACACTATACCTTTATATGCTGAGGTCACAGAAACAGGTGAATCCTACTTCACCTGCCTTGCAGGCCTTCAGGTTCGAAAGGGAACTTTATTTACTTTATTTGTTATTCAGTGTGAGGTTAATCAATAGGCTATGTACGCAATTGCTTTTGGAGACCCAGCATATAGTACAAGATTGCAATAGCTTAGTTAGGAATTAGTTATAAGTTATGGAGTGGGGAAGGGGTTCAGAAACTGTCTACTATCACCAAGGGTCACTAATCGCTGTGACAATCGCTGTGAACGTTAGACAAAGTCTATATCATGTGTTCATAAGGAGAGGAGGGTTGGGTCTAATTTTCACTAACACCCCCTGCCTGCAGGACAGAAAAATCTAAGTTTATCTATCTATTTAGAACTGAGATTGCTGTCCTCAGTGTGAGGAAATCTTTGAGATAATAAAACAGGCTTTTTCATTTCTTTCTTAAATAAATAAGAAATGTCTTTAATAAATAAGAAAGAAAAGAGCTTCACTTTGTATTCTAATGTGGTTTCTAATGCCTTTAATAAATTATTTGCAAAAACCATTGAAAAATAACATCCTTTTATTTCATATCAGATAGTTTTTGATAGTGCTGCTAGCATTTTCTGATAACCCTTTTTAAAATTTCTTTTTTCAATTGGTCTGTTTAAAAAAAACAAGGATAATTCTGGCAACCCCCAGGAACCACTAAAGATTTTTTTGTTGGTTCTTGAGGGGACTGAAGCCTCCACTCAAAGATAAGACTAAGGACTGCTGTCTATTTTGCAACTTTTCTTCCTTAATTTAAAAAAAAAAATAACTTTGTGGTCACAAAAAGCCTTAAAAATATGGATAATAAGTTTAAAAATTAAGAAAACATCATTTTAAGTGGTTTGTGCAAGTGTGTATTTAACCTTCATATATGAAGCCTGCTGCATTTTATTTACAAGTAGCCATCAGAGCTTGGTGGACTTAAATGACTTAAGGTCTAGAGCCCAAAAACCATACTCAAACTTTTAGGGTTAGCAAGTAAAGTACTCTACCATAAGAGCATAACATAGGATAAAATCAATGAACCACACAACAAATGTTCAAATAGGCACTCACCTGTAAGTTTAAAACCCATCTAGGTGAGTCTGTCCTGTCTGAGATCTGAACACAATATTGTCTTGAAGCTTCATCCAGCACACACCACTCGTTGCCATAAATGGCTGTCAGGGCTTCAATTTCATCAGCCTAGTAAACAGTGTAAATACAAAATCAGCCATATAAATATTGTAAATGTGGAAAAACTAGCAGTAATTAAAAATAAATTAGGGCTAAAATGAAACAAATCACATAGAGAGATTTTTATTTAAAAGGATACCAACTGGTGTTGAAAAGATAATGGTTATAACTAGGAAATTGTTATACAAATCACTAAAGAGAATTCAACAACATGCCAAAAAATTAGGTATTCGGAAATCGCTCTGAGTCAATAAAATGGTTTAAATAGTTTGTTAATGACCTGTGGTTAATACAAAATTAATGCCTTTTAGGTAGGCCTATATTTAAAAAAGAGCTGTTAATAAGCGCACAATTTTGGACAAATTACAATACCAACTAACACCAAAGTTATTAAAGTTTAAACAAAGAGAAAAGCATTGACAGATTATGGACTTTACTTGAAACTTGTTTACAGCTATGGATATCCAAAAATGACTCTCAAATGTAATCACCAACGCTCAGTAGGGTGGAACTTTGGGGTGGATGGCAGTTGGTGGGGTGAGGTTAAGGATAACTATGCATTTAAATCTATGGTTATGAGATACTAAACCCTAAGAAAAGTTAAAGTACTACGTTACTGGAGTTTATAGAGTGTCCATGTATAACATTACCAGTCAAAACTGTGGCTCCCCATAATTCACAAGAGACGGTTCATGTGTATAATTAGGAAGTGAACCATGTGACAGCCAGCTACAACATATGTATGAATTTACTTAACTATATACTTGGGCTGCAGTGAAAGCTGGTAATTTAGACATGTAAGAAATCAGGATAATGTTACAATGAAGCAAATTCAGCCCAATGTTGCAAAACAGTATGGACTTTAAAATTTGTATGGAACATCGCAAAACTTCTATAAAATCATTACCTTGTTGGATGTCGTCCCATCCCCCACACCAATCGGATGATCTACTTGTTAATTAGATGTAACTAACTTACTTACACTTACAGACTAACAATAAAAATAATAATATTAGTTATTAATACTAGAACTATTATAGTAGCCTACTACTAGGCTCTCTAGATCCAGATAGTAATAAAAAAAATTCTATTCTAAATTTACAAGTCTAACTAGGGGTCGTCCATAAATGACATCACACAAGTAGGGGGGGTCTGGTATGTGACCATGTGTGATGAGGGGGAGAGGGGTTCAGATAGTGTGATGTCACACTTTTTCATAATAAAAAGCAATGTTAGAAAATGAGTTTTTGCTTATTTCATGTTTTAGAAAACTGTTTTAATAAATTGTAATATGCAATAGGCAAATAGGCTAGGAATTGATTAAAATAATCTATGTTGACAGAGTTCAGACAACATTTTGGAAAAATATATTATTTTAAGTAAAATTCAACAGCAATTTTGAGGGGTTGTAGGCTGAGGTGTGACGTCATTTTAGGGCTTAGGGGGAAGAATCTGACAATTTGTGATGATGTGTGACACAGACGGAGGGGAGAGGGGAGGTAAAAATCTTCAAAAAAAGCGTGACGTTACTTAATACTAATGGATGACCCCCTAGACTAGATTAACGAGATCTAGATTTACGCCTGATTTACTAGTAACTTTATCTAGATCGTAGTTAGTGTGTATACTGTCACAGTACTGTGTACTAGATCTAGATCTATCTAGTACTTGGGTAGGGGGGGGGGACTAAAAATAATTTTTTTTTTAAAGTGATGTGCGGGCCGTAGAACTCTAGTGAAGTCTAAATTAAATTCTAAATCAAATGTAGATCTATCTAAATCTAGCTAAAAGGAAGAACAGCGTATTTAGTCTGTACCTGTCTAGCAGCATTGGACATCTCCATTTAAAACAAAATATATTAAAACTAGCGCCATACACAAAATCTTGCACACATTTCTTGGGTGTTGAACTAGATCTACACATCATCGTGGCTGCTTTCCTCAAGAACTAGGTCAATGGTTAATTTTAGCTGACCTTTTACCTCTAACGCGACTATTTATAGCAGTCACATGATCCTTCAATATATACTAGTACTAGACATATAGGCCTATATACTAGATAGCAGCTATTAAACTTATTTTTTTTTCAATCAATTCAATTAGGCCTAACTGGCTTTGGTTTTTTTTAATTGTCATTTAAACTAAAATCTAGGTCTTTGTGAGTGACTGTTACTAGATCTATAGGTATATGCCATAGGACATAAGGGACTATAAGTATAACCCAACTCCAAAACTTTGCCTCCACACTTTTACTCTATCCATAGTATCATACTTCATATCATATGGTACCTCTTTGTCCCTCAGTCAAGAAAGTAAAGAAAGGCAACTAAGATTGTTTGGAATTGTTTTTTTAAAAAGGCCTAACAACCAACAGGACGCTTGTGCCCAGTTTTTTGTTTATGTGTGTATACATTTTGACAAGTAGATTCTAATTTATATTAAATTTAATAATACTATACTGTTATTATTATAGAAAATCTAGTATCAATAATTACTTATTACATTTGGCCTTTCATGTTTTTTCAATTATGATATTAAAGTTAAAAGCAGTAATAAAAGTAGGTCTTGCCCAATTTATTTTATTACTGTGTGCCAGTGTATAATGATGAGAGATGTTAAAAGGTCATAAGTATCATCATGATCAAGTAGCCCGCTTCATTTCAATCATCACTACCTACTGCCTTCATTGGGTTATATATAAATGGGACCTAGATTTCTATAGCAATGGCCTGATGCTAGCATTAAAATTTAAAAAACTTGCTGTTTACTCTGATTTGTATTCATGTTAAAAAGACATTGACAACTCCCACCCCATAAATTATACAAGATAATATATATGTCTTACTTTCATGTTAACCAATCAATAATTGCAAACCAAAATGATGCTGTAAATAATAAGGCATGATCCATAATTATTTCAATATGGTTTCTCTATAAAACCATGCATTTTTTTTTTTGCAGCCCCTTGATAATTTTCAGCCAGGGGCTTCAACTATTACTGAAGTCTAAACCAACATAATAGGCATAAACTATTTAAAATTGAAACAGTTGAACAACACATGGATGTGACAATATAAGCTAAAAATATTTTAAGAAAACGTTTTATTTTTAAAAAATATTTTTTAATCCTCAATCAAGCCACAACATCCATAACAGAAAAAGAAAAGGTTACAAAGCAAAATGCCATTGAAATGTTCACATTTTCCATTTTAAAATTTGTTCCAATTTTTTGGGAAAATATTTTTTGCTTAAAAATATTTTAAACTTCATCTCTGAACACACATTCATTAAGTGAAGTTTAATCTCTGGCTTAAGTTTTTGATTTCTTTAAAAAAAATATGAAAATTGTTTTGGACTAGATAAATATTCTTTCAAACCAGAAATTATAAGCTAACTTGGTTTTAAATTTAGGATGAAATTTACAAAAAAAAAAAAAAAAAGTTACTAATTGAAACAATGTACTGCTGGAATGGTTGATTGTGCATACCAACTGAAAGAAATAGTTTATTATTAATCTAATGGAATGAATGATTTGTAGAGTTATTGCCGTTTACTTTGATGAAATGCAAGATAAATGTAATAAATAGACATTAAAAAAATGTAAGCACCACCAGGTACTGACCCCCACCACAATATCTATACACGTACACCCATTAGCAGTTTTTCGACACAAATGAACCCAATATTTTCATTTTGGCTTCACTGAAACTTTGTAACTTATAAGGAATGCTTAAATGACAAGAAAGTAGTTCTGGAAGTAAAAAAAATCGTTTAAAAAAACAAAAATATAACTTTATACAGAAATAATGAAATATTGCCATCACCATTATATATATATATATATGACTTAGACCATGTATGAAAATGCAATTGGAATGTTTGCACCAAATATTTCAGTAGCAAGTTAAATATAAAACAATAGCAAAAATAGTATTTATTATTTGTTTAAAAAACCCAGATGTATCTATTATGATAGTCCAGTTTAGTTCTGATACAATATGTATTTTTCTAGTTTGCTTTTCTTGTTAATACCCTCTAAATTATATAATAGAACCTTATATTTAAAAAAAAATATATAAAATTTAAAAGGCACTGAAGTTTTAACAGAATAATGTATCAAGGCACACTCCAGTTTCCTGAAGGGTTCAGAAAATGAATATTGAGGTACTGTACTTTCACAATTGTGTACAAAATATAAGCAACGATAAGGCAATTATTGGTAGATAAGTAGCTATTTACATTTGTAAAACACAAACCCTCGTTATTTAAAACAAAATAAAAACCATTGTGTATTTATATATTCAAAAGATTGGAAAAAAGGAAGACAAAATGTCTCATCCATTTAGAAACATTTGTAAAATGTTTTTTCAACAGTCTTTAAATAAAGACAAAAATAGTATCATGAGAGCACTAGCAAAAATGAAATGAATATATATAAGATTTAAAATTTATGTTACATGGTGGAAGACTGGATTCAGCAATGTTTCTTGTTTGTCAGTTTTAACAAGAAATAAGTAAAAAAAAGCAAAATAAAAAATAAAAACTTAAAGTATGTAAATAATTATGATTAATTACACTTAAGGTCCAAAAAAAATAATAATTAAACAGCATTTTTTTGCTGAACATGAAAGCATAAAGGGTTAAACTTCAAAGCTACATTGTTTTTAAAACCTTTTTTTTATCAAATTTAAAAAAAAAATTGGTTAGACAACTGGGCCTTGTAACTACCAAAATCAACAAAAAAATGTGTTATGAACAATACATTTTTTATACAGTGGTCATAAACATAATGGACTAGTTAAATTTAACCTTTGTAACACTGCTAGAGTACTAGATGTATATTTAAATAAAAGGCACATTTTAAATGCTGTAATCAATTGCATAATGTGGTTTTATTCCAAATTAGCATGACTATAATATCAATGATTACACTTCAGGAAGATTTAAATACATATTTGAAAGAAAAAAAACAACTTTAAAAATGTACAATATATTCAGTTCAGGCACTTGATATGAAACACATTTTTAACAGAGAAATCATGTATTTAAATTTGTATAAGTGTATACAGACTAGTAAGCAGTTTTAATTAATGCAAGTTGAGTGATATGGAATTTGGAAGGTTAAAACCCATGAAAATTTATTTACAATTGTAATACCAAATATTTTCATTGCTCAATGGCCTTATGCGTTGTCCCCTTCGCATGAAATAAAAACAAAAACCACTGGTCCAAATTTTAGATTATTGTTCTTGCAAAGTTATGAAAGTAGACCATCTGTGCTACTTTTCAGCAGTACATCAGTTTTAAACAAAACAAAACTGTTTTTTTTTTTTTGCAAGAAATATTAACAGATGAGCGTTTTTGCAATGTAGAAAAATGTCAAATTTTTTAAAAGGAATATTTGTCAAAAGACATGTATAATGTACAATAGCAATATATGCATAAAGGCACATGATAAGGCTGAGGATAATAATGGAATGTACAGGACTTTTGGAATGATTTCTATATAAATCATGTACACTTCAAAGTTCAATTCATTTTGAGATCTGAATAGTCACTTTATGTGATATCTAGTCTAGCAGTTTAAAAAGTTTTCATTTAAAACAGATGTTGCTTCTCATGTTGAATCATAGCCTGTTTGGCATCGAATTCTCGCTCGCAGTACTGGCACACGTAGACCCGTCTGGTCTTTGTCGTCCCGCCAGTGGAGGGCGCCTCGCTCTCGCCATCGTTATTGTTATTAGTTAGCTTGACATGTTTTTCTAGCATTAGGTCGAGAGCCTCCTGGCTGAGCTTGGAGCCAGGGAAGTGGATCTCTATGTGTGGGTACAGGACTTGTTTGGAGGTGGCTCTGAAGTCACAACACGGGCACTGGATGCTGTCTTGGGACAAATGTCCGGAGACATGCTCCAGGAGCTGGCTTTGGGAGGGGGACTTAAATGGACACCTCTGGCACTTAAACTGGCTCTCTGAGGAGCCCGAGTCCTTCGGTAAGGGGGCAGTGCTGTCAGAGTCAAGCTTGGTCGACCCTGTTGAGTCTTGTTTAGAATCTTCAGCATCAGTATGCAAATGCATATGCTGTTGCAGAAGCCCTCTGTTGCAGGCAGCGTAAGAACAATGGGTGCAGGCAAACTCTGCACCCGATCCATGCATAGCCTTATGCACGGTGTAGCTATTTTTAGAGCTGCTCTTGTAGGGACAAAACTGACAGGGGTAACTCTTCTTGACAACTGTAAGCTTGAAAGGGGGAGAGAATGAAGCATCCCCTTCACCTTCCTTGGAATTCTTCTCCTCGTTTTTGATCTCCATAAACTTAGCTTCAAACTCGCCAGAAGTTCCATCATCAAATTCGTGATTAATAAAGACTTTGTCTTCAGGACTAGCAAGAAAGTCAAGTTCTTCTTCATGCACTTTTCTATGCTGACAAAGGAGTTCCAGCCTATCGGCACTCCAGTCGCAGTAATCACAGATATAACGGCGCCTCAGCCCATGGCTGTTGCAATGTATATCAAATGATTTTTTCTTGGACGTTTTATATGGACATTGAAGACAGGACAGTTGGTCATCTTCATTTTCCCGCTCCGAGATGTTTTGTTTGTAAATAAAATCTGTGTTGAGTAGATCTGCCGTGGGTGGGTTAGCATTGAATTCCGGCTCATCAGCATGTAACTTGCGATGCTGGCTCAGAAGATTGAGCCTATCTAAGCTGTAGCTACAGTAATCACATTTGTAACGCTCCTGTGTACCGTGGAAATTAAGGTGCTTGCGATACTCATAACCGGAGTTACTGCTGAAAGGACAATGTGGGCATTTCTGTTTACGGAATTGTTTATCTAATATTTCACTACCAGTACCTGGCTCTTCTTCATTAAGTATACAGCCCTTGTGGGCAGCTTCAGCTTCCAGTATATCCTTAGCCTCAAGATCAGCAATGGCTTTGGCATCTATTTCATCCAAGTCATCAGAATTGGAGTCATCATCTTCATCCATTTCTTCCTCCTCTTCATCTAGTTTCAGGTCCTCATTTGGACTATTGGGATCACAGAATATGTCATGATGCAGGCCGTCCTCTTCAATCAGAGTGTCATGTGCATCAAGGTGGTTCTTTAGTAGCACAGCTCTGGCTGCACTGTAGGAGCACCTGCTGCACTTGTACCTCTTGTTGTGCAGGTGTTGCCTCTTGTGTTTCATGATGTTGCTCTTGCAGGTGGTGTGATACGGGCAAACAACACACCTGTACCGGATTCTACCATTCCATTTATATTTCTGTGGGTCATCTTTGTCGCCCTCAGAAATGTCTGCCTTCTCCTCTTTGACTTGAAGGGGTAGCGCTTTGGTGTCGAAAGAGTAGCCCTGGTCGTGGACTCTGACGTGGTCGCTAATCACAGTTGTGGAATCTGAGCTGAAGTCACAGCTCTGACACCGGTACCGAGCTTGTTTGCTGTGGTTAGAGATGTGCTTCATCATATCATCTTTGACTTGAGCTTTGAAGGGGCAGAAAGGGCAGGACATCATTTTAACATTTTCTTCTGTGGCTGTTTTCTTCAGCTCCATTCTATCTCTGATGGCAGCCAGTTGAACCATTTGAAGCTCGCTGAAGTTCAGCTGCTTGAAGTCAAGTACTTCAACAATTCTTTCATCTACGGGGTGAGAAGTTTTGCAATGATCAGACATAACATGAATATTATCATCTGAGAACTGACATTTTTTACAGGTGAACTTTGCCATGGCTCGATGGCTCTGCATTACATGTGCACATGTTTTTGCGATGGATGCATCATTGAAGGCGCAGTGGGGACAAACAAAATTCAAGGCGTTCCCAACTGGTATGACATTTACTGGGATTCCACTCCATGTGTACTGCTGCTTTGTGATGTAAAATATGTCATGTGTCATTTCTGCAGGTTTAGTTTTGGAGCTGAGGTCCATGGCATGGCCTTCACTGGTTGCGTCGCCTTTATGCACAGCGTCGGGGGGACTGTCGTTATTATTGCCTGGAACTGTAACGCTGCCATATGCAAGATTCATTTTCTGAATCTGGCTGGCAAACTTGGGGTCCTGGCTGAGGGCTTTCCATTTTCTTGTATGTGAAATCTTCATGTGCTGATACAGAAGCTGCATGCGGTCGACGCTGTAGTCACAGAACCAACACTGGGAGGTCTGCTTGCTGCCGTGCATCTGTAAATGACGTTGAAAAGTGGCTAAATTAGCTGAAGAGAAGCTGCACTTGTCACAGCTGAACTGCTTTGAGCCATCTTCAAGTCCTTTGGAAAAAATTTGCTGCATTTTAGGATTGTTAGACAGCATCTCATTCAACTTCTCCGCCAACTGTTCATGTCGTTTCTCAGCTATTTGTTGCTTTAGGATCTCTATCGGCTCACCGGCATAGGATTTTTTATTAGAAGCAGCTTGTTGTACTTGAGATTTAGATGCTGCTGTGCCTACATCTTGTTCTTTAAGCTGTATAGGATGTGCCTGACTGGCATGCTTGTAAACTGCAGTTAGGTTGGAGAATTCGGCCGGACACCATTCACACCGAAATTTTGAAGCCTGCGTCTGATGAGAGGCCATCTTTGGAATTTCACTTAAAATTTGTTGAATCCTTGCCTCGGTTGAATCCAGGACCTTCTCCTGTTTATCCGGCACAGCCGCGACTTCTTTCCTCTCATCCTTTGCTTGATCCTCTTCCTCATTGATCATAAAGAAAGTTTCCCACTCTTTGGGGTTGAATGCTGAATGAGAACTCATATGATCCAGCAGAATCTCCTTTTCTTTGAACTGTGAACTGCAATAGAAGCATTGAAACCCACTAAGCTCAAGCTGTGCATGATCCTCCATATGTTTTTCCATGGTCTGTCGGTTCTTACATACAAATGGACATTTAGAGCATTGAATTTGTTTAATAGGTTTCCTAGGGTGTTTTATACGAGCTGCATCTATTTCAGATTGTTCTTGAGAGGCTGATGAGCTGTTGAGAGATTCTCGGCCTATGTGTTCAGCTATTCGATGCTCCATCAGGTTCTGGAGTGTCTGGAAGTACAGCGTGCATTGGCTGCATTTAAATCTTCCCTGGGTGTTGTCGCTCTTGTCTTCTTTGATTTGTTTTGGAAAGTGGTTGTAGCTTTTTCTGTGCTTCTTGAGATCGCAGGCCCAGCGCGTTGAGTATTGGCAAACATCGCATTTAAATGGTTTATCATCAGAGTGGAGGCCGGAGTGGCGCTTCAGCTCAGCTTGGCTGGCAGTGGTGAATGGACAGTGAGGACAGCTCCAGATTTCAGCAGTAGCCGTCTGCTTTGGTTGAGTGCTCATTGGGGGTGACTGGGATGGGGAGGTGTTGTCGCTGTTCATGTTTGAACTTGAGTTGAAACTAGCAAAACCGTTGTAGTTGTTATCAGCGACAGAATTTTCATTGTTGTTGCTGCTAAGGTCTAAGGTCGATGCCCTTGAACTTGGCCGGCTTTCATCACCTGAAGACTGTGCTGATGAGCTAGCTGGACCACTTTCATCAGCACCAGTCAGCTTCTTGAGTTTACCTTGCAGGCTAACAATAGCATTGGGTGGGCCGTGACTTATGAGGTCCCTTCTCCTTGCCTTGGTGGTATCTATGACATCATTGATCCCACCTCCTCCACAACGTTTCAGATGCTTCACCACATCCCACTTCCACTTGCTCCTATACTCACATCTGGGACACAAGTAAGGTTTGGAATCGGAGTGGTTTTTCATGTGCTGCGTCACCTCAGAAGGCCACCTGGCGTGATAGTTACACATTGTACACTTATAAGGCAGCTCTTCTGCTTTAGAAGTTCCAGGAACTGGACTTGTTTGTTCTCTGCTTCCAATTTTCTTGGCTGAATTTGAATTTTGGCGTAGACGAGCAGCCTCTTGTAGATTTTTCTGCTGCTCCAAGATCTCCTGTGGTGTTCTGGCCATCTGAATAGTGTTTGACTGACTAGCCTCTCCATTGCCGAGATACTGAAGCTTTTTCAGGTAAGCCAAACCATTATCTAAATTTGGCTCATCGTCAAGAATGTTGGGTTGACTAGAAACAACTCTTTGACCAGCCTGTGTGGCAGCGATGATGCCCTCCACAGAGATATGATCATCACGGCATCCGTTTATCAACTCATTGGACATTTTCTGCCGTTTAATTTCAGGCTCTTCTTCAACTTCCTCCTCAGAGCTACCATCTGGTGTATCTCTTTTATCATTTCTTCTGTACGGATTCGGTAGGTTGGGGTGACTTTTCTGAAAGTGCTTGACAAGATCCCACTTCCATTTATACGTAGAGCCGCAAACCATACAGACATAAGGACGCTCTTCTGAATGTGAAACAGCATGCTTCTGAAGTTCCGCTGGCCATTTAGCCTCAAACTCACACTTTTTACATTTGAGACTTTTAGCCTCTGAAGCACCGAGATCCTGATTACTGAGCTCACCAATGTCCTGCAGATCCATCTTGAGGAGATGGTAAGTTTGCTGTAGACCGTGAGGGATTTTCTTGATGGCTTCTTTATGTTCAGTAAGTTTCTGAAAGTGGTGCTTGAGGAAGTGGTTGTTGAGCTCATCCATGGAATTGATTTGAACCTTGCACTGGTTGCATTTGACTATTCTCTTATTCAAGTGGGAGCTGGTGTGGTTGGCGAAATCAACTTCGGACATGCTGGTGAACTCACACTTGGAGCACCTGTGTACTTTGGGAATCATCTGGTTTATGGTGTGAGCGTGCTTCATGTCCTGCCATGCTTTATCATGCTTCACCTTCTCCTCTTTCTTCTTGGAGAAGTCCAAAGGCTGCTCCTGATCAAAAGAAGAACTGAACTCCTGCTTCACCATAAACTGGCTCATGTCTGGCTTGTTGTCTCTTGTCAAGTCGAGAGCGCCCTCCTCTGGTGAATCATACCCATTACTTGGATGGGCCATCCCCGGGAATACAGGCTGTGTTGAGCCAGCCACAAAAGGACCAATCATACTGGGCATTACCAGACTGGAAACAACCCTCGACGCACTAAGCGACACAGGGGTGTTAAGAAAATTGGGTGGACTAGGAGACTGAGCAAGGCTGCTGGGCGAAGCATTGTCTATGGGATTGTCATCTTTATTTGTTTTAATGGTGGACAAAAAGACATTGTCATAGATTCTACGGGCTCCCAGCTGTGTGTACTTCCCTGACTTAAGCAACTCCAACATCCCAGGGGGGCTGGCCACCTCCACCAAAGGATCTGAGCTGTGTTTCTCTTTCCAGTGTTTATTCAAGCTTTTCCTCCATTTATAAATATTCCCGCACTGCGAGCAGGCATATTTTGTACCGCTGCTGTCTACAGTTTCAAAGTATTTTCCTGGATCCACCTCCTGACGAGTTTTCTTCTTTTTCTTTTTATCGTCGTCTAAACGCTGGTCTATATTTGTGATTGTGACAGGCACAGCAAGTTCCTCTTCATCCATGTCATCATAGACATTCTTTTCAGCTTGAATCTTGTTCATACTGGCAGATTCATCAGCATCATTGGGAAAAATGTCTGCAGTACTTGGAAAATGCTTCTTCCTATGCCTGGCCAATTTCTCTTTATTAGCATTAGTATACTGACACAAATCACACTTATAAATTTTATCCTCTACTTTATGCGCCTCACTGAGGTGCTGGAGAAACGCCTTCACGCCATCCAGTTTTTGACCACACTGGCGACATGGAAAAATCTGGCCACTTTTGACAGCATCATCAATAACAAGCTTCCCCTCCCCCTCTTCTTCCGGGCTCAAACTTTCTCCGATGCCCATCTGATGTGGGAATAGTTTTTTCTCGTCAGTGTCAACATTCATTGCATCAATTTCATCTCCCTCGTCCTCCCTCGCATCATCTCTTTCATTTGCCTCATCCGAAACCTCCATGGCATCAGACTCGGGAGTTTCGAAAAAGCTGTTCTTTAGTTTCTCCTTATCCTCCAACAAGAGAGGAGCACTGGTTGGCGAGTCCATGTCAGAACTGGACTGAGGACCATCCGGTGTTTTGGCCACTGAAGGACGTCTCCGTCGAAGTCTGTCAAGCTTTGATTCGATATCGGAATGTGTGGCTAGGTGAGCGGTGAACTCACGGGCGTCAGTGCAGGTGAATTTGCATTTCTTGCACAACCTTCTGCGGCCACGACCCTTGCAAGAATCTACAATATCTTCTTCGTTGCTTTTCTCATTCGCCTGGGTGGCAGGCATGATATTGAAGTAGCCTGAAAATATAAAAAATTTTGGCTAGTGTTATTTTCAGTTAACATATTTTTTTTAAAGAAGCATGCTGAATAGAATTACTAAACTATTTCATTTTATAGAAGAATAACTGAAATATTTTAAAAATGCTTTATATTATTTAGCAATATAAATCATTGAGTGATCCACACTAAATCCTAGAGTACTGACATTTAATGTACATTCAGCTATTGATCATTTCAATATTTGACCACAAACAATTTTTAATAATCTATTTTACAATGCCAATTAAAAAATAATTTTTCTGCCAGAACTTTATGTAGACAATACATGTACAAGTGTTTTTTTTAATCAAGTTCATTCCAGCCTGCACAGTTTTAATAGTTACTCAACATACGCTGTGTATAGATTAAACAGTTGTGCAGCAGTCATACCCTATGTATGAACTGTCATGTTTTCAAAATATTACTTAAAAATGCAAATAATCTACTGCAGGAGAATAGTTTTAAATTAAATATTAAATTAATATTTAATTAAGTTACTTTAATTTCATATTAAATTAATTATCACATTAATCCTGAGATAGAGAAATTATAGGGATGAATCTAGTAGAAAAAGTAAATCTCCCTTCATAAATAAAAACATTATAAAGTTCAGCATGAACAAAAGCATTATATAACATTAAAAATACACATACAGACTCACTCTTTACATGTATATATAAATTTAAATAAGCCTTCATTGTATACTATATGTGTGTGTGTGTGTGTGTGTGTGTGTGTGTGTGTGAGTGAGTGAATGTGTGTATAGGCCTGCACACATCAATATAAATGATGTGTCAACTAATTAATTAATCTAATTAATTTGATTAATCAAATTTCTACAAAAAAAAAAAGAAGCCTTGCTGTACATTGAGATACTTTCAAAAATGTTTTAAAGATGCTTTAGAAACTTGTCAGAGAAATGATATACTGCTACTACAACAATAGCACTGTAATATTGTAATTGAAAAAATTTAAAGATGCCTAAAAAAATCTGTCCCAATATAGTCTCATTAAGTCTATAACTATAATAATATAGTCTTCACAGAAAATGTCCTTGAGGAAACCTATCACTGCCGATGTAGTTTCAATATTTCCAGTGTAATATGTACTACAAGATCTAGATGCTATGTATAGCTCCAGGTAAGTTTGTCGTCATACCCAGTTAAATGGTGTCGCTTTTGTTGATACGTTAAAAACACTAGAATCTAGATCCACAGGCAATGTGTTGCTCTTCATATGTTCTGAGTAAAATATTTTAGCACCAGCTTTAAAAAAAAAACGAGTTGTTTAAAATTAACGAAGTATTAATCCCGAAGCTTCAACGAACATAACATTTTTTTACCATTTCTTCCCGCACAAGTCTAGTAACGTTCCCTACGACGTGTTCCAACAACGACCGCTCCCCCAGGACAAACGACAGCAGCAGCCGAGCGCGGGACCCTTGGTCCGGTCGCAGCATCATCAGCTGTGTTATCAGATGAAAGACCGAACGCGGGGCCAATGACAAATCAATGTAAGTCGGGATAAGCCTCTCTTTAAGTGCGACGGCCGGGTACGTGTGTGTACAAGAAGGCTTTATCACACGATGCGATAAAGCCAATGCCTGAAGGCACGGAGAAAGTTTAAATGTGCCATTTACTTCATGTGCTTGCCCTGCCTACGGTGGAGATAACTGTAGACTATGGACATCAATCTAATGGTGGCCGCTTACGGTTTAGATAACTGGAGTCTGTATATCAATGTAATGTGACTGCTTACAGCTGTCTATAAATCAATGTAATGTGGATAGCTATAGCAGTCAATGTTACTAAGTCCATACATCAATGTAGTATGACTATCCACGGTCCACGCCAGTCTATACCTACATATATGTACTGTGCCTAACCATACATGAAAATAAAGACCTGCCATTTGAAATTTGACAATTAAAAAAAAACTATTAAAAAATCATAGACTTCGATGTTTTCTGACCTGTCGAAAAAAATTCCTGTCGAAAAGTTTTTTTTACGTAAAATTTTCCATCATTACGTAACACCGCTGTTTGTAGTAAGGCGGGGGTTATAATCCATGTTAATTCGAATTATTGTTAATTAAGGTAGGATCAAAAAAAAAAAAAAAAAAAAAAACAACTTTGATACAGCCCTAAAAATATATCAGCGATCGTAGAAGTCTGTCAAAGCAAAGGTCAACAGCTTACGAACAAATTTAAGAATTTTTTATTTTTTTTACTAAATTTTGTCCAGCCCTTATGTAAATGTATGATGTAAACGAGGATAGCCTGGGTAAAGGAATTTTAAAAAAATCTTTGCACGGAGCACTCACAGAACCAGTGTGTGCACGACTTCAAGACCTCGGCGCTGACACAAAAATCTAGGCCAGATTCGATCCAGCCCAGAAAGGGCCCTATCATGTTATCTTGTGACAATGGCCACTCAATCGAGGTCGAAGAGGAAGATAGTTCTTCGGTATCAGCCACTGGGGCCATGTGATTTATCCAGAACATGAAGGGACCTGCTCTTATCTCCCGCCATTTTGTGGAAGTGGGTGGATGGCAGACATGTCGAAGCGAAGATTTAAAAAAAAAAATAGAAAACATTCCTGCAGTGATTATTTATTCCGGAAACTAAATTCATCCGATCTAGGGTTGTTGTTTTTTTTAAATTCGTTGGCTATTGTTAACTAGAGCACATTCTGAAGTGGAACCCGTTAAAATTAGTGTTGGAATCTAGGATTTAGCATACAATAAGGGTGGTGGGTTTCTGGTGGGTGTGGTTGTAAGGTATGAGTGCGTGGCTGACTTAATAGATAAGACATGTAGTCGGATTTTTGATAGAACATTCGTAGTTGAGTTTGTGTAAGACACGACAGCAGTGATTCTAAATGACAACAGGAAGGACAATATAGGACACGACAGCAGTGATTCTAAATGCCTAAAGGATGGACAATATAGGACACGACAGCAGAAAGGACAATATAGGACACGACAGCAGAAAAGACTATATAGGACACCACAGCAGAAAGGACTATATAGGACACCACAGCAGAAAGGACTATATAGGACACGACTGTAGAATGGACTATATAGGACACGACAACAAAAAGGTCTATAATATATAAAATGCTGGTAGTAATAGATCTACACCGCATTTGTGATGGAATGAACAGGACATGTTTGGAAAGTATATATGTTATACTATAATATTGGGTGATTCTACTGATAATTTAATAGAAACAAGAAACAAGCCCCCCCCCCCCCCCCCAAATCAACTAACCAAAGGACAGTCAGGTCTGACGAAGGATTCAATACTTTAGTATTGTGTCTGGAGGTCAGGGGTCAGGCTATATACACATGTGGTATACATAACCGATAAGAACCAGCTTCTTATCGACAAGCAATGCCATCAGTATATAACCTAATATCAACGTCAGCGATAAACTAAACCAATATAGTTAGGTTTTTAGGGTAATGAACATGCGGGTACGGCTAATCAACAAGAGCATTACACCACCATTCACGAGACAATGCACATGACGTAGACACATCGCAGACGTGAGAAAGAAATTCTTGATTCCCACAGAAGTCGTCCCGTCTCCTCAACAGTAGTCGTCGCTCCTTCCCCCCCCCCCCCCCCCACACAAGTCTAGCCCTCCCCTCAACTTTCCTTTCAATTTCCTTTATTCAGACATAAGCTTACAGTCAACGCCAACAGCCCCGGGCTATAACTGATCGTTTATTTTCGGAGACCTGAATGGAGGGAAAAAAAACCGACAGTAAAAGCGAACGAAAATCGCCCCAGCGTTTCCGTTGGGCACTGAGCCGCGACCAGCATTGTCTAATTGAGACGGAAAAAAAAAAGAAATAGACAGTTATTCCATTCAAATTGAAGTCATTTCTGTATTGACGTATCTTTTAAAGAGTACTTGAGAGTGTTTGTTTTTCTAAACAAAATAGACTTCTTGGAGATGGCGACAAGTGGCATAGCAACACGTACGTGTAAGGGATACAACTCTTAATTGAGGGTGGCGAGTTATCTGTGTATTCTCATACCGTATAATACAGTGTGTAAATCTATCTATCTATCTATCTATCTATCTATCTATCTATCTATCTATCTATCTATCTATCTATCTATCTATCTATCTATCTATCTATCTATCTATCTATCTATCTATCTATCTATCTATCTATCTATCTATCTATCTATCTATCTATCTATCTATCTATCTATCTATCTATCTATCTATCTATCTATCTATCTATCTATCCATAATATATATATATATATATATATATATATATATATATATATATATATATATATATATATATAGGCCTACATAGCCTATATGCGGAGACAAAAAGGAGAAAAAACGCTTCTACTAGAGTAAATAACATGTAGATCTAAGGCCTCACTATGAGGACAAAACGACTCAGAATTCCAAAATACTTCATAGACAACAGATACGTCAAAGACCTTTGACCTATTCAGCAATGTTGCGTTTAGGCAAAGGCATGGAAGGGAAGATAATCCTCCCGAGGTATTCACCCGAGAAGGAGTTAGTTAACTTTTTAAAAAAAATAACAGACTAACATAGGAAAAAACAACACAACAAAGCTAATGCCTAAATTGAGTGACTAGCTCTAGCCCTACCTCCATGTTTCCGCTGACGTGCCTGGCGAATGCCGGTCCACAAGGCGACCGACCCCACAAGACAGAAAAAGAAGAAAAAAAAATTTCACGTTTGATCACAGTTTAAAAAGAGAAGAAGCGAAAAAAAAAAAAGCTCCCGTCAACTGTAGAGGAACCACCAGTTGGCAGCATCTACAGCGCAGAACAAACTTCTGTCAACTAAAGGCTGGCTCTTTCTTCTTCACCCCCCCCCCTCACCTCCCCCTACCTTTCCTCTCCCCCCACCTCCCCCCAATTCTTGGCAGCCAGGGCGATGCTGTCGCCAGGTACGAGAAGAAGGGATAAACGCTAAAGGAGAGGGGGGAGGGGGGAGAGACATTAGCCAAACGTAAAACAACAGCTGGGGGGCAAGTACGGAATTCGAAAGGGGGAGAGGGAAGTTAGAGGGGGGGGAGGGAGAAGGGGGTGAAGTCCCAAAGATCAATCAGGACCGGGTCCAATATGCCTTGAAGGTAAGAGAAGAAAAGTTGGTGACATTTTCAGGTAACGATCGGCTCAGGCTTCACAGGTAAGGGAGCGAAGATATTTTTGGTGACATTTAAGTATCATGGTCACGGGGCAGAACGATGAAATTAAGTGCCGGTATTCAGTGCGGTCCATCTGCCCCCCCCTCCCCCCGGGCACTTTCCCTTCCACCAATGACTATGCTAACTGTAAGTTCTTAATACTTTTAAAGATTATCTCCCCCACGTCTTTTACTCATAATCGAAGAACTTAAACTTGTAATCTTTTAAACAATGAAAACTATGATGTGCAACTCATTCGAAAATTAAAATTAGGATAGGGTGTTAGAGCGATCCCCTCTTACCAATGAAGGTATGAAGCTAAAAGTAGCCTAAAAGTACCAGAAGCTAAAAGTACAATAAAGCTAAAAGTACCATGAAGCTAAAAGTACAATGAAGCTAAAAGTAACAAAATTCTTGTCAAAATAAAACTAATAAAACAGTATTCTAATCTAAATAAGTCTGTGCATTACATGCTAAATAAGTCTGGTCATTCTAGGCATAATAGGTCTGGGCATTCTAGGCATAATAGGTCTGGTCATTCTAGGCATAATAGGTTTGGTCATTCTAGGCATAATAGGTTTGGTCTTTCTAGACATAATAGGTCTGGGCATTCTAGGCATAATAGGCCAGGTCATTCTAGGCATAATAGCGTCTGGTCATTCTAGGCATAATAGGTCTGGGCATTCTAGACATAATAGGTCTGGGCATTCTAGGCATAATAGCGTCTGGTCATTCTAGGCATAATAGGTCTGGGCATTCTAGGCATAATAGGTCTGAGCATTCTAGGCTAAATAAGTCTGGGCATTACAAACGAAGTCCATCTTACCATTCTGGCTATGTGAGTTTGTCAGACCTTTCAATCACACGGTAATAAGTCACTGCCTTAATGTCCACTAACACACGCACAGACAGACGTGACTTATACATCCTCCCCCCCGATGCCACTAGTGCCGGGGAGAAAATGGCTCGAACAAAACGTTCAAAGGTTCCCCCACCCCCACCCCCACCCTCTCAGATGGCTATCTTTGGCCGCGGGGGAAAGGGGAGGTGGATCTAATCACTCAGGTAAAACAGGTCACGGGGCGGCGGTTGATTACGTCACCGGGGAGGAAAAGAGACAGTCAATCCTGGTTCTAACCAAACAGGGGGAAGGGCAGGGGGAGGGGGAGGAGTAGGAAGGTGGATTAAGACTAATGAGAAATTTTTTTGTTTTAAATATCAGGATTAAAGGAATGCTGTTCTTGGTAAAAAGGAATGCTATTCCTAGGCCATCAGAAGTTTAGGAACTTTGTTCTTATGCACACTCAAGACTAAACAAACGCCGGTCATTCCTAACTATCGGTTGGCCAGTTTAGTCCATACTAGCACTACAGCAAAAGGAGAAGTTGAGCATAGTCTAATAATACCATGACCACTATTTGAACCCATAAAAACGAACATAACTTTTCCCCAGTCAATTATACCAGATAATAAGTCAGCTCGATTATGCCA